AGAAATGTAACTCTTCTTCTATGCTTCCGCCACAAGGGGTGCTGCAGCTTTGCGGAAAAATACACGGCCCCTCAAATCTGCCACAGCTGCTGCAGCTTCACACTGGAACAGAAGAAGGTGAGCTGACACCCGGTAAAGGAGGCCAGCAGACACCTTCTTAATCATTCACACTGGCTTTTTTTTTCTTTTTATTAAGAAACAATTCTTTCCACATGGTAACCCCGACATAGAACATATATAATGTGGGACATGCAGATAACGCAGACAAGTTGCTGGCTGATACCAAAAATATGTTCACCAAGAAAAAGGGCTGCTTTTAAAATGAATCACATTTTTATTTTGCTGAGAAGATGACAACAACAAAGGAGAAGTAATGTATGCTGTATCCTCAGTCACAACACACTCATTGAGCTTCTGCAATTTTGGTTGAAAGTTGCATGACGTTTCTTTTGTAAACTCTGCTTCATTCGTTGCAAAGAAAATGTTCTCTTTCGCACCTTTTTTAAACAAAAAAATGAATAAAAACAAAAGAAAAGGGACATTCCTTGTCCTGTTGCAGCTCCTCTGTCCTGTTTGTCCAGTTCCCAGCCTGCGAGGGTCGTGACCCTTTAAGATACACTCAGACCTGCCACACCACTGACAAGTCTACTTGCAGGTCTGGAGAGAGTGAGCCGAAGGGAGATAATGATGCAGGGCGAAGAAGAAGAAAAGTTAAAGGAAAATAACATCTTCCACTAAATGCCGGAGATATTTGCATACAATCTATCCGTGCATGTGTTATAACACAACAGTGTTTTTTTAATGAACTGGATCTTATTCTTTTTTGTTTTTCCATCGATTCTAGGTTATGATAACACTGAATCAATAAGACAATCGATAATATTGGGTTAAGGTGACATTTAAAAAAATTTAAAAAGACAAAACTCTTTACTCAAAGCTTTAACATCAAAATGGACCGACTTCATGCTTTGACTTACCTCACCTTTCTGCAAAGGGAGATTGTTACTGGTCTTATGGATACTACCGTGTTTTTGATACATCTGCAAACCAATAGCTGGTCTTAGTGGTCATGTTTCAATTTTAACCCTGTTCTCAAATCTCAGCAATGACTTTGGCGAGTATTGTTATGTCATTGTCATATAATCGTGGGCGAAACCGCGAAATTAACAACCAAATTGTTGTAAAAGGGAATAGTCTTTTGTCGCTTAATTCCCGCATGTGCTTACATACATTACATGCATGCTACATACATAGATGGCCCTGCCAATCATTGTCATCACGTTTGGGGACAGTCCCCTCCGCCCGTCCACCCCTCCCTGCCCCGGCCTGTGGTCCTGCCACTGATGTTGAGCGGGTGACCTTTTCTCTTGGCTAATCCACACCAAAAAGCCCTAATTACTGCTGCCGCTCCACCAACCTCCCGTGGCCCAATAATCAATACAGCCGATTGGCCGGCGGATCACCCCGTCAGACACTAGCGCTTTACATTTGACTCAATTCATGTGCGTGTGTTTCTTGGAAGGATGTCGTGACAGTTTTATCATGGAAAAGTAACAAAAGACCAAAGACAGAAAACAAGAAATAATGCACAAGCCAAAGAAAGTTAAACACTCGACTGCAGATCAAGCATCACACGAGCATGCATGCACACACTTCTACACACATTCCTCCCTTCGTCCTGGGTGTTGTGACACCAGTTGACCTTATTGAGTTGCTGCTCTGTAAAGAGTCCCTGATTAGAATATCTTCCCTTTAACCTTTAGCAGAGTGACGCGCCTCCCGAAAGCAAAGAAATAAGCCATCGGTTTATGCAGAGAGGTGAACGCGTTCTGTCGTTGTTTCATTAAGCTGTGGCATTTCACTAAACGTCATGATTGCATCGCTGCAAGTGTTGCTTTCAACGGTGATACTCTTTTTTTGATGTTATTTCGGAAAATGCAGGTGTGCACTTCTGGAAATGATGACCTACTATTTGATGAGCTGTCAGTGTAGAATGTATGCATGCCCGGAGCACTCAAGCTTCTATCTCTACATTTTCTTACCTGGACGTGTGTGTGTGTGTGTGTGTGTGTGTGTATGTTTGAAACGCCCCGAGGACATTTGAGGAGCAACAAAAGGCCAGACACAATGTTATCAGAAAGGTGTTCCATTTCAGATTTAGATGCATAAAAAGATTCATATTTGTGAAAAGAAATAGGCAATCTCTCTCCTCTGCACGTCTTCCCTTTCTTTCTCCTTCTGTCACTCTTGCTGACAGTCTTTGATTGCATTAGACAAGTTAATGAAAAGCAACACTGAAGAAACAACTGGCAGCCCTTCATGCAGCCTGCACCTGCCACAGTGTATATGTCTGCATACCTGCCATTGCCTCATGTCTGTCTGGCTCGTCTCCTCGGGCGAGCCAGACATTCAACACTGTGTGATGACACAGTACGAGAGTGATGAGCAGCTCGTCCATACCTTCAGGGTGAGGTCCGTTCTGCAGACGTGAAATGGTTATGAAATGCTGTTCCAGCTGTGCAATAGGAAAGCCGAGGTAAAAAATATATATATTGTGGAGACATTTTGCCTCAGGTTGAGACCCCATTATCATGTGCTCTTTAAAAATATATATTACATGTATTTACATGATTGACTATGCACAATGTGTCAAAATGTCAAATTATCTGAGATTTTGTTAGAATTGCAGGTTCGCCATGGCAGCCTTATTCAACTAAATACCTATCGACATATAAGAAAGCAATAGCGTTTGTAAGAGCTGTTTGTTTGTGTCTGATGACATTAGTGTTCATGTATCTTGGCAGAGAGTAAAGTTGTAGACACCAGATGGATTATGATAAGATATCTGATATTCATGCAGAAGACTGCAGTTAATGTCACAAATCTTTCCAAGTCTTTCCCATGCGATGTTAAAGATAACGTAGAAAGTGAGACATTTAGTGTGGAACAAGTGAATAGTTATATGTGGAACACACGAGGCATATTTCAATAGCGAATGGCTACATGTTGTTTTTCCATTGCCAGTAGTTGATGAAATGACACAATCGCTGTGACCTGCAATCGTTTGTGATTGATATATTGGCTGATGAGATCAGGAGTTACGAAATTGTATATCATATTCCTCAAAAATGTGGACATATTGACATATCTCTGTAACGCTGTTTTAGTTGTTAATAATGCAGTATGCTGTAATTAGGAAATAGCAATTGATGATTAAATGAACAGCTCAATCACTCCCAACTTAATGGTACGTATCACGTCTGTAGTACCACCCACCCTCAATACAAGGCCTATTATATTGATTTAATGGGTCCACAAGAAAATGGAAATGACTACCCTATATGTGTTAAAGCTGCAATAAATAACGGCACATCACAAAAATGACCATAATAAGTCAGTGAAGGTTAATGGCATCAATGGCAGTAACTCAACAAGATTCAACACAGTGGCTGAATCTTGAATCAGCAATTGTTCTTTAAATATTTCAAAACTGAGTCCAATATAAGAGTAAGTAAGTTGATGTTGCAAGTCCTGTTTTACTGATTTAAGTTAATTAAAGCAACAAGTTCCCTAATAATAATGAATGCAAAAAGTGAGTGAGCCTTACACAAGTTTAAACCAATCCAGTTTTACCCAACCCCCTAAAGCAGGAGGAATCAAAAGCTAAGCAATTCAACTAACCACCATATTAAAAATCTTCTTTCATTTTCTTTAAAAACAAAACAAAATTAAAATATTTTCAGCATCATCATGATCAAAGTTTTTTTTTTTTTTTTACAATCGACAGGCACGTTAGCAACAATTAGAAAAATAAAAAAACACCACTCAATCCCTAAACACTCCATATTCTCCTGTAGCATTCGGTAGCACGGTGTAGGCTGTATACTCCTGCCAACGCTTGCGCATGCCTAAAGTTGCAGCATGCGCACATGTTTCTACGCGAGTGTGAATGTAAGCCGAGTATGCACACGATGCTGGACTGAAGACATGCTGCTCCACAGAGACCTGCCCCTGTGAGCCTGGCCTGCTGAGTGAAACCCTCTGCTAATGTTTAGCTTAAGGGGTGAAAAAGAAGGTGAATTGGGGGGAAAGGAAGGAGGGAAGGATGAGAGGATAACATGGCTGGGGGTTCTGCGGGTAGACACCGGGTGGAGAGAACGAAAAGGGTGGCGTTTGAAGGGAGGGAGGGCCGGACGGGTCACGGAGGAGTGACGGGGAGAGGGAGGGAAGGAAGGATGAAAGGTCCAACTGGGAGGGATAGCGGGAGAGGTCTCGTCAGTCAGTCGTCTCCCTCTCTGACACCTGAACCTCCACTGACCGGGTCGTGACTAGCTCGCTGCGCAGGAGATATCAGTAGGGGGGCTGACCTTTGACCTCTCACCTCATCATCGCCACCACAGCCCTCGCCCCGCCTTTTCAACCACCCCTTCACTCACCTCCCCGCCTTCGTTTATTTTCAGCTCTCTCTCTCTCTCTCTCTCTCTCTCTCTCTCTCTCTCCTCTGCAGCCTGAGCAGTTTGCTTACCCAGAGAAACGAGATTTGAACAGAACCCAGGGGCCTTTTTCACCACCTGTAGCGCTGTGGAGTCTTTTTAGGACGGGTCCCATTTTCATAACCAGTACTGGCATCAGCATGCGAAGCGATGCTATAAATATTCCTGCTGCTGGTTTCTAACTATTCCACTGATTGACAGTTAGTGGCAGCAACGTGCCAATGACCGCCCCCCCCCCCAAAGGCCATGAAGACAAAGATTGCTATCTGACATGATTTGATATTCAAAATGTCACATTTGCGATTGGCTTTTTTTGCTAACAAAAATGCACTGAACTAATTTTCTAAAGCTTAAGAGTGGACTCCATTTAGTCCACTTAGTGTTAATATAACGTTTAATTGTTTAAAAATCCCCATCAGTTTTATATTATAAAATAAATAATGGAATTTTGACGGCTTAAACACACAAATCAATGAATTGCACTGCCTAAAACAACTGGAATCATTATATGCTCGTAACGGCAGCCTTTAATAATACACGCAGGCATACAGGTTGGACAAACACACACAACCATGCACACACATATATCCCTAGACAGTCACGCCTAATCCCAGGTTTACATTGCTAGGACAACAGGGATAATCCTGCTAACAGGGTGTTTATCTGGAAACCGTGACCGCTGAATCCCCAACACACACAGTATTGACCCGCAGAGAGCGACAGACAGGGGGGGGGGGGGGGGGTGGCGGGGGGATATTGGGGACATCCAGAAAAGGTGAATAAATAAAAAACACAAGTCATTGGAAATTAAGAAGATATGACAGTAAAAGGTTGCACTGGTGGAAAGGGGACGGAGGAAGAAAAAGGTCTGAGCTGTCATGTATGCAGATGAGAATGTGATGGCGTCAATGCAGGAGTGGACATAGCCCGTCCCTCAGGTCCACACACACATAGGACAAACCAAACTCATAGATAAAATAAATCAGATCATACAGATGGAGACTTTCTGGTAAAACACATGAGCTTAAAATAGAGTTTAGTAGATTTAAAGGAACTCACCTAGTTAAAAGATTCACATGTTACATGTTATAAACTCCAGATAGATAATGTGAGAAGTTATATAAAGAGCTCATGGACTGAATTAGTGGATCAGAATATTGCCGCGCGTTGGTGAACATCTGAAGGGGAACGCACAGAAAATAAAAATGTACTTTGTGTAAGATACACAAACAATTGCAGGAGAAAATGTTGAAGTTAATAAAAGAACGTAAGAAACACTTCTGTGGACCATTAACTTTAAGGCATTACACAGCCTGATCACAGGCCTGCTATGTTGCTATTAACAAGATACATCAGAAACATTATCATGAATCACGACCTGTTCCATAGATGTCTTTGGAGCCTGTTAAAGCCTCGCACCATTCTGGCTGAATACTGACAATAAACGTGCACATTCCCTTTTGAGCGTCCATTTGCAGCTATTGCTAATTTGGGGATGTGTCATGCGCTTATACTGACTGCCTGCAATAAGTATTTAGATCAAACTACGAGGCTGAATATTATAGGAAGAGGTGAAGGGAGTTTGTGCTGGCGTAAATTACATTTAATGGGAGTAAACATTTTCCTAAATACAAGTAGCATTCTACCAATGAAACACACAAATCGTCTTTGCTTTTTCTGGTGGGGGGGGCCTCAAACTTCAATGGCTAACTGCCACCCTGGTATCTAATGCTGCCTGTCGGAATATTGCGCTGGCTGGCATTAACTTCCTGTTGGGGGCGGTAAGGGCGGCAGGGGGAATATCGGCAGAACAGCGAGGCAAGCTTAAGCATGCACGTCAGGGCCGGGGGACGCTCCCTGAGCCAAATGCCAGTCTATAGATCGCAGAGGGGACTAAAGATCACATCATCGTCCACCCGGACACGGGTGACATCGGACAGCGCACGCGGGAGAGAGGGAGGACCAAATGATCCCAGCCAGGACGAGCCGTTATAGACAGCCGCTGTCATTACGGAGCCAACACCCGCACGAGTGCACACACACACACACACACACACACACACACACGGAGTAACACACACAAGCACGTACACACGAGCCGTGACGACGACGTTATAGACAAGCGCTGTCATTAGAAGAGTCTCTGTGGAGCTCAAATGATAACGAGCAAGGGGGGGGAGGAGGAGGAGGAGGAGTGCGTTGACGAAGGCGACTGTCCAGCTGTCTGCAGGTGAGCATTCGGTGTTGGTGGCAGAGGAATGAAACTTCATTTTATAACTTACGTCTGAACGAGGGCTGGGCGGTATTCAAACGGTATGCCGGTGTAATATTTCCGTACGGTATGAATTTCTCACGTACGTTACGCCGTAACAACTGACGTTACTTTTCGGCAGGCGGCAGAATTTATTTTTAGTCATTTTTACTTTATAACAACAATAAATAACCCACAACAAAGACTCTTTAACTGGGTAAAACACCACAACACAACAGCTGGTGACATATAAACAATTTGTAACACTTATAATTGTACAACACTAGCACCCACAACAAGCCAACACGCTAACGAGCTAAGACGCTAACGAGCTAGCGAGCCGGGCTGTTGCGATCAAGTTGGCGAGCGAGCGGCGAGCAGCTTACTGTAGTATGTGGAAAATCATATCAGAAATGTTATTGTTTGAAAAACTCACGGATTAATATTTTCAAAGAAAATCATCAGTCATTTGTTTAAAATTGTAAAAAGTTATAGAATACTATTAAGAAAAAGTGATGTGACAGTACGTCAAAGAACGTAATTGTTAAAGTGCGACATCCTCAATCATTCAGAGGGATTTCACAGTGGAAAATTAAAGTGCATTGTTTCAAAAAAAGGGACATGAAAGTTTTTTTTAAAAAGCCAAAGTGAGATATATTAGAAAAGTAATGAGCTGTAGAGGATCGTCAACGTCACCACTCACTATAAATTATGTTAAAAAAAAGTCATGAACAAGTCATAAAAATACAATAGTATTGAGTTAAATTGACTAACTAAAAGTGAAAAGATGTGGCCAGACCACAAGCAAACAATAGTGTAACGGTATTATAGTCATGAGGGTGATTTGGCCTGGAGGTCATTAATTGTAAGGTCTTTCCAGGGGAAGGGACGGTTGTCCTCCATCTGTCCTTGTGAGAGCTGGGTTGGGAGTCTGCTGGAAAAGGTGCTCTGCTGTCTCTGCGGTAGCAGGTGGAGATGGTGGTCAGGCTTATCCGATATGGATAATGATGTCTTCAGCGTCCTCATCTCCTCCACCTCTTTCCAGACACTTCCAGTGTAGGATGTTGTTCATGAAGCTGACGAAGCTGATGAATCTGTGACGAATGGGCGTTGATGAGGAGGTGGAGGGTGTGTAAACGCAACATGGTCCTGAAGGTAGAGACACAAATCACATTTAATGGAGGCGGAAAAAAGATGATTGGCAGCACATAGCAGATCGACTGCATCCTTTCACAATAAAATCCCTAGATGTATTCGTTTTGCAGGTAAGGATTTAAACTTCACTGTCAGCTACGTATTCAAAGGCCTGTTTTATGACAAACGTTGGGAGACCCGGTTGTGGTGACCTCTAAGAAGAGGGGAGCAGGAACCTGACTGGAAAATAATCAACATAAAAAGAAACAAGGAAGACGTTCCATTTAGTCACAACATTGTTTATGTAGGATTATGTTTTCTGATCCCCACTGCTGCTCCATCAATGTCTCAACACCTGCAGCTTGATAAGAAGAGTCATGTTCACACAACCATCAACATACAGTGTATCTATTACAGATTTAATTGGTCTTTCTCAGCTTACTGTAACTCAACTGTTACTGTTGAGTGTTGTGAGATTCAAATCTAGACTGATCCTCGCCTGAAGGGTACCGGTAACCAATCAGTGCATGGTTTCACACTGCCTCTCAGACCCCAGCAGTGTGATGCGCTGCAGGGCGTGTACAAACGAGAGGCTTAGAGTTATGCCAAGCTTAAGATCTGTCACTGAAACATCTCTGTCACTCTGTTCAACAACAGACTGCTGTATTAACCCTGTCTATTTAACCATCCTTTACAGATGTGTGTGTGTGTGTGTCTATCGCCTCGGATTGCCATAAAATGCACTGAAGCAGCCATGTAATCGACATCTTTAAACGGCACTTTGCTTCAGAGGAGGCAATTAACGTAATGGCTCAACGTGTTTATAAACTATGTTAATTTAAATTAGTGCAATCCAAATAAAAAACGCTCTAACGTTCAGTCAGACAACTGGTCGAAGGACAAATATTGTCAAGTGCGACAACTTGTCAAATCTTTCTGGAGACGACGAAGGGTTTTTTTCTCCTGACCTGATTTGCATGGCAGCGACGATCAAAGAGGCTGAGCGTTCCGTTTAGTGTCAATTAACGCACAAATTGCTCCCTGCTCCCTCCCGGATTGCGTTTCCTATGCTCCCCTGTCACAACGCACGTGAGCGCCATTGCTCTTCCCGCGAGGCGGACTGACAGGTAGCTCACCAGCAAAAAGGTGTCAGGTGAGCTCAAACATCCCTGCATTGCTTCACGTCGCCCCCGAGCAGAGGCCGAAGCTCACACTGTCTCCACATCCTCCCTGACATGGAGATGTTTAAACCGAGGTGTCGAAAGCTCACTTCTGCCCCGAAGCGCTGGGTGTTTGTTTGAAAGTACTGGTTCTGGGTCTCGTTCTGTGATATTTCACCGATTATCTCCTCGAGGCTGTAACTCGCCTCTCCAGTTAATCGTTAGACCAAAGGCAAAGGCGCAGGTCCTTGATATTACATTCTTGGCTCAGGCTGCACTCGCTTATTGACAAGCGCACAGGAAAAGGCTGCCGGGTGTGTTGCTGCCTGTGCAGTTCTTGGGTTTGGGGTTATGTTTTAGCTTTACGTGTTGATCTCTCATTCTTGGCTCAATAACAAACGATTCTGGTGTTTTGGCCTGACAAGAAAAAGATTCATGCAGGTTACTTTCTAAATAGTCAAGATGGTGCTGAATGGAAGGTATATGTAGAGCTTATATTTGCTAAAGAGGGCCAAGTCGTCACACTCAGTTTTTCCCTTTCTGACCTACTTATTTGTGTAGCAGGTTCGCGTGGACTGACTAGTGCCCTTTACGGTACATAACAGTGAAAATCATAGAATTGCTGTGCTGTGATAATTTAGGGGTGGACTTCTTACTAGGAATTTGCTCTTATTAGTTCAGAGAACCTGCTTGTTGGGTTAGCTTGGCTCAGCATCTACCATAATGTCAGCTAAACCAACTTATTCTAAGCTCTTTTCTACAAAAGTAATACTATCAAGCAATGCAACTAATTACTTATTTAATAAAACACACACATATATATATATAGCCTCAAAAGAGCCCACATGTAGATAAAACGCAGGTCCAGCTTGAAAAAATACCTCATTTTAAAATATTGTTTGGTTCTATTTTGACTGTATTTTGACCGAGTCAGTCTACCCAATCCAGGTCAGTCTCGTATGGCTTTTCAGACTATACAAATCTTTTCAGCAGGGATGTTCTTTTCTGATGTGTGTGTGTGCGTGTGTGTGTGTGTGTGTGTGCGTGTGTGTGTGTGTGCGTGCGTGTGTGTGCGTGCGTGTGTGCGTGTGCATGCTGGAGAGAGAGAAAGACGGGATGAACAGCCTGTCTGTCAGGTGTTGGTACGCACATTAGTCAAGTAGGAAACAAAGGATTCTGGGAAGAGACGTTCTCGAGCACAAAGGGCATCCAGACTCCACTCAGCGTCATCTGATCTCTTCTCTGTGTGTGTTTGTGTGTGTGTGTGTAGGTAAGTGTGTATGGATGTCTGTGTGTTTTGTGTGTGTGTGTGTGTGCGAGGTGGGGGGCTTTCTTTAGAGGGTGAGGGCGCCTCATTGGCTGCCATGGCGAGGTCAAGCTGAGGTTAGGACATGTGTGATGGATGGACCTCTGTCTCTAGACCACTGCCCTTCTTCCAGTCCTCTCTCCTTATCGGGGCCTCAGACTTGCTAAATCGCCCTGGCTGCTCTCTCCCCGGTTCGCTTTGAGTAACTCCGTTTGGCGTGCGACCGTCGCGAGAGACGAAACAATCGCATGGAAAACTGTGGACATGTCTTTGAGGTGAGTTCTGCTATGAACGTGTAGCCGTACAGTTAACCTCTAACCTCCTCGATTCTCTTCCCACGCTCGCTCTAATCACCACAACAACGCGCTACTGTTTCATCACAAACAAACAAAAAACGACCCCATGATGTAATTTCTCCTCTCATTCCCCGTCTTCTCTTCCTCCATCATACTGTCAACCTCTATGGGCTCCGTCCCCTTATTGGCACCTGGAGACGCACACCTGTCGATGGAGGAATTCATTTTGGCTGCCAATCACAACAGGGGAGTGGTCAATCAGTGCACATGTGCCAATACCCCGACTCCCCCGTTGATTGACTTCCGTCCGTCCGACTGCCTCTCTGGACTTCCAGCGCTTTCTGTTCGCTGTTGTGTGATCACAGACGGGGGAAGTGTCCCACTTTCCTGTTTTAGTTTTTACCATTCCCAGCTGTGTGTGTGTGTGTGTGTGTGTGTGTGTGTGTGTGTGTGTGTGTGTGTGTGTGTGTGTGTGTGTGTGTGTGTTGATGGGCAGTGACTGTTAACAAACCACAACACTAAATATATTTGTTTACATCACTTTTCATAATGTTCAAGGACACCTAAGATTTCTCCATCACAATAGTAAAATAGGGCTGACGCTCAAAAGGCTTGATGGCAAATTGATATTTACCAAAGGATGTACAATGACAATGTCCTCTGAATTTCTCCTTGCCTGTAAATGTGTTTTTGTTTTAGTCTGCATCCGAATCCTTCTATCATCTTCTATCTTGAAAATACTCTCTTATATAGTTTATGGTGAATACTTTCTGCCTTTTACACTCACAGACTCGCAAACACAATTAAGCATCTATGATTAAAACATTTTTTTAAATGTAGTTGACAAGCTTAAGCAAAAATAGTTTGTCAATCCTGGGGTGCAATGGCTGTATTCCTTCTCTTTCTGTGTGTGTGTGTGTGTGTGTGTGTGTGTGTGTGTGTGTGTGTGTGTGTGTGTGTGTGTGTGTGTGTGTGTGTGTTTGTGTGTGTGTGTGTGTGTGTGTGTGTGTGTGTGTGTGTGTGTGTGTGTGTGTGTGTGTGTGTGAGATACTGCTGCTGAAAAAGAAACGAACGATTGCAATCAGATGGATCTTTAACTTCTTCTATTGAGTCTTTAGGATTTCGTATAAGTCACAGCCGCAGACAGGAACTTGAGCTTTAACCATTTGCAGCACCTTTGGAAAAGTCTTCACAGCAAGTTCTGAGTACAACGGCTTGAAAATGATGACGTGTCACCTTTAAGAGATTATTTTCGGGTTACATCGTTTGTTGTTAAATTAGAAGCCCATCAAAATGATGGTCCTAAAGAAAGAAAAGCTTAACCACAGGGAATGTACAAATGCAACATTAATTTATCTTTAAATGCTGTGGAATGGAATTTCTAATTACCGTAATCTGCTTAACAAACAAAACTAAAATTCGTTTTGAGTCTACAACAGAAAGATCTTGAATAAAAATCTGTATTTGAATAAATATTATAGACTCCGTTTTTTGGTTGTACAAATGTAGGCTACACTTATGTTTGAGATCAAATCTTCACTTGCTTTAAGTATTTAGTAGATTGTATTAAAACGTGTCAGAATATTAGCATTTCGGGGAAATATGCAAATTAATTTTAAACAATGATTCGTTTGTCGAATGGACAGTCGTTTGTTTCCATTGTTAGAATTATTGTAAGATCTTTCTTCAGCAAAGTCTGAAAAATATATATTTCTTTTATGTATAGTATATCCAAATCATGCCTATGGCCCAAGAATCTGGCAAAAAGAGCACCTATATTTTGGACGACATTGAAGACGAGAATATTAAATCCACAAATAGTTTCTGCGTCTTTTTCCTTAAAGGTGTTGAATGTCGATTCCTCCTTCCCCAAAACTCTGTGGTTTTCATCAAACATCTGTCCCGTCCGGATGGATCCGGGGTCATTTCTTGCCTTTAGCGCCGAGTCTGCTGGTGTTTTGGTAAAACGGGCTGTCGGAGCTGGACTGGGACTGCGTGGTCGGGGTGCTTGTTTGCCCAGTGCGGTCTGTTAACTGTTGTTTACGAACTCAGACGGTGACCGAGGATTGACCCCGGGGTTGCTTTTGAGAGGCAACTGCGTTTTAAATCCACTCCGTGACGCACAGCGCGCATGAGCCTGCAGGAAAACCCTTGGGGGCTTAAACTTGCCAAAAGTCCGGTCTGGGAACACCCAAAGGTCTTCGAGGAGATTTTGGAAAAATTGTTTTCAGACGTGCCTTGTATATTGTGCTAGGATGGATTTACTTCAATTAGCACGTTAATCTAGTTTGACTTCTGTTCTGTTTAAGTTTAAATGATCAGGTTTGGACAAACATACAATCACTGGGAATTTGTGTTTGTCGGCTGTTTAGAATGGAAATATGAAAGTATCCATGTCATATATAAATACTTACATTGGGTATAAATAAATGTTTCCAAAGTTTTAGATGAGGTTTGATGAACTAATTCAGAAGATGTGGCCATCAGTATTCGAATGTGTATTCCTTTGTTAAAAAATAACAAAGTGGGACATTTCAAAAGGGTTTTTTTTTTGATGAAGCCTCTAATCTATGTTTCCTCATCCTATCATTCAAAATATGTTTAATCATATAACCACCAAAAATGTAAAAATATCATAATGCTGAGCATCGTACTACTTCCCATTGGTCTTTAAATCCATTCATAATTTCCTGTTAAGAAAGTAAACATTTTAAAATACATATTGCATTAACATAAGTTTAAAAGACCTCAAAATATAGATTGCCACATCGCTTAAACATATACCAGATAATGTTTCACCCCATTCTCATTTAGCTCATTTAGCAACACTTGTGTTTTGGTCCCGAAACAACTGCTCTGACACCGTAAAGGGATCGAAAGTTACCAGACTAACCTTGTCACGTGTTTCACACAGAGCGAGCCCTGAATCCGGGAACAACAGCTGATCCTATGCACAATTTATATAAAATAAAATAACATAAGAATATTAAAACAGAGTTTATGACTTACGATATTTGCTGTAGCAGAATTAGACTGAGCAGCCTTCGCTGCAGGTCTCCACAGCTCCAAAAGAGAAGCTGCTGCAGGTAGATCCCGGGTAAAGGTAAACGTCCCTCATTAATCACTGCTCTCCGGGCGGGTTTCTTGCCTTTTAAGGTATGATTGACTCACAGCCTAAACGAGTTACAGCGGAAGAATCAGTAAAAATCAAACTGATCAAAATGTTCTCTGTAAAATACGTGTTTGATTTGTATCAATTAATACTAACCAAACGTATTCAACGTTTAACGACAATATCATCGATATTTATTCCAAATGCATATTTGAAGAGGACTTTAACAAGCCATGCGTAGAACCTGGCATCATTTTAAAAAAGGAGGTCTGCTGACTTTGTGAACTGCTGCAAGTTTTCACTGTTCACGTCGCCATCGGGTGTCGGTGATGACGCCTCCTTGTGACCTGGGGAACTGGGGGGGTTGACACTGACAGGGGCAACGGGGCCCCACCCTTGTCGATAGTGTAACCTGGATGTTTTAATCGATAAAGTTTATTTTTGTCCCTTCAATAAGCCAAGAGCTCGCCGAGTTTGTCATCACAAATGACGCTGACACCCGCGCTCTCAACTCGTCCGCGGATAAACATGCCTTTGTGTTGCTAATAACCTTTCACCCCAGGGACGGGGGCGCGCACAGCCGCATACATTGAGAGAATCTGCCTCACGCGACAACAACAAAAAAAGACACAGCTTCTAAAGAAAAATCTGATTGTGACTCCCGTCAGCAACGACACAGATGAAAAGTCGTTCGGAGTTAAACGCACTTTAATACACATTATTGACCCGTAAACGTCACTCAAGACGGAACATATTGTATGTGCTCCACTGAATTAAATATACAACAGATGAAAGCCTGGGACATACACGGCCCAGCTGATAAAACTCAGCTCCCCGCTAATACAACATGAAAGCATCACGCATCATGCACATTTCACAACGTAAACATTCAAAGAGTCGAGGGACAGAAGCACACAGGCCTTAAACATGGAGGCGATGAAGCAGATATTATGACATTGCACCCTATAACAATGAACACAACTCATCTCTCTGATCGCGTGACGCATAAACACACAGTGCAATCACCCATAACTTTGGCACGTTTGAGGTATTTGTTTGTGTTTGCAGCTTTGTGACTCAACATTAGCACATTCACCCGTGAGTTTCAGGGGGGGGGGGGGGGGGGAGCTGGGTACCTTTGGCATGGTCGTGGTGCGCGCCCGTACGTCGATTTTCAACGGTGACACGTTCTAAACTATTTCCCTAGTTGCTTTGGAAAGCAGTGTCATCGTTCCTCCGAACATGATACACAATATAAAACAAATATATAACTCAGAAATTGTCCCAATTGTTGTCCAAAGTTTCACATATTGTATGAATCCATTGTAAATCTTCGGTATAGGCCGCTATGTGGCCCAATGGGAGAAGTTGGTCTTAGTTGGAGGAATAAGAATCGGACACCGAGGAGGACGCGGGAGACGGGGTGGAGGGGGCGGACATAGACTTCTCTGATGATCCATCATCCAGTTTCTCTTGACCGCTCTCTCCCGGGTCTGAGGGTGGAGGCTTGGTCGGCAACAACCCTTCTTTCTCCCTCTTCTTCTGCTTCATCCTGCGGTTCTGGAACCAGATTTTCACCTGAGTCTCGTTCAGCTGCAGCGCGGCTGCGATCTCAACGCGCCGCGCACGGGTCAGGTACTTGTTGAAGTGGAACTCCTTTTCCAGCTCCGTCAGCTGCTTGGTGGTGAAGTTGGTTCGGACCGTGTTCGCCTGACCCCCGTAACCGTATTCTCCACACCTGCCTACAGAAAGAGAAACATGTCACCGTGAATGTGGAGGAATACAAGTTACCTCACAGTCTCTCTGCAAACTTTTGCGAATTTACTTCGTGTGTCGGACAGACTCGTGGCAGCTATTAAAACAGCTATTTCTGTCTTTTGCTGTGAGAAAAATTATAAACAGGCAAAAGCCGGCAGCACGTATCATCAAAGTACACAAATTTCACTCGACAACGTGGTTAATTGTGCTCATTTTCTCATGTGATCCTACACGCAAACCTCTACCAACATTGTCTGACACCACATTCATTTAAAGAATTTGGTCAATACGCAACGCACCTGTTTTTGGAGGGTTCCTCTTGACCTTCATCCAGTCGAAGGTCTGTGCGGACGATGCGCCCTCAGACAGAGGTGAACAGCAGGTGTCAAGTTGAGCGGCGTGCAGTGGTGACAGCGGGTTTGAGCACGCAGGAAAGGGGGCTGCTTGCTCGTGCCCGCCGCCGTAGGCACCGTGGGCATATTGTAGTTGACCCAAGGGGGCGGCGCTGTAACCTTGGCGATGCTGAGAGGCCATGGAGGAGGAAATGTTACCCGAGTACATCAGTGGACCGCACTGGGGGAATCCCGCCGGGGTGTCCACTTCCTGGTTGAGTGCGTAATGGTTATACGTAGCACAGAAACTTTGGGGTCCATAGCTAGAGCTGCAGGCCGGATGGGCCCCGTAGGCGAGACCCAGAGAGCTTGCATTAGACTGGAATGACCCCGGCTGATTGAGGATGCCTTCAGGAGAAGCCCGGCTCCCCATGAAACGATCATCAGTCCCGCAATTGTTGACAGTGACTGCACAGGACTGGAAAGTTGTAATCCCGTGGTCCGAGTGAAAAGCCCTGACAGAACACGAGCCACCTTCACCGCTCATCACCGAGTAGTCTAGAAAGCTGCTCATTGTCGCATTGTTCTACGGGGACCGAGGGACCGTCCGCTCTACAGACACCCTCTCATCTCTTCCTCTCTTCCTTCTTACCCCAAGTGACCGTGGCAACCTTTACCTATGCCGTGCGCTTCATCAGAGGAGGGAGGGGGGTGGGGGGGCGCACGGGCCGATATCAATGAATGGCTGCTGTCACGTGTGTCTGGGTCAGCCAGTGAGGTACTCGTCCTTATCCCCTTAGTCTGTGACAGATTGGTGTTTGAGTGTCTATTTAAATTCCATGCGCTCGTCGATCAAGGTGACGCGCGTCGCCACTAATGTATTGGCCGAGCAAACAAATGCGCTGGGAGGCAGACGGAGGTGGGACAGCTCCGGGGTCGCATGGAGAGCGGTGTGTACGGCACAACACCGGGTCCTCTAACCCCTGCTCTCCCGGCCGGGGAAAGATTAACGTTTCGCCCTCTGACACCCCTCGACGAGGACGACCTAGCACTCTAACCCCAGGTACGGTATTTTTGGAGCAGAGAGGAGAATAGGTGCCTGTATGTAAGTTATATATGTGTTGATGCGTGTAAGCGCACGCGTTTGTGCTTGCGCCCTTATTGCGTGTCTGTATCCGCCCGTGCGTAATAGCCGTGATGTAACATGTACAGTGGTGTCATTCTCGTCTGGACGGATGGATTGCTCAGTGTGTGTCTGCCACTGCCACAGGCTATATTTGTCACCAGTGTCCCATTCCGATGCGAAGTGTTTCACGCTTTAACCCCGTGAGGGATTTGCTCAGCAAATATGTTCGCACCGTGACAGTGAGCGAGAGGCAGGAACGCCTCTCTCCTGAAAAAGTCGAAGAGAGCTTTCTAATAACTTTCTTTCCATTACGCATTAGAAGTGCTGGGGGGCTTTTCGGTACTTGCTGGGAGGTCACAGGTGATGTACTGACAAGAAAACCTATTAAACTTTAAGATGATTTAGTATTAATTGTTCATCTCCCGGGGTAGGGGTCTGCCATCTTCTCCCACTTCACTCCCACATATATTCATTATGCATGTATAGTGATCAAATGATCTGATAATGCGAAGCCAGTCGCAGAGCCTAATGCGCGCACACAACCCGAGGACCGACTGCGGGCTGATTATCCCGTTAAGTTCATCACATAAAGCTGTTGCTTTATTGCTTGGAATTAATGGCGAAAAGCTGCATTGGAAAGAAGACTGAGGAGTTGGGGGCGCGTCCGTGGGAGAGCTGCGACGTAGCGGTAGCAGAGCGCAGAGACAACCTCTCACTGAGGAAGGAAAATAAAGGGGAGGGAGGAAGGAGGGAGGGAGGGAGGGAAAGGGGGTGGAGATGATCGCGTGAGCGCCCTTAGTGGTCGTGTGTGGTTAGACACCCAAAACGTTCTCCAGGCGTTGGATGGATGGATAAACAGAGGGATCGACAGATATAGCAGAACGTTTGAGGCTGAGCAGTGCAGAACATCACAGCAAATACATAACATCGAGAACCACCTCAACCAGCTGCAGCATCAACAAAATATCACCAACGAGAAACTGTTACTATGCATAATACATGTGATACGGCAACACTTGCACGGGGCATTACTGCAAAATGATAACGTGATCATATGTACTTAGGTACGATGTATGTCTTTCCCTTGCTTTGGAGTGTTACTTTAGTGTTGTTTCTAAAAGCAGGGGGAATTATTCTGATTTTAAATTGAGTTCCAGTAAATCTGGTTTAAAACAAGCACAACTTATTTTTTTTTAAAGGGAAGAGGGTTTGCAAACTTCCCACCAGTGAGAAAAAGGCGCAGCGGGGTCAACACTACCCCCTCCTCCCTCCTCCCTGTCTTCCCAGCTGCTTCTGCAACAGTAGTGAGTGGGCGAGCAAGATATCCCGCCTGTGAAAACTTCGCCGGGCCTCGGAGCTTTCCTGCCTCTTTGTGTGAACACACGTGAGCAGAAAAGGCGCGCTGTCTCGGAATGATTTGGTTACGCGGGCCCCGTGGTGGTCAGTCACTGGTTGCTTGAGCGCAGGAGTGTGGACACCCCCCCCCCTCCCATCTCTCCTCCCTCCCCCCTTAAACACATATAACCACACGCACTCAAGTTACCGATTAGACGTTTGCCAAACCATTCGATTGGCTATTTATGGCTTCCAGATTATTCGATAAACCGTCTGTGTATGAGTTTCTGAATCGATCCGTACAGGCCGGCGTTGCAACCGGTGGCTCTTTTTGTTGTTGTTGCTATTTATGATACACATAAAGCGGTAAAAAAAAAAAAAACTACTGATGCACTAAGCCGTGCATGAGCTAATAACTGATTCCCATAAGTCAACTAAAGTGCAACATAATATAGAAGGACCATTCATAAGCCCCGTATTGAACTCCATACTTCAAGCAGAACACTTTGAAATACTTTAAATCGAATGCCCTTTAGAAACTCACAAACTTTACTGATAGAAGACGCCACATATTCCTTAACGATGCTTCCTCTGCAGCTACATTCTAGTAAATGTGTTTCCGATGACTAAAATCGCGGAGAACAGTATGTTTTGAGTCTGAGCTGCACGGGTGCAAATCGTAACCTCGGTAGCCTCCTACTGCATGCTGCCGCTGTCCCCGAGCCACAGCCCTATTTAAAGAAGCTATAAACATGAATTATTGCCAAACGCATGCGGGGACTCAGTCCCTTTCACAGGAATTGGGGAGTTCCGTATGAAAATGTAAGCGAGGTATTATTTGAGCACATTAAGCCACAATTGGTCTCCTTAATGTCCGTCTCATTCATGCCACGGAGTGATTTATGAGCTCCTGAAGGCAAACATGGCTCGGGTATTCGCCTCCAACATGCACACAATGTTAAGAGCCCTGTCATGTTAAGATCCGCTTGTTTGCTTTTACTCTCCAACGAATGAAGTTTGAGGGTGAAAATAAAAATAATCTGCGTTAGGGTTTCTGTATCGCGTTTGAAATATAGTGGCAACGTGATTGTTTAAATTTGAGAAAAATAAAAGATAAAGTAATTCCAACAAAACAAAGGCTACTTTTCATCAGTTGATTTAATGCTAATTAGAAGAGATTTTAAAGTATTTCACTATATTTAAAAAAGTTGTCACCAAAGTTTTACATTTGGAAAGGATGTGCCCCTGCATTCTTTCATAAAAAGACAGCCTACTTAGGTCTTACTAAACTATTTAAAACTATTCGACTATGTTGAAATTAAATTCTTAATTAAAAGTAAATGATGTGTGTTTTTACAACTCATCGCGATCTGGACTATTTTAATTCATTACCAACTTGTTGTTGAATTTGCATAACGTTTTTGTCGATTCATGCCCTCGTTTTTTTATTTTGCATAATTTCCACATAAATAATTCAAGCTAAATATTATGTCGGTAAATACAATAAGAAATGACTCAAAACACAAGAAAAAAAGTATTGTAGCAAGTTAATTGTATTCTAACAAAAATATCCAAGACATTGGAAGCTATACAAAAATAAAAAGACCAGGCTCCATAGGTCTACTGTGAAACTATTCACAAACACTCATAATTTTCATTCCAAGAGAACAATTTGCTGTAAATTACAATATGTGAGTAGAAGCTTTTTCAGTGATTTCATGTCATCCTTACCTTGTATTAATCGTCAAATCAAATACCAACAGAATACATGTTCGGGATGTACAACTAACAACACAGTTAACACCATCGCAACCTGATATTTAGTGTCCAAATGAAAGATAAGAACTTGATTGATTTCAGTTAATAGTTTAGATGCTGCAGGTCGATTGTAGTTAGGGACTCCGAGAAAAAATAGAAGTTGTCCGCCGAAATGTCAACGGGGCTGTCCAGAGACTCCGATAAACTCGGCGAGGCTGCGTCGGAGAGCTGTAGGCAGGAATCCGAGGAGAAAGGTTGAAAATCGTGTATAGAAACCTCCAGGGCCGGGGGACTGTCCCCATTGTCCGGGCCAGATGCCGAGCCTGGGCCCATTGTTGACATGCAGCCCGGAACAGTGGGTGACGGGTTGGGAAAATGTTTCAGATTTTTGTCATTGCTGTTCAGCGGCGCAGCAGCAAAGATCATGGACTCGCCATTGTGGAGCTGCTGCATAGAGCCCAGGGAGTTGTTCTGAAAGGAGCAGGTATCTCTCTCCAGCAGGGCCCCGCTCCGCTCGTACAGGGGCCCCTCGTCCTCCTCGTCGCTGTGGATTCCGTCCTCGGCGCCCTGGCCTTTCTCCTCCCCGTTGTGGTTCTCCTTGGTCTGGGTCTGGCGCTTGTGCTTCATGCGCCGGTTTTGGAACCACACTTTGACCTGCCTCTCGGTCAGGTCCAGCAGGGCCGCTATCTCCACCCTCCTCGGCCGGCACAGATACTTGTTGAAGTGGAACTCCTTCTCCAGCTCCAGCAGCTGTGTGTTGGTGTACGCTGTCCTCAGCCGGCGGGAGCCCCCACCTCCCCCACCGCTCTCCACAATCTCAGGCGAGCCTGGAAAAGAACGGTGGCATAGGATTAAAAAAAACGCAGGACACAACGGTTACACAACCCCCGCTGCTCCCGAATCTAGAATTATGGCTTTCACAAACCACCAGAGAGGGGCTCACGCAACGCTGCAGCAAAATGGCCGCTGGAGCTCCCGAGCCAAGGCTATAGCAGGCACGCCATTTGTGCACAAATCATCACGGCAAATTGTTTTGCATGCAAAATAATGTGCAGTCCGAGCTGGAGCAAACACGGTGCACTAAATGCAGCGAGGTCCATGCTGGTGTGGGATACTAATGAATGCTCCAGCTGCCCTCTCCTCGGCGACGGCACTCCCATCACTCTTCATTACTGTCACACATCAAAACTCCCGGCTAGGGGAATAAATCATCTCACCAAACTTTACCAAAACTGCTTTTTTTTCTTCTTTTTTTTCTTGCTTCTTCCACAACCACAGAAAAAGCAATGAGCACACACGCATATCACGATAAAAACCTATGTGCATGCTGTGTCTTTTCGGCCTGTTCCGGAGCTCCGTTTAAGCAACAGATAGTAAAACACTTCTGCTGCAAAGTGTTTTGAAATCACCAACCTTTGGGAGAAAACGAGCACTCGGGCCCATTGGAAATGGCGGTAGCGCTGGAGGTCGGCAGGTGGTTCCTCTTGGAGGCTTTCTTCTCCCGCATCCACGGGTACTCCGGGGGTAAGGAGGCGGTGGGCAGCGGGCTGCATCCGTCGGGGCTGTGTCTCGGCCGGCCGTGGCGCGGATGGCTGCCCGGATTCAAGCTAGGGATGGTCTGCTCAAAGGGAGGAGGAATCAGTGTCGGGCGTGAAAGCGTCGAGCTCTTGATTGATGAACTTTGAAATGAATCAGCGACAGGGGGGAAAGATGTCAGGCACTCAGCGAGCGATGGCTGACTATTGATAAAACCGCTCTCTCGCTCGAATTCGTAATTCATCTCCGCTCCCTGAGAGCCTTGGAAAGTTTGCGCGCGTATTTTTAGAATTGTTGCGGCTCAGTGGCGACGAAAAAGAAAAAGTCATTAAAAAAATATCCTGGTGGTGTTTCTATGCTATGTCACTGATTACGGCCGTATGGGGACCGAGCTGCTATTAAACTATTGAATTCATGGAGACAAGGTTGAAATTGGACCGAATTGCCTGTCACATGATTACCTCTGCCCAATGACAATTTGGGGTTTAATCAAAAGGAGCCACTGTCTGCCTGATTGATCCAAAAACGCCTCGATCAGCTGGGGGACGACTGTTTTTATTTACATCTTTATCCGCTCAGTTCATCCTCCCCTAGCCCGTCTAGTCCAGTCCACTAAGCTACAAAATGTGTTTTTTAAGAACGGCTGACGCTCACTATTACGGGGAAGGAGACCAGCACAGGGTGCGCGGATTCGTGCACTCCTCTTTCTCGTATTGTTTGAGGATGTCAGTCGAGAACGCCCCCACCACATACACACCGACACACACTGACACACACACACACATTTCACGTCAGGGGCTATTCATATAGGCAAGAGCCAGGCTACAGAGGTGAAGAAATAGCATAAGCCAAAAACTGATATTGAGCCTGAAGTCGACAGATGCAACCGCCCAAATAATCCAGTATGTGTTCACTGAAGGTGGACTCAAGAATAAAAGTGATTCTTCAAAGATGCATGATAATGAAATATGCAGTGCACCCATCGACATGTGCAGCAATAAAAAGCCCATCCATTAAGTTAATACTGACGAATATGACACGTTCAGACCTTTTCATCCCATAACAGCTGTTTAACATTTACAGCTCAGGCACAGAAACTTGTAAAAAAAAAAAAAAAAAAGAACGAAGAAAAGACCCACCACACACATGCACTCAATGCATGCGCAGTCAGAGAAATTGTTTTATGTGCTATTAATCTGTCCTCTTTAACGCACAAACGTTTTTCGTTTGTCCCACAAAAGGTAGATTTAATTACTGGGGCATAAGCGCACATGGTTGTGCACAAGAAACACACTATGCTAAACAAACAAGATATCGTTCTTTTTTGATTGCTAATAATCACATTTTTTCGATAAACACAGGTTCAGTAATTGTGAGCTTTTGAATACTGCTTCTGGCACTGCTATTACTGCTTTTGTATTCATCTGGTGGAAAACGACAAAGCTAGAACAGGGTTCACATGGAGGACAGTAGCTGCAATGCTGAGAAAAAACATCTCCCATATTTCCATTATCTATTACACATGAAATTGTAATAAAAATAACATCACCTTTAGAATCGACCATTTACAATGAATCAATTTGCAGCATTGCTATGTAAATAGTTCGGGTTATTGGATGGGACTGTAACCTCCAATGCTGTGTTTCAAAGCCCTTCCAGAATAATCTGTGGAAGCCTCAAATGGGATGTTTTTCGTCAAGCAGTATCTGTAATTCCATTTAAAATATATATGGCTTGGTGAGTGAGAGAGGGGAAGAAGCGAAGTGGTAGGCCTCTCTCAGTTTGTTGCTTATATACCAAACAAAGAGTCCTGGAAGCCTGTGCGCGATCAATCTTACTCGCCAAAAGGTCTGACAGCTCGGTGCCCTCACAACACATTTAAGGCTTCTAACTCTCCCCCGGATCAAATGCAGCCAGGAAGTGGCGAGAAACACTGGCCACTCACATTAGAACCAGTTTCTGCTTGCAGTTGTAGCCGAGATGTCGCTGGAGGGATCTTTTCTAAGATAAATATGAATCCATCTACACAAGCTTCAACCGTTTCTTTTTTCTTTTCTTTTTTTTTTGTGGAGGCGTAATGCGCCAACGGTGAGTAGGGCGAAGCAGATTCTCCACCTGGCTTTTATCTTGGGATTGTAAACGCATTTACACAAAGACAAGTATTTTTGTCGTTTCGGTAGACGTGCAGGTTTGTGAGCGGACGCCGTGTGATGTAGGACAGAGTTGCTAGGGGAAGAGATGGATGGCTTTTTTGGAATTACGCACAGGCTTTGTGTGCAAGGAAAGGAGTGGGTGGCGGCATTTAGTAGACCCCGCTCTGTCCTGCACACTTGTCTTTACATCAGGATTGATTTAAGACCACTTTCCCACGGATGGAAATGCAATGAAAGAAATACAAGTCGTATCTCGTTTAAAACGTTATTTATGTGCTACCTGCATGCGCATATGGGTCAAATCAGCGCCTTGCTGTGCACGTGCATGTGCGCGCGGGTCTGTTGGACGCAGGAATAGTGCATCAGTTTTTTTTTAACTGTGACACACCATGGTTCAATTGTTCTAGGTTTCCCTGCTAACCATATGTCAGGGTTACTAATGTTCATGCCCTCTTACATCAATCAGATCAAAATTGTTTCAGTAAGACCAAATTATTCCGCATTATTCTTTGCATATGAACAGACAATAAACATGGTACGAACGATTGTGGTTACATTTACAAGAGAAATAGAAAAGCATGGGAGTTATTATTATTATTATTATTGACATATTTCGGGAGAAAAAAATACAGATATCTTAGCTCCATGTGTGGATGGGTGTATTTTTGGCAATGCTATGAATTACTGCATACAATGAAAATAAACTGAAATTAAAAAAATATACAAAATAAAGTTTATTCATTTTATGTAGGCCCCTTTATCTAAAGAAAATATACCAAAAGGAATTCGAAGCCGATTCATAGCTTTGCTGTGACCATCCATGAGACTGAGGCGTTTTCTTTTGAACTGGTTTCATGATGGCATATAATGTGTGATATGACACAAAATAAGCCTCGTTACAACTCATCTGTCCTCTCTGACTGCGTTTGACTGTTTGAATTATCAAGTATTATTCAAACGAATCCTCATTTAGCTTGTTGTCTTCTTGCAGAAGCTCCAGAAGGGCCCGTGTGACATTTGTACTATTATGGATGTGCCCACGCAGATGAGAGGAGGTGGAAAGGCCATCCGAGACTTTTCTTCACGTCGAATCAAGAAGAGAGCAGAGAGAAAGAAGTAGCTTCAATTCAATGTTTTACCTTATCTAGAAACATTTCCATTTCTGTTATTTAATATGAACCACTGGTTTCACGTTATTTTCGATGCATAGATATTATGGAAATATATAGAAAGTAAAAATAGTACCAACTGCAATTATTTTCATTGAATTGTTTGTTAGGTTGCCAATTTTCAGGAAATGTCTGTATTTTTTTTGCTATCACTTTCACAATTAAATATTGTCTACAGCAGAACTAAACCAAACATATTTTACATATTTTGAAACTGTCGTGTATTTGATTTGGTGATCATGTGAAATGCTTCCGATGTGTCTAAATTAAAACTACAAGGATTGCTACAATTATATTTCAATTATTTTATTGATTTTTTCGAACTGGAGCAGCGAGGAATGTATGACATCGAAAAGAAAATTGATGATGTCTTTTTCTTTTTTTTCTTCAAGAAAAGAAAATGGAAATGTTTGTCCTTCTTTTCATCCTTATTGCATTACTGATTGATTTTACATTCGCTGAGAAAAAAAAACTCCTTGAAGAAGGAAAAACTGAAAGCCTAATAGCAACATATGCTGCTGCATGGGTGCTTCTGGATACATGTTTGGGCTGGTAACGGGCCAAGGCGCTAAATTCCCACCAACCTTATCACAAATATGGCAGAGGTGTCAAATAATACTAAAGGACTCCTTTTTCTTAATACTAAACAAAATAAATAACATTTAAAAAAGTCAAATAGATCAACACAAGCAAGGGAGAAAGCGTGTGAGCTCATGTCCCTTGTTTTTGAAAAATGCATTTTCCTCATAATCCCAACTCGCGGCTCTTGAAGGATCCTTTCACAAGTGCAACACAATGCAAAACACAATTCTTCAACTGCGGATAAATAAAAGACGGACACGTTCACATTCAAATGAATAACATATGTTCATAATACCCTGTTTACGTTTCGATTTTAAAACAAAAAAGAAAGAAAGAAAGAAAGATTAAATAGGGCTCTGCTTATATTGTACCCTCCTCCCTCCCACTGTAGACGTCCTACAGCCAAGATAAAGGTCGTTGTAACACAATGACACGAGCAAATGGAGAAAAATTCAAGCCAATTGTGATTATTTATCCTACCCTACTTCACACATCAAACTATAGAGAACATAAACAAACGTTGAGAGAAGGTGGATGCCGCGAGGAAGCGCAGAAACAAAGCAGTAATGTGTCTGGAGGCGAATGAGACAATGGGCGGAGTGATCCGGCTGCGCCACCGCTACAGATGCGTCAGTTTGGGCGCTTCCTGGATTCTTCCCTGAGAGTAGTGCGACGTTAGGTCTGTGTACGTCGGTGTCGGATCACACACTCCGTGATGCTGACTGTTGCCCATTGTGATTGCTCCATTGTAGTCCATACTGGCGGGCGGCGGGTGCTGGAGGTGGGTTAGACCGAAAACGGAGGTCCCCGAATTGGGCATAGAGTCGATGTAGCCTCCGCCGACATAAACGGGGCTGCCCTGCATGTGAGCCCCGTAGTTGCCATTGCCTTGGAGAGGATGTGCGTCATACTCGGGCGTGGCCGAGTCGTTCCCGGGATACCTCTTCTGGGAGGGCGGGCAGTTGTTGAGGGAGCTGTTCAATGGAGGGGGGTATGACGTGGACATAACGTATGCGTTTTGATGAGGTTTATTGTAAGACGTCGGCGACTGGGATTCATAAGGTACACTGTTGACTAGAGAATGCATAGAGTTGAGGTATCCTCCGCCACCACCGCCCCCACCGGAGACGGGGCCAACGGGACTCCGGGGGGACTGTCCGCCAGGAGAAGGCATCATCCCGACACCTTTCTGATCCTTCTTGTATTTCATTCTGCGGTTCTGGAACCAGATTTTGATCTGTCTCTCAGTGAGGTTGAGCAGGTTGGCCATCTCCACCCTCCGGGGTCTGCAGAGGTACCGGTTGAAGTGGAACTCCTTCTCCAGCTCCACCAGCTGGGCGCTTGTGTAAGCCGTCCGGGCCCTCTTCGAAGCCGCTGACCCCGGCGGACTCTTGTCTCCAGGGCAACTCTCCACTGTCAGGGAAAAAGGAGAGGACGGTGTCAGTCAGTAATCCATTAAAGACAGAGAGAACTAGACCGAGAGAGGGGGGGGGGGTCTGACAACACACGCACAGTTGATAACACAGCTTTCAACCATCAAGTAGGGTCGGTTCACGAGATGAAAAAAGCCATGATCCAACCTGAATACTGGTGCGATGATGGACTCCCCCCCCCCCCCCCCTTCTTCCTCCTTCCTTGATTGTGAGCGTATGGCACGTTTTGATAAACCCACAAGGGTTATCAGGAGGCCTCGATAAGACAATTAACAATCGCTGTACGCGCACTGGGTCTGTGTACGCTGCACACTGCGATAACCACGGAGAAAACAACGTAACAGTGGGTAAATATTTGATATGAAATCAGGTAACCTCGGGAGCTTTAAAATATGTTTGACCCGCCCCCCGTGGTGACGGAACGGCACATGCGTAATGCAAACACAGCATTATGTACTCCCGAGGGTGCACGAAACACAGAACTCTCCTTTAAAAGCTGCAGCTTGGCTACAGGACCGCGGCGTGTTGGTCTACTTGCTGCTGTGGCGTGCGGCCAACACTTAATAAATTTCACTATCTGTCGTCTAAACGTGGAGCAAGAGGAATGTAGCATGACATAACCGGTTACATGAAGGCAAAGTTAACTGCGGGGATACTCTTGTGTGTAGGGGGTCCTTATTAAATGTGATGACTGTTGAGATACTTTACTTCATATTTAAAGAACAGTTAACTCGTTGTGTTAAACGCAGGATTAATGTGATCCCCTCTGGCGCGTGTGGAAGTCTTTTCAGAAATGTCAGCACCTCAATGTGTTGTTAAGGTAATGAAAATACACATAAATTAGTTGGAAAATGACCCAAATGGGAAGGCGAAAATTTGTGAAGATTGTTGATTGGCATTTAAGTATACGCCAATACTTCCCCTGACTTACCACGTTTTAAACTAATTCAAAAGCAAAGCCTGCGCCCATGAGTGAACGTGCTTAAAATACTTTTAATGACTATTAGAACTTTTACCTCTACCAACAACAGAATTATAAAATGTCTTTCTTTCTTTCTACACAAGAGAACGGTCATAAGAACTATGAGATTCTGTTTTTTAACCTTATATCATTTTAAACACAAATTCCCCACTGTGACCCACCAAGGTTTCCTCCAATTGAACCGCAGGGCCTGACCGTCTACGTGCGTAAATTGGTTTCCATTCATGTAAATACGTCAACATGCTGTTAAAACTAATAGAGCACTCTCAAAAAAAAACACAAACATTTTATTTTAATAAATCAAGGCATTATCTTGTTTTACATCTTCAAAATGTACTGTTTAATTAATAAAAATCAAGAAATGAAGATCCCCCAGACCCTTCAACATCACCGTGTTTTCTGTCATCAACGCAGCAGGATCTTGCTACATGCGCGCGTAATAATTGCGTAAATGCTTTACACAAAATTAAGCCACATAAATGAACTATTTTCCCCTGTTTCAACTTATTCGAAATGCACTAAAGACCCCAAACAAAACCCCCCACTATGACCTACCAAGTTCCCCCCCTCATCAAAGCAGCAGGACAAACCGAAACAACTGTTTTGCGTGTTTGTTTGTTGTCTCCGCAGGAAGGTTATGTGATCAGTGAACGATGTTTACAGTAAGGACAGGTCAGCTGCAGGGCACAGGGACAACAAATGGTGGACTCTTATTCCAATACTGAGGAAAATCTCTTCAGCAGTCTAAATGTATTTATAGTCTATAACCATAGTGTATTTATAGAGTATCGTGTTTGGAGGGGTTATTTGAGAACTAACTTATAGTTACAGGATACAATATGTACTCTGACTGCGTTAAAAATGTTTTGATTTAAACGTGTGGGCATATTTGGCAGTATAGTTACTGAATCAATTGTGGGTCTCGGAGGGAACCAAATATATACGTACATAATGCAATATAAACGACCGACTTAAAAACGATGGGGTAAAATTTACGGCTGACCGTAGCACATAAATCACCGAACACTTTAGCCCTCACACGGACACCGGCCAGTTGCTCGTCGCCTCCCCTCTTCTCCTCACCTGTAAATATTATTTCCACACTCCACAAAACGAACATGTAACTTTCCGGTTAAAGGTTATGGAGTTATGTGAGTGTCAGCAGCAGTGTTTTTAGGTTGAAAGTACCTGAACTGGAGCTACTGGTGGGTTTCTGCTTCGTGTTCTGGCGGGATTCCTTCATCCAGGGGAAGATCTGTTTGCGAGTAGCAGAGGTCGGGGAGCCGTTCTTGGCGCTGGGCTGGTTGGACCCGTTGCTTGTGTTTTGGATGATAGCACCGGGGGATTGTGGGGGAAGGGGTGGGCCCGACACGGGCACCTGTGGTTGATTGCTTTCGTGATGAACCTTGGACTGCGCCGCCTGAATAGCTGTGGTCCTGTCGCAGCTCTCCGCCATCTCCCCCGGTTTCTGCAGAGCCGCGGAGCCGTCAGGAGACTGCAGAGAGCAGGCAGGTCGATGGTACTCACTTTCCACATGAGAGCCCCGGGGATATTGGACCTGATTGGCATCATAACTGAAGCCATTTGCGCTTTGATATGGGTAGCCACTGTAAATTGCGGAGCTGTCGTAGTAGGTTGCCTTTTGCATCTCGCCGTTTCCCAATATTTATTTCAGAAACTGACAGGGTCTTGACACCCTTGTAGAATAACATTGGCACCCCGTGGTCACGTGACGCCTCTCCGCCAATGGCCTCCTCGGGTGAACCTAGGGTTACAAGACGCACTGTGAGGAGAAGAAATGGTGGCGATCCATCTTACTTTTCAATACAGGCCTGACACTGGAGACTATGGAAGCAGGATAGGGCCAACAGTTCTGTAGACTATTACCGTTTACCTTATGGCTTACACGGGCCACAAAGGGACACGCTAACCTTGCATTACCATCTGTGTCAAACCACTTCAAAACAAACCTCATCAAAAGTCATTTTAGGTTGCCAAATCAATTCTGGAAGCTAACAAGAAATTGTACGCCTTTTGAAATTGTTAGTTTATCAACAGTGAAACTAAATACCGAGTTACTCAACACCATTTAGAGAGGGGATTAAATATGTTAAAAGTGTACTGAAGGAAAATAATATCTTATGTGTATTGTGTTGTATTTTTATTTTGTCAACAGGGTGTCGACACTGTATATAATTCCTCGTGTATAAAATAAATGCATAAATAAATTCTATATGAAGCACAAACTCTTAACTCATGCACGTTCTTCACTATAATTGAACCAATTCATTCTTCCTTCAGAAAACAGGACAGGTCTCGTTGCGCTGCGCTTGCCTTGCCCCCCTGACGAAGAGCATAAACAACCGCATTCTTTTTCTTTTCTTTTCTTTTTTTTGCGTGCTGCTGGAAACAAGGAAGGGACACGAGGAAACCTGAAAAACGAGGTGAACATCCGCGTGTCTCTGACCGAGGTGTAAACTTTTCCTTGCAGGCCCATAATAATGGCCACTGTCGGTGCTGTCTGCACGGTGGCCCGTCGCGGTGATATATGGGGGTCAGTGGGCCGGGACGGCCTGCTTAGAGTGAGTGGCACGGTGAGCAGCCAAGCCCGGTACTCAGGCGGGAAGAAACCCGGCACGGTACCGAACCTGCTGCTCGACCACCACCATTCACGCACGTAATCTGGGAGATTCGGCTTCTAAAATAGTATTAGGGAAACGATAGACCATTATAGGTCAGATCCGGTCATCAGGGGGAAATATTTTATAATATCACACTGCTCACGAAAAAGCGAAATATTGATTGTGGATTGACGATGTTTTATTTTTTTAATTTGAAATAGAATAGAAAAGAATAGAAGTGCGATGATGATAATAATATTCAGATTGATTCAAATTATACTAATAATGTAATAATAATGATGCATGGGGGTGCAATGATGATGATTAACGATATTAATAATGTGCTGCATCACTTTTAGATTAAATGGAATAGTTTTTAAATAGGTGCACAAATATCAAACGAAACCCGCTCTATTTAGTTCTGAAATGATGCGCTTCCTTTGTCTGTGCTCTAGATTCACTTATTGCACTCCGATGCAATAGGATCCGATCCAGAAAGCAGATCACTTCGACAATCATTTTAACTAATAAGAAAGCAATATAATAACAACAAATTGATTGCAACTCTTACATTTGAATGTGTAATATGGTTATGGTTGTAAATGTGATGCCACACGGACGGCAATAATACTGCAGACTTGTATATGAACTTCCTGGTTTTTTAAATCCCACGGTAAAGCCCGTAGCACAGATCCGGAGCAAACATATAACTAGAGTGCCTTTTCCTACAAATGAAAGCGGAAGAAGTGGAAGGAAAACATCTGCAAACTCTGAATGCAAAGCGAATTAGTATAAAAATCAACTATGAGCGTGTACTCGGCACAGCTACACCGCAGAGGGAAAGAAGGTGTCCTCGCCGTGTGTGCAAAAGATATCCGAAAGCGTTGTCTTCGTTGTCTATCTTCGGGCGAGCGATTGCGATAGTCATTAAAAGAGAGAAAGAGAGACAAATGACAGACTTTGTGCGCAGCCCTGCGCTCCACGCTGGAGAAATCCGGCTGCCTGGCTGTGTGTGAACTCTTCCTGAACCGAGATCTAAGTCATACGGTGATAAATCACTGCGCGACACACAAACTCCGCCATTAACAACCGGGGGAGCCTATATTTCTGGCCTGCTTACCTTATCCTCTGACGACGAATGCACAGCACCAAACGATATTTTCTCATTCAGCGACGAAATCGATCACAGCCGTAATCCAGAGAAAAGTTAGAAGGCTAAGGTGTGCTGGGTGGAAACGGCAGCAGAGTGCGCCCTGCCATGCACCAGGCATTAGCAGCCACAACAACAAAAAAAGGGAAGAGCCGAGAGAACCCCCTTTTCCTTACCCCCTTTTCTTCCCCCCCCCCCCCACACACACCCCCCTACTCGACGTGGATGGGTAAACCGAGATTACGAAAGCAGGCGTGAGCAGTCGGGTCAGCGAGATAAGAGTTATCTGGCCTCTAGATTGAATGTATCGTCATGCTATAGAGCAACGGCCGGGGCTTCATAGTAATATTAAACTCAGCCAAGGCTGTGGTGGACGACGTGATCCTTCACCAGTACCATCACCAGTGAACTGCCCCGAACCAGAGCGTCACCATAGACAAAAAAAATTATGCAAATAAGTAGTGCCTTGGAAAGCCAGTTCAAATGAAGTGGCTGTTTCTCCTCCTCCCCCAACAAAATGAGGTGGTGCATTTAGAAGAAGAATAAAAAAAATACTCTAATGTGTTCTAATATAAGTAAATCCCTAAAGTGTTTTCAATATTTGTGTTATTATTTACCCGACGCCATGAGGCGGAATTATTGTCCCTTTGACGGAGATGTTGGAGAGAGGCGAGTATACAAAGGAATAATCAGCCGCTGACCACGCGGCATTTCCATTTCCACGCGACATAAAGGGCTTCTATCCGCGGCTTGATCATTAACCCGCATTTTTGCATATAGTCTTCAGTCTTTAGGAGCAGGGGACGCGCTATGTCTTTGCATTCCAACTCCATGGCTTCTTGTATGAAGAAGTCAGTACAGTATTATTGGGAGGTGTGGTGGGGGGGGGGGGGGCAAAAGAAAAGAAAAAGCACAACAACTTCAGATCAAAGCCGCATTCTAAGTATATCATGTGGAAAACCCCACCGGGAGCAGGGTGTGAAAAATGAGAAGAAGGTTCATCACCAAAAGGCAGAGCGGAGGACACGCTGCGAGGAACAGGGAAGAGGACGGTCGGCAGCGGGGGGAATCCCTCTGCATGGTAACGCGTCTCTTTCGCAGCCAAAGAAAGAAGAACGGTAGGTAATAAATGTCTGTGCTCGCGTCCAGAGCTGCAACCCCTTTGCCGGCTTCAGCCTCTCAGACCAAATCCAATGACAATTCAAATGAGGGAGAACACGCGGGACGGCGTGGGAGACTGAGTGGGACAAAAATTCACGCGTGAGGGTTTTTTTTTTTTAGCCAACTCTGCCTTTTCTTTTCAAAAGCAGAGTAGTCACATGGTGTAATAATTTACTTCTTTGTAATTTGATAAAATGCTGATTCGTCTGTCTCCTTAGTTTAGCCGTGGGCCGAGGGTTAAATGTCACGAGGTGGTGGTCGCATGGGGCCGTGCACGATACGGCATGAAACGACTGAAATGTTGATAAAAATCCATTTTTAAAACGTGAGTGCAGTAAACTATAGCGGCTACAAGCAGATGGCTTTCAGTGAAAGTAGTTTTGGAAAGGAGTAAGGCACCGCTCCAAGAGCTGCGATTCCCCTCGTCACTTTTATAGTGACAAATTACACCACAAAGACAAGTGGAAGAGAAGGAATTATTGCTCTCGGGCTGGTCATATTGCTGCTACAAGCCATAGGCTGCTTCTCTATTCTGGCGAGTGCTTTGGTGGGCGCCCGTGGTACTTATTAGAAATTGAATAAGGATATTACAATCAAGCATTCATAACACAAATCAATAAAGATATATGGACTTACCGTAAGCAGTTCAAGGTCTCTCGTAGACCGTGCGATGGCCTCAATTCACTTGGATGGAATTCTGCAAAGAGCACATTAAAAAAAAAATGGTTAGAAGTTAATGTTTATATTTAAACGTGTTCTGGAGAATGTATTTGTGTCATTTTGTTCATGCAAAGGCAATTTGGTTATTTGATTACAAAAAAGTTTGTTTGCTAATGATGAATTGCTTAGGCCTTATTTATTTTAAGGAGGCGCAGAATCAAACGTTTTGAAATAGGCTACAATTCGATGCAACCGTTTTCAAGAATAACTTTAACTTATTTTTGGATTTAGCAGCAGTCTTTGTGTTAAGTTAAATCGTTATGGGGCGGGGGTCATTTAAATCTTCATTTATTTTAAACAAAATGTAAACCAATAAACCAACGTTTGTAAGAAATCAAATAACATAAAATACAATGGACAACATCCATAGATAAAAGTCTGAAATGCGCATCAGACAAAAACCACATTACAACAAAGTATTGCTCCCTATCAGCGTAATATCACTAATAACATAATATCGGTCAATGCAAATAACGTGTTCGTAGTTTCCCTGCTGACCGGTAAGCATTTTCTCCACAAGCGGATCGAATAGTCATTATCTGTGGAGCACCATCTTCCCCAAGTCCCCGCGCCCATAAATCAAGAGGGAGCGCCGTGACCTCGGCGCGGCCGCGCCATCCTGGATGGCACTCCGTCCACCATTATTTCCTCGTTTCCCCGGCGCAGCGACACAGCCTCACCGCCATCCCCCTACTTTTTATGTAAATCGTCTTGATGTACCATTTAGGCACACAACCTCACGCCGACAATATGCTTTTGTTTTATAGGAATGGTTGCCACTTGGAACCATATTCTTCGATATTTAAATGGCCGCTTTATTTACTAACGCTTGTTCAGGCCCCTTCATCCAAAAAGCCTGATTTTGCTATCAAATAATTACGTCTGTCAAACTGTAATAGTGGCTTAAATGTAATGTTTCGGCAGCATAACATGGAGCATTGTTTATATTTATATTACCCACACAAATCCTTAAATCGTCACCAATATATACCGTGAAGGGTTGTTTATGTTGTATTTGATTAGCTGTGATGAATCGGTGATATTAGCCGATAAATTCGTTCACCTTTCTTGTACCTGTCTATATTTTCTCGCCCTGCAGAAACCCTGGACCCCTATTTTACTGACCTCTGCCTCGCGCAGCAATAACTCACGACAGTAATGAACAATCGGCGGAAATACCTCAAAATAAAATCCATCCTCTAGCTCGGTCTCTGACTCTCTCCGCGTGGGAAAAACATATCCGTCCGCGACAGCAGTATAATACATCCACAGAGCCGGGATCCCCTCTCTTTCAGTTTGAATCTCGTTTCTTTTTCTCAGCTCGAAAAAGCAAACTATAAAGCGCGGACACCCCTTACGGAAAGCGGGGGGAACCTGCATACAATCAGCATCATGCGGACAGACCCGGGCTCCGGTTTTCTTCCCCGTGCCATAACATCGCGCAGTATTATGCGCCCCACTCACGTGACGCAACGTCAACTTAAATCCCTTTTATTTGAGCCCGTGAATCATTAATGGAGGCAGTCATTGCCCCTGAGGAGAAACGGAGCAGTTCGTAGGGAGAGAAAAAAAAGAAAAGAGAGAGGGGTATGTGACACTGCAACGCATTTGGCAGAGGGAGCAAGTCGCTCGCAGAGAAACAGCTTTTCCGCGTGTCGCCCATTCAGAGGGAAAGACCATTGTGTCAGTTTTGAAAGAGCCATATATTCGGTGCCTGTTAGCGGCTGGAAGAGCTTCTGCTGCCTGCGTGCGATGCAGAGTTTTAAACTGCAGTCAGCTGCGCGCTGCAGCCGGGCATCCTTTTGCATTGCACGCGTGACAATCTGCACCGTGTGAGATGCTGGGGGGGTTTAACCATACAAAATACCATGTAAGAGTGGCACAGTGACCACTCCAGCCCACGTCCGCTCATTTCTCTTTAACAACACGGCCGGTGCTATAGAGCGCGTTGCTCAATGTCGCCCCCTGGTCCAGTATCGCGCGGTTTAGTTGTAGTACCACTTATTCGGCATTACTCCATCAGCGCAACGATGCACACCGTTGGCCAAACGGGAACGTGTCATGCATTTACCTGTCCTGGAGCGGGGAGGGTGTCCCGGTGGTCTCGAGGAGTGCGTGTCTGTCAGCAGTGAGCGGAAACTGGAGGTGAGGTAGCCAAAGAGAGGGTGCGCGACCCCGCTGATCAGTACATGGACCCCCATTTGACCTAAATGCTCTCTCCCGTTTCCTCCGAGCAACTGAGTGGTGTTAGAAACTACAGGTTTTGCGAAGGATGAGTTCATGTCCTTTGTGTGTGTGTGTGTGTGTGTGTGTGTGTGTGTGTGTGTGTGTGTGTGTGTGTGTGTGTGTGTGTGTGTGTGTGTGTGTGTGTGTGTGTGTGTGCGGGGGAGGGGGGGGGGGTGCTAAAATTAAGAAACGATCCTGTTTATTACCAAGAAGCCTAAACCGATTCCAATCGACATAGCATGACATGGGGTGAGTATTTAAATTGCCAAAAATACTATCCCGGAAGAGATTCTCTCATTACGGCCCCGTTTGGCGCTGGTTTTCCGTCATCACCGAGCAGCGGGCGTGGAAAATCCCACCACGACGATTAATCATTGGGGGCGGACATAGACAGCGTCCCACTCCCACCAGCCTTTGTCTCCTCAAACTACAAGTTGAGCGGTAAACTTTTAAAGACAAGAACGGAAGAAGAGCAGCTCTTATTATTAACCTTCAACACTTCAAAACCCCGAAGAAAAGAAGAGAATAAACAATCAGCGCTAGAAAAAAAGTTTTCAGACGCACGAGTGTTTTTTGTTGTTGTTTTTTTACATGGTTTATCTGTAAATGTGTTCTCTCTATTCTTTCAAATACAGATGTGGAGCTGTCACGGTTTTATGGCTGGACGTGACCGTGATGTGGAAACTAATCTGGCACCTGAACCTTTCCCTGACCCGGCCAGAGGCGCAGAGAGTCCAGTGCGAAGTTACTTTGGGGTTGAAAAACCAGGAGAAGAAAGGAACCAATTAAGAAGCCTATACTTTTTCCCAACCCACTTTTTTTCCAGACTTGCCCTTTCCTCAAAATTAGTGAATGATTAATCGTGTATTGCATCTCTCCTGTTTTTCGCATTAAACAAGTTATTATACAAACCATGGCTCCTTATCACTGTCAGCACAGAGGAGTCAGAGGCGCACGGCTCTGGACGCTGGCCAGGCGGAGGTCCATATCTCCCCACAATGTTGACACTCGGAGCTCTTAACAGCCGGGCTTGGGTTACCTACACTCAGCCGAAGATAACTCTTTCTGCGAGGACTACATCGGCCAGCATTAAGGCCAATATAAAAATTCAACTCTTTCGGCAGACTTGGGGACATCTCCCATGCGATGCAGACGAAACGGGAGAACGTTTACGTGAATCTGGGTTGTGATGAAATTATTTTAGCGTTGAACTTAACTTGGTGACGGAGAATGGGCCTTGATTATACAGCAATACAGTCTCCGTATTAGCATTGCTTTATGCACATCGTCACATACACTACAGGGAGTTGGTTTTAATCTTAGTCTAAATGACCCATTTTGTTCACTCTCATTGAAAGGCTCTTCGCGCAACAGAACACCTTCGCATTGTTGCTGTACAAATCTTTAAATTTCATAGTGAAATGAATAAATTGTTATTATTTTTTAGGATTGTTATCAAAGGGAGAAGACCAAAATATTATCTTCCATCTGTCATGTCTTTATGGGGAACTTTGCATAAATTTATTTGACCCCTTTCCATGTCAATTTTAAGTGTTTGTATTACTTCTGCACAATAAAGTTCCAACTTCATCCACGATATATTACCTCTGCAATCCTGTGTAAAATCAATTTATTTCAAACAAATATGCAAAACATATTTACATAAAATATGGGTTTACAGGGTGATTATTGAATTCCATAAACTTCATTTTTGGTTGTTTAAAGATTAACATTGCAGTATTATATTTCCTAGGAGGTTCAAGCACGAACACATATAGATATTATTAAGAATGTGTTTGTGTCAATTAAAAGCGTTTGCATTGTGGGGAAACACAATTTGTTGAGTGCAATGCGTAATTGTAAAATGAACAAATTCAGAAACTAAACTAAGTTAAAGCTTGAAATAATCAGATAATATCACAATATATGTAAATACACTTTCGCAAGAAGAAGCAAACTCCACCTCTGTGATATTCATACCACATTCTAACACCCACAAAAATGGTTTTACTCACAAGTCATGACGGTCAGTTTCCAGCGGAAAGGGTTCTGTGACAGTCAGATGAGAAGAGATCTGACTTTCACCCTCCAGAGGATCACATCAAATGAAAATAAGGCAAATGTTCTGATCTATTTCTGACCCCGGGGCATTCATTATTCAACAAGTCACGTGAAAGGGTGCATTAAAATTTCAGTACATTGCAAGTGACCTCTATTCGCGAATCAAATGACTTGAATTCTTATAATTTAACCATCGGACTTTTTAGTCTGGGCCAAACCGGTGCCACTCAGCGTCAACGCCATCTTCTGCACAGCTCTCATGTCTGCAGCAAGTGCCACGCAGAGGAAAGCGCATTATATGCGGAGAGAATTTTCTTAAACGGTTGGCCGAATGATGCAATAAAAATCGTAACAATATTTTTTTTGGGGGGGGGGTTGAACTATGATTGTAGGAATTTTCGGTGGGATTTTTAGTCAGTGATAGTGTGATAGTGTTATTTGATTTACTATTAAATTCACTGCCAAGCCACCCATTGTGATACTATTGGTATACGTATATATTGAACGGAAAATGCACCAAAACATATTGAAAATGTTGCACAATGCCAGCATGTTTCAGTTGACACGGTGCCCTCATTGAGCTGGCAGGGGTGTTGCTGTGATATATTGCAGAAGAGCTGTCTTCTAGGAATAATTTGGGGGGAAATTCATGGCTCGGTTTCACACCTAACACCGTTTTTGTTTCAGCGCTTTCTCTGGGCAAATCGTATACGAGGAGAAGAAGCCCGTGGAGGTCTTAGCACTGATGTATGGTCTGAACATTGTGTGTGTTGAAAGGTCAGGGGTCAGAATAAGTGCTCTGAGCTGGTGATTGGCCAGACCCGCCCGTGTCCCCGGGTTGAACTCCCTTTTGTTTGGACGTGCCAGGTAGTGACCAACACTCACACTGGTGCACTGACGTTGGAGCGATGAGGACAATATGTGAATCCGGATAATTTAACAATCTGGGTTTAGTTAGATTCCCGTGCCGGTGGCAAAGCCCGTAACTCGTGAGCAGCCGTAAACCGGCGTCCTAAACTTCAACCACATCTCATATTTATCCCTGAAGAAAGCTGAGGATTGGATGACGTAATTGAATTAGACAAAACTATCTCGTATACGCAATGTTTTGAGAATGCATTTAGTAGGAAACAATTCACATGGGTTACAGACGTAAACACCTTAAATGTTGAAAACTGCACCGCTTTGCGTACCGACTAACGTGAATCGTCAATAAAAAAATAACATATAATTAAGAAAATACAATTGGATTCTGTTGAAGCTAATAAAGTTCACGTTTAACGTATTATTAAATCGTGGCGCATTAAATCGTCCAATTCTCAGTTACAATTGTAAGCATTCAATTGTATCGCACACTATTTTAATTACACGCGTACATTTACAAACACTGAATAACTGATTCAAATGCTACACGAATATAGCAAATAAAGGACTAATAAAAGAAATCCTCAAGTCAGCTGTAATAAAAGCCAACGGCGTGTCAAATGCTCAAGTTTGAAAGTGAAATCTCCAAGTTTCGAATGTATTTTAAAAGACGAGGTAAATGCATGCATTTTGGTGCTATGCGCAGCTGCAAAAATACATATTTTGCAAAAATCGAATCACTGTCAGAAATGGCATTACATCCGAAACAAAGTCAACCTTACAAGTGAAGTTCATATTTATTTCACAAGGACAGACTGACCCTACACTATAGCCTACATCACAAAGGTCATTACCGAGACATCACATACACATATTCACAGTTTAGAACACAACACAACACAGAATAGACCGTAGCACAAATAAACCTATAGAACGTACAATACCAACACACAGATTTCTACGTGACGAAATGCTTCTCTTGTTGTGCCTTCGTTATGATTTGCCTATGTACATTAAATGTGAAAGTCACCATGGACTACATTCAACAGTAAACCAACCGACTCAAACACACAAACTACACTGTTACTCGGACTGATGCCATACCTCTAAACAGCCATCTACAGTCTCGCTAAATATCTTTCAAGTATATTAGAGCTTTCCATGAGAAATAATTAAAAAAAACAGGAAAAAAATACTCAAAGATAACATAAGAAATGCGTTCAAACTTTCTTTTAACTCTCTCGATTTTAACTGCAATGATACATTTTTATCCTAGTCATACGTAATGTGCGTTATCCTTCTTTCATGATAATAAACAAATCTATAACACTTCAGTTGCCATCGTGGCAATTAAAGGTGAATTTCAAGCTTATATGAAGAGGGCGAAGACGACCGGAGAGGAGAAAGGGGTAGAGAGGACGTGACAGGGGCCCAATGGCAGAGGCAAGGTGAAAGAGACAACACCATGTGTAAAATGCTGAGAATCGGTCCATCAAATTCCACTTGTGATATTTGCCATCTCAGTCTGGATTGGGTTTTTTGTTGGATGAGGTTCATTCGGCCACTATAGACCCGCGGTGCACGGCGTGGGGACGAGCTGTTGGCCTGTTTTGATCTGATGCTGCTGGGACCCCGAGGCGGAGGACGAAGCCGAGCTGGAGGAGCGGATCTTGGTGTTGGGAAGCTTGTGCTCTTTCTTCCACTTCATTCTGCGGTTCTGAAACCAGATCTTGACCTGGCGCTCTGACAGACACATGGTGTGGGCAATCTCCACCCGCCTGCGCCGGGTCAAGTACCGGTTGAAATGGAACTCTTTCTCCAGCTCCAGAGCCTGCTGGCGGGTGTAGGCAGTGCGGGACCTCTTGGGCACTCCTCCAGTGTAATTGGGATTGACTGAAAGGGGGGAAAAAGCCATACACAGGCATGCAAGCAGGTGTTACATGCAGGCTCATAGCGTAAATTCCACACCAGTAAGGTTCCTCCAAATGGACACACTTCAAGCGGTTGAAATCCTGTAACATTTCTGGGTTTGGTTTTAAATCACAGCCACGCCGTTTGTTTTACACTCTGCCCGGTTTCCGTTTACGGGCATGACATCAATGTGGCGATGCCGAGCGCACAAGCACTCGCATCCAGGGACATATCAGGCGTTCAAATGATTAACAAACAGCGGGGTTGGATATTACAGTTTGGCTCAGCTCCAGCGATGGAGGTAGTTTGGGTTTAAAAAAAAGCAACAAAAGCACATGGCCCCGACAGACGAACACAGGCAATAAAATTTACGAGGGTCCTTAATTACCGACCCTGCTGCTCGATAGTCGTAAATTGCTGTTGTAAGGGCTGCTACTGGCGCTGCCTCAATGGGCTCGCGTGTGCTCCGGCGCTTGTCTCGGCAGTGGTTCTGCCATTTAACCGTGACGATAACTCACCGTTGCTAACGTGGACCTTTTTCATCCACGGATAGACCACCGGCTCCTTGCCCTTCGCCGCGCCGGGATAAACCTCGCCGGCGAGGCTGCAGTCTTTGCCGGCATTTGCCCCCGCGCCAGCGTCCGGGGCCGCGGCGAGGCGAGGACCGCCGTGGCTCTGTGGAACGACGGGTTGCGGCTGTGCGTGGTGTCCCTCGCCGAAATCGTCGAGTCCCGCGGCGGGAACGTTGCCGTAATCATATCCCGTTTCTGTGTAGTTTGACCTCGGATAGGATTGCTCGTCGTGATGGGGGAAGCCCGTATCTTTTGACCGCTCGTAGTAATCACCGGGGTTGGGGATGTATCCGCTCTGCTGATATTCGTCGCATGGAGGAAAGGAAGGCTCGATATAGTTGGAGTTTATCAAGTAGGAACTCATGGTCATTAATTTGTGAAGTGCAACAATACTAATTTTTATCGCGCTGTCGTTTTTCTGATCTCCACAAAACCCTCCTACTCCCTGTCAAATGTACAAAGTTGCCTGGTCACGTGTGAAGCGCCACCAATCACCGCGCATCCTGTGGGCATCATGTAAACAGGAACCAATGGAAAGCATGGCATTGGTACCACCAGCACCACTTGGTCTGGCTTACGTTGATGTTTTCCTTATTAAATCTCAGTATATAAAGCAAAACCAATCAACTTACGTGTTTGCTGCGTGGAGACAAACTAATGCGGGTGAGGTTTTGCTGCATGTGAAAAAATCCCCCTCCGGTCGAACAGAAAGTGGATGTGAAATCCAAGCCGAGACAAAATTAAGCTTAACACAAACAAAGGGCTGTTTCCAATAGCTAGTGTCGTGAGTATGGGTTGTTGGAATTTGAAACGTGTTGAGTTATAATAAAGTAACGAAAGGGGAAACAAAATCACGCCAAAACAGCAATGCATCAGCAAGAAAGGGAAATGCATATAACGCAGTGCACAAACAATGACGAGCCGCTGCTTTGCGGACATACAGACCTGCATTTAAAGCATCTGACTTGTGCATCAGTGATTTCCAGTGATAGCCTGCTATGGCACGCTTTAAAAACAAGAGAAAACAATCTCTCGTGTTACACGCCACCGTAAATGCACACAAATCCCCTTTTCTCCATTCCGTGTTTACACGGCTGTTTCACGCAGTCTTTGCCAGGACATAGCAATAATTTCCAGCTATCTTTGCTATCGTGCCACATGAAAGTTATCTGGCTCTGACCACACGGATATCACGTACCATCAGTTCTGCTGTGTTAACTGCCATTGAAAGGAAAGCCAAACACCAAACAAGCACCGTTCTTTATAGCGCACATATCAAACAAAGTGGGGCATTTTACGCATCATAACGTTACATGTACATTACAGACATATATCTCCACCATAGATAGCATGTTATCCAATCAAATTCTTCAAATCTGATTGAACTTGGAAAAATATCAAAACCCTCCCTATGAACAATTTCCCAACATTTCAAAACAAATATGCAATATCTTAAAATGATTTTCCGGTGTCCCCTGCAGCACTACTTTACTGAAAACAACCAGGCCTGATCAATAGTTAACACATTGCCATGTGCTAACTACAATAGGTTTTGAAGGGAGAAGGTATTAAAGTTTAAATGGGGCGAAAATGTCAGGTCTAAACAATGAAAGCAACAATTATAACGTCAGTAAATGTGAAGAATGCATGGAAATTAATTAATTAATTAAAAAATATTCATAACCATTTTTAACAGCAAATAAATATAAAATGATCTGACCGTGCTCCTCGCCATCAGCTATCAAGTCCAGGTCCCGTTTTCTCCCCATATCTGAAGTGCAACACTGTATAAGTGTCTCTTGAAGATGCAGCAGCTCTTCACAAAGCAGATCCACACTGTCCGCGTCAACAAGGCCCCTGTATGGAGAAACAAGGGGCCAAACTTCGGAAATATTGAAAGCTTTCTTTTCTCTCCTTTTTTTTTCTGCACCCCTCCTCACCCACTCCCCCAATTCTTTTCGCTTCTCTAAACAGAGATAACTTCTGCCTGGCCCCTAAGTGACACCGTTTCCATTTTGTTTCTGATTAATCTTTCCCATTGACACTCTTTGTTAAACAACAAGGCGTGCCCTTTTTCCAAAGAGGCGACATTTTCATATCTGTTAGACGCAGTGACCTGGGGTTCACCCCGGACTTGGACTTCAGTTTTGCAGGATCTGTTCAGCCTTGGGGAGCTGGAGGATCACTTAGCGTGGTTCGGGATGTTCCCAAATACCTTATTTTTAAATGTGCGAAAGACCTTAAACTATGAACTAAAACACAACTAAGACTATATGCTGTATAAAGTGTGGTATCGTGGTTCTTGCAAGGAGACTGCTGCGGATGGGAAAGTATTATATAAACAAAAAATAACTGTTGATCTCATTTAAATAAAAAGAACTCTAGTTTTTTTTTTATGGAGACGACTTAACAGGTAAACAATTCCCCCCTCCGAACAACCAGGGACAGGCCTCAATTCTTCAGCCTCATATATTTTGTCGCACACTATCTCTTTCAAAGGATTACTGCACCTAACTAATTTTGAATAGCAACTGATGCACTTCTTGCGATACATCCATCCATATGGCCAAGCTACCACCTGAGATGAAATATGTCGACATAATGTCAACTAAATGTACATTCTGCGGCCATTCTAATAGGTCACTATATAAATATGGTCCGATTCCGACTGGCTATTATCTATTTAGTCTGATTTTATACGGCAGTCCACTTGTTGCTATAATAAATTACATTATTAAACCATTTCATGATTCAAGAATCAGGTTCCTTGTTACAAAAAAAGGCTTTTAGATGACGGCGGCGCTAATGCCTCCGTTCTCTCCAGGCCTCCAAGGGGCTGCTGGATATTTGAATGCAATAAAGCATCTGAAAATCTCTTGAACAATGGAGCGTGCACAAAATATAACAGCAGTAATCATCAAATTAAGTATTGGAGTAAAGTGGAGCAATTGGAAGCTATGTTAAAAAAAAGCTCACACTATCTGTCATTTCCCACTCAATTTGAAGACCTAATTCTGCTCTTAAAGCGAATAAAACCCGTTACAGCTTTGTTTTAACAGACTTTTATTTTAAGAATAAATTATAACATCACGGTGTTCCCTTTCTGAAAATATACTATAAGGTGAAGGACTATTTAGCCAATATACATCAAGCTGACAGTTTACTGTAAATTTAGATTATCAGAGAAGTGGTCTAACGGTAGTGACAGATTGCAGATGGCTTTCACAAGGTCTCTTGTCTTTACTGAGCCCTGACGGCGGGTTCAAAATCCTCTCTGAATTCAAGATGAGCGCAGGTTTCGGGCCAGAAAACCCCCTTCCAAGCCTTTACCGAAATATTTTGATATAGGTAAAAACTAGTAACACCATATTTTTCTTTTATAGACTGTGGGAAATAATTTTCATAACATCAAGGATTGACAACATAACCACCCTCCGCTTTATGGCGTTGGTTACAGATGTAATAGTCCACAGCTGCATACTTTGATTAAGCAGAAACTTAATGACCTTCACTGGTAGTGGAAGAAAAGAAGAAAAGCAGCTCAGCTAATAGCTCTTATAACCAATATTGAAACAGAATATTTCCCAGAAATGGCGCAACTATGTTTCAAGAAACCAAAGCGTCCGAATGAAACAAGTTATAGACATATTGAATTGTGCACTTGTGCACTAGTTAGAGATCAGACTCTTCATTAGCATATAAGAAGTTATGTTTTTTTATTAAAAATGACGAAATAACCTGGGCGAAGTTGCGCATTGACTTTCAGGTGAAATCGCTTGCAGCGTGTCGGGATAATTCCGTTCTTCATTAACAAGGCTTTTCTTTTCAATTAAGTAAACACTTTTATCAATAAGAAAATAACCTTATCTTATATTAATGTCCGTGAACTTGTTTCTTAATTGATTAAACGTTCTATGCATTTCAACAAAATGCAATGTTTGTGGCGCGCAATTTAGAAATGTCTTAGAAATGTGTTAAAACACTACATATTCACTAGTTTTTGTAGAGTTCTATTAAAGAAACGTTTTTTTTTCTTTCGAAACGGTAATGTCAATATATTCCGATTGTGTTTTTTATGAAAATATTTCTACTTTGGTTCAAATGTATTTCTTAACAGAATCGTGTAATACCTGTGGTTTGCGCGCCGCTTGCACATGAAAAAGCATTTATTCAGCCTGTAGCCTTATCCGGGAAAAAAGTCAACATAGCTAATAATGTTTTTTTGGTATCTATTAGGTAGCAAATACAAAACAGAATTCCTTTTCAAACGTAGTTAAATAGGCCTAGTAAAAATAAAATGTGTATATAGATATATTTGCAATTAAGCAAAAACCTGTATATAAATAACAAAACCTCTGTGGCATTTCTGTTTTTTAAAGCCTTTAAAGGGCTTCAGGGAGAGAGGGGCTAAATGTTTTTTAAGGGGACCGAGGGCTCAATTTGGGGGCTGTGGGCCTTTCCATTACCCTGTGACCGGGTCGAGAGTATCAATCCTCAAAATGCAAATGTTGCCCTCGTCCCTAAACATATCAAATGCAATTTATTCAAAGGAAATTCACCAATCAACCGCCCTAATAAAACGCCAGCCACTCAATCTTGTTGCTGGGGACGGGTGGGGGGTCCCCTCCCCCGGTCCCAAACGCGAGGTCACTGAGCTTTCAGGGTTCACCTGGAGTGCGCCGTGCAACATATGTAATTCAAAGCTATTCTGTCTTTTGTGTGGAGAGTCAAGATCGCTATTATAAGGCTGGCATCGCGCTCGGAGTGAACAGATGACGCGCAGACTTGTTCAACGCCTAAACTTTTGACCCCTATTTTTCCTCTTCTTCTCCAGCTATCTCACTGTCATCTGTCCCAGCCGAGCGAGATATCTGCCCCTCTCCAAACAAAAAACGTTGATTTGAACAATGTGTACATCTCCTGCCATCACGGTGATCATTTTCACAAATGTATTAAATTAGCGACGACGCCATCAGAAGACCCAATATGCAATTGCAGCGGCGTGATGTCACCAACAAGGGAGCTGAATGATAAATCCAATAGGCTTCCGCTCAAAGACTAATAGGGCCGTAAAATATGCAAATCATTCATTAGCGTTATTCAGCAACCAAAGCAGCCAAAAGTCTTTGTTGGAGGCAACACTTAAAGTTAGAGTCCCCCTCTCACTTCAGAGAGACTTCTCCTCCGGTGCGGGAAGTTTCCACAAGCTCTGTGTCCCTCGGTAAATTACTTATTACTGATTAGGCTTAAAGGCAACGCCAAGCCAACGTGCCATTAACGTGAATGTGAATATGCGCGTGGTACCGTGGATGTGTGAGTAGTCCCCCCCTCTCTACATACAGCAGGGTGACAGTGAACTTGGCCTAAAGCGAGCTCTGCTGGTGGTTCTGAGAGGATGCAGATTTATCTTTTTGCTGTGGCTGACCTCCAGATGAACCCACAGCACGTCTCTTTCTCTTTGCCGGGCTGTGTGCAGCACATGGGGCCCTGTCGAAATTTCTCCTTTTGAAATATTGGCAAGGCTTTTCACTTCCAAATAGCCACACTCCCATGTCCTGTTGTTTTTTTCTGTGTCTACCAAAGTACAAATAGTGTAAATTTGACAAAAGCGGTATTATTTACAGAACAACAAATATAATTTGTTAAGAAATAAGCCAAGGAATATTAGCAGCCTCGAATATTCTGCTAATTTGAAGATTGGTGCAACTCTTGATTTTTGTTTAACAAAGAGAACGTTTATATTAATTTGTGGAGAATTGCCCTTCATCGGTCAAAAATGTCTTATCAGATTTTCAAATCCACTCCAGCTTTGGTGAGAAAGGATCGAGTAAATCATCCAATGTGATTAAATCTATTTTTTTTTTTAGTTTGAAGGCTCAGAAACCAGTAAAGAGTTGAAGGCCTCACTGCGCAAAAAACTGGTATTTGGGTGTTGATGACAGCGGGACCATGTTGCCCTTCACAAATCCACGCAGGTAAAAACGAAAACTCAGAAGAATCCAATATATTCAATACATGTTTTCATATTTAGCCTGGATGTTTCAAATCATAAAGAGGCGCATCGAGGTACAGACCTGCCAGTAAAAATAGGCGGAGGTGTAATAAAGAAAAGGCCAAAGCGTTAAAAAAAAACCTTTTAAACCACATTCGTAATCTTAAATAGTTAATTTCAAAATCAATCCATATTTATTGAAATGGGCCCCGCTGGTGGGCGTTTTTCGGCTGGGCGCTGGTCGGACAAGAGGTCAACACAAAGCGAGAGTAACTTTTAAGAGGCCATCTGAACTTTTCAACCCCAAACACTAAACGACGTGGCTGACACAAAACGGAATTCCCTTTCAAATGTCTGCCCGCCGCTGTTTGTTTCCACGTCGTGTTTACTCGACACGGTTTTACAGCCCGTCCTAAAGCCACATAGGTGCCAACATGTGGGTGCGCATGCAGCGCCGAGCCAAACAACCGATGCAACTTTCTTTTTCCAGGGATGGACAGAGCACTTCCAAGAGTCATCAGCCCGTACAGAATCCGATCAAACGGCGCTGGTTGTAAATCTGTAGGCCTGCATTTGCAGTTAACTCTATCAAGGAAATCTCCACACATCCTTTGGAAACTTTCTGGCTGACGGTCTGTGAACTCTCCAATGCAATAAAACGACAACAACTAGAAGTGTGTGGGGGCGGAAATGGACAAAGAGATAATTATCCAACATGTAAAAATGGATTATGAGTTGCACCACAGATGGAGGGAAACAAGTTACACGGGGAAGGAAGCAATTAAATAGCCATGAGCCGGACCCAACCCTGCGCAACATCTGCCGAGACCAGTATTCAGCACTGCACAACTGACAAATTAGTGTAATGGACTAATAGGGACGGATTGAGGGAAGCAAATATAATAATAAGGCTGTTCAACACATGCTGGCTTTTCTCGGGCTACCGGATAGTCTGCAGAAACTTACCATGAGACGCGGTCCTTGTCCTGGAAAACGTCCGGTCCATACTGAGGCAGACAGAGCAATAGTGGCGGTCTGCACCGGTCAAGTAACACTTACAGCCTGCAAAGAGAAAGTCAGACGAAGCCTCGCCGTCAGTGCGATTATATGTTATGTGCAATATACTGTCAACTCCCCAAAACCATAAAACTTACTTTAATGGCTACCACGTGACCGTTTATGGCCAGTGAGCCTATCTGGCCGCGCTCCGGATGATTTTTACGATCTAATTCATAGACAAAACCCCCCATTCATTTAGCACCCAAATGTCAGGGACCGAATCGGCCCTAATAAAGTTTACAGCTTGAAAAGTCGAGCTGTGTCTTAGGGAATAGCCCAGGAGTCTGTGCGCAAAGGGAAGTCCGGCCACCGGTTAGTGGCCAAGGACCACAAAGCTCGCCGCTCCCCAGGAAGGTGAGTAAAACATGCAGCGTTCATTTAAGGGGACCTGTTGAATTCAAGGATTTTTAAAAACCACCCCGGATAGGTCGTACGCACTTAAAGGTTTTAGACAAAACATATTCTGCCAAATTGAATTCTCAACAAATGTTCACAATTTAAAAAAAAACAACAGATCCACGCATGTATTGTTGCCGTTCCAGTAGAAATTTTATTATAATGACCATTATCATTGTCGTCATCAGCATCATTATTCATATTATAGTATATTCTTGACTTCCAGTCTTGGAAAAACATTTACAAAAAGCTAGTCACGATGGAGTTATGCAAATATGTGATGGGGTTTACTGTGGGACCGTTCCACATAAAAACAACTATAAAACAAAGACAACACGATTTTACTAAGATGTCCAGGTGAACAACGCAAACAGCCGCAACATAACAATAGAAAATAAGACGCGAGGCTACTGTACATACAAGACTGTCGCCACCTCTGTCCACCCACGTGTTCACAACGCACAGATTAACCACACAATGCTCACGTACTCTGCCGGCTCTACTTTTGGAAGCAAGTTATCTGATAAGTTGTTACAATACATCAAACAAATAAATACATACAGTACATACATAGAAAACGAAGGCTAAACACAAAGACAGCTCCACCTCAACCCTCTATTTATTAGGCTGGTATTGTTCTGAGTGCATTACACAACTTTTATTTATTTGCGGTATAGGTAGCATTTCAAGCTTTGACGTTTTTTTTAATTTTTTTTTTCGTCTGAACAAGAAATAATTTAAACAAACATTTATTTCGTTGCTTTTTCTACTAAATCTAGACAGAACTGTACATAATTCATTCAATTTTTTTTATCACATAAGCATTACAATGGTGTAAATAAAAAGTAAATAATATTAAGGAATATAATGGGACGGTTGTGGAACAAAGAATGGACTAAAGTGGGCCGTCCCCTGTCCCGCACAAAGCCCGCTCACAAGTCTCTGCACTTTTTGAAACAGTAGGAGTATGTTGATGTGACAATCTTTGTTTTATTTTCATAGTGCTCGCTATCAGGGGGTAGAGAAGGGGAAATCAAGGCCTGTAGCCTCCCCCGCCTGCAGCCGCCATGTTCATGCTCTTCAGCTTGTTGTCTTTCTTCCACTTCATCCTGCGGTTCTGAAACCAGATTTTGATCTGTCTCTCCGAGAGGCAGAGGGCATGGGCGATCTCGATCCTCCTCCTGCGGGTCAGGTACCGGTTGAAGTGGAACTCCTTCTCCAGCTCCAGGGTCTGGTAGCGGGTGTAAGCAGTCCTGGCTCTCTTACCCTCTGGTCCTGACAAATCTATGGCAGGGGGGGGGGGGGGAGACATAAGAGTCACATTGAATGTTAAAACAAAACAGTGCAGGAGCTTATTTTGACCAGATTTCTCGCTTATTTTTTAAATGACATTTTTTTTTGTTTCACCAGGAATATCTTAAAAGTTCACTAGGCTTATGTTTAATAGAGCCCCACATTTTTAGAAGACAACCGATATGGAAGATACATAGAACCTCTGCGGAAAGGAATAAACACAGAATGTAATATTTGGGCTATTTCACCTTAAAAATAAAATAGCCCATAACAGACATGATCATCTAATGTATATTTTAACTAACTTTAAACATACATATAGTTTTATAAAATATCCGTACCTTGTCTATACTGGTAGTAGCCTAATGAAAAGCATCAACACCCAACATGTAAGAGGCACATAAGGCGCTTGTGCTCATACATTTTGTATTAAAAGGCTCCAATTTTGGACTGTTTCGCCTCCTAAAACGTCTAAATAAGATCTAAACGTGGCTACACCTTCATCAAAGACCAACACAGCCCCGACTATCAAAAGTCAATGTAAGATCATTAAAAATGCAAATAGTTTACCGTGGTTTATATGAAGTTTTCTCATCCAGGGATATATCTGAGGCTGCGTCGAGTCGGTGACATTTTGAGGAGTTGTTGGTGCGCTTCCCGCAGCCTTCTCTTCCTCGAGGGGCGACGCTTTGGACACGCACTCCCGGCCGAGCAGCAGACTTCCTCCGTTGGAGTTCGAGCAAGGGGCCGTGAGAGAGTTTTTCGCAGCCCGGTGGTGAGATTGAGTGTCGGTGACCGGGGACGCGGTGGCCACGGCGGCGCACGGCAGTGGCTCAGGTGCTGGTGAAAGAGACGACGTCCCGGTGCTGTTCGCAGACTGAGTGTACCTGACCGGCTCCACCGAGGCTGTCGCCGCCGCCGAGTGACTCGGAGAGTAGCCCTGTGTCCGCTCGCTGCCCACAAAGTGTCCGGTACCGGTCCGCCCGACCGTTAGGTCCATCCCGTTGTAGCCATAGCCGTACCTGCTGGAATGCACGGCGGTTGAGTCTCTGTATTGCTCGTTTTCCGTATTATGGTCCCCATAATTATGTAACTGGAAGTCCGCGCCATTGGGATAGCGACCGCAGAATGAGTTCACAAAATAGGAGCTCATTTGTTGACAATTCCACCGTTTGCTCGTTGTAGGTATTTGTTGTTGTTTTTTATTGTTTTAGAGATAAAATAGCAAACCTGTATGCTTGATTTGTGGCTCTTATGGTTTAGCGCGTCCTATAGCACCCTTGCACAATTTATGATGAATTATGGAAATGAGTGGGACATGGACTTGATTCTCTCTTACGTAGGCACCCAAATATGGGGTACGGCGGAGTATCACGTGCTTTTGTTGACCAGTCGTAAATCCTGCTTGGTGACCTCTAGAGGTAGACTCGTGCACGAAGGAAATACTGGTTGGGCTGGGAAGGGGGCGCGCCTTTATGCGCTCGTGGCAGGGGAAAACTCCCGACCACGGTTCGGGGCTTTTTGGATTGTCGTGGTGCGCCATCCTCTGGCTCAACTGTGCCACTGCCTGTCTGCGGCGGTTTTTGAGGCGTGGGCACCACATGGGGTCATTCGGAGGTTAACGACCATTGCGGCAAAAACCAACGGGCTCCTAGACAATACAACAAGTGACATGCTGAGAGTGCAATCTCTGCGAAGATAGGGAAATAATTCGATCACAGTGTCTTTTGCATGTTGTGATAGGCGATAAGTGCTACAATTTGTGCAGTTAATAGAATACAAGAACATTCAAAACAGGGCCGCTTTTTTTCACACTTCACACCGTAAAACAAAGGAACAGCCACTAATGTGGAGGGGGAACTAATGAACACATTCTTTTGGCAAAAGATAAAAAGCAAACATTATATTGTTGAATATTAACACAGATACCGTCAATCAGGGACAGTCCTTTATGTGTTTTATGCCACGTTGCAGAATAAACTACTTTGCATATCGGCTATATATGAACACGTGAAACCACGTTACTGTTTATTTTAGGTTGGTTGACAATTGTGAACAAGACGCCTTGATATGTTATTATGAGCACTGCACGAATAACCCCCTCATTGCGTTGTCGTTTGAAGGAAAACTTTAGTTCATATCGAGTTGTAAACACTCAACATCTAATCAAATTGCGTTTTTAGATCGTGCACGTTTGTGATCAACACAAAACTATTTTCTCTACAAGCGGCAATTCAGCATACATTATTATAGGCACTCTGACATTTAAAGAAACATTTAAAGTGAATTAAAAACGGAAATAGTCGAAAAGATTATTGCATGGAAAGAAGACAGTGTTGAATGTATACAATGTAAAAATAAAAAATGATGTGATATAATGATATTCGTACTTAGATTGTAAACGGTTGGTATTGCACATTAGACTAGAAATAGCAGATATGAATTTCAGTTAATTCACTTACCTAAAATATAAACTATAGAGTATTTCTGTGTATTATCGAAGTATTCTTTTAAAGCAATAAGATGATTACAGATTATATTGCAACCTGGACGTAAATTATCGAAATGATTGAAATTTCTATCAACCTTTTTCGCTTTTAGGTTAATCCCTAAAAAATAATCTCCAGCTATTATTGTATCTCTTATGACCATTGCACTTCAACCGCCTACTGCTGTCTTTGTTAAATCCGAGCAGGGATCCAAAACAGCAGACCCGCACAGAGCCCGTCTCGGACACAAAGCCTATAGAGGCATGGCGCCTCGTCTCGCGCTCTCCGTTTGGTTTTCTCCTTGTGGAATTTTTATGGTACCTTCCTTTGCCTCCCCGTGAAAGCTACCCCCCCCAGAGCAGCCCCTTCACCCAGCACAAGCCCAATCATGTCATCAAAACGGTGAAATATAGATTATGAATTAAGTTGCAGGTATGCTCGCTTTGCGTTTACAGGAGGCACCGTGTGAACAGCGAGCTCCCGCATCCAATGGACCCACACATACGCGTAAGAGTGTGTGTAAGCTGGACAGTCCTGCTCCAACAGCTGATTTATGACTGACCAATAGCAACAAAGTTCCCACGACAATGATTTCACCAAGCCGAGCCAGGGACACACCCATGAACTAAATAAGGTCCAAAAGAAAGGAGATGAAAGGAGTGAGTTCGCACATGGTGTTAGACAATGTCGGGCTGGGAGCGACGGGACCACTGCTGCAGGAAAACAGGAGGGCAGTGCACTCTGCAGGCACCCTCACACACTGGCGAAGCTATATACACATTTGGACTGCCGCAAAACTAATAATAATATTGGACAAATACGATATTCTAAGGAATACCACGAACGCGAATAGAACCAAATAGAAAAATAAAACCAAAAAAATACATCTTTTCCAAAAGAAACATGTCACACAGAAACACACACACGATGTATTAAAATAAAGTGTGTATTTTTGCAAAGAGAATTGGACATTACATCTCATGCAGTGAGGTATATATTCAAATTGTAACATTTGATATCGTGCAATCACATCTTTCATGATTTGCATTTTAATATTCAGAACGTGGTTGCTTGATTGATGGGATATTTTATATATCGTCTTGATACCGGGCTCGTCAAATGCACGTTGACGAACACTAAACATGTTGATGTGCTGACTAGAAATCACCTTTTTGAAATTTGAGAAATATTTTCCTTTTCTAAATGCTACCAGGCACATTCCTGTGTATGTCAGTTAAAGGTCATTCAAAAAATTACAAATAAATATGTTCTGTTAACTTTAAAATGTTCTGTTGTTTGTTGTTGTGCGTCAGGGATTGTATGCAGACGTATTCATGACAAGAGAAACGTAGTTTATAAGGACGCGGGGAGATTTCGTTCAGTCCAGCCTGCACCGCAGCCTGCACCACATGACCTTCAAAGCAGAAACAGGCCAAACTGCAACCGCGGGACCTCCACAGGAGGGCGTTAAAGAGCACGTCCTTTGGCCAGCTTCCACCCAATGAATCGTGCAGCAGAAAACCCATTCGCATTCAAATCTAACAACAAACAAACACTACCGTGACATCAATTGAGACCCAACCGAAACGCTACAGCAACACTAGTTTTATATCTCTTACATCTTAGCATCTGGAATTCATAATTAAATAAATTGCAACCTTAAACCAGTTCCTTGTGATATTTCGATAGATAACAAGCGAGATGAAGTATTTACATTAAGCACAGATTATTATTTTTCTTAAGTGGCTCTGCATTGCAAATTGAACAAAGAACAGTGGCACGTTTCAGTTGTCTTACCTTGTGATGGTGTTCGCAGGTGGCAACTGGCACTGACGGATTGAAGTATAGTTGACAGCCAGGAAACACACCGTAGGGCTCCCGGGATCCAGTGACGCACCGGGGCTCCATCCACTCATCTCGCCCCAAACGTGCCACGAACCCGACCGCAGGCAACCCAAACGGTCCCGTCACGTCCCAGGCAGAGCCCATCCTCGCCTGTCTGACTGAGAGAAAGCTCCAAGAAAGGTGTGTCAAGACGTAGAAGGTCGCTGGAGAAACCAGCCCCGTGGAAGCTCAAGACCCGTAAATGAAAGGCTGCTCCATTCCGCTATTGGAAATTTTATATATATATATATATATAAAAAAAAGTTCGTGTTCAAGGTTCCCTGACACGTGACAGGACGCGGCCAATGGGAAGACGAGCCGCGTCGTTAAATTGTATTGCTGTGTTGTAAATTTTCATAAACAACAAAGGATTTATGAGCCAGCGCTGGAGAGAGAGGTTGGGAGAAAGGGGAGGGGGGGGGGGGACAGAGAAGGAAGGGGGCAGGTCACCGTCAGGCGCCATCTTACCGAGGACAGAGGGAATGCAGAGTTCAACAGTAGTTTCCTTCTTGCCCCATCTCGCATCCTCATAGCTCACATTCCCCAACTTAAGTGTTTACCCAACACGCGTAACACAACTGCAATATGTTTCCTTACGTGCAACATCATATTGTCCATATTCGTACTCGGTGGCAATATGTTAAGCGTAATATTTCTACCATTGTGGTCTTTACACAAGATCACAAATATTCCATACAAACGAATAGACAAGCACAAGCTATTTTTATTCAATTATATTTTCATTCACAGACTTGAGACATTCCCAGAGGTTATTCATTTGCCACATGTTACTTATACGTAACATTGGAAAAGTGGCCACTTGACCTAAATATGTCACAGCATTTGCCCAAATTAGATTATAATAGACTAGCAATTTTACAACAACCAAAAAGAATGACTTTATGCTAAAACATAATGCTGTTAAAATAAATATGCATGCGTTTATTTTTTGAAAGTAACAAATGCGTGGTGGGTTGGGCAAGATCATTTCACAGTAGACGCTAATATATCCGAGCATTCACGTCAGGATATTCCTAAAGCATGTTGACGAGGTAGTTTACCACGCGAAACAATATGTCCGTTGATTCTGGGAAAATGGATTAAATACGAAGCAAAAATGGGTATATAAACATTCTAGGCAGTTAGATGTATTTTGTTTTAACTAATGGAAATCAAAGAAGCATCTTAATCACAGTTGGAGGCATCTAACAAAATATTCCATTTGGCCTAAGGCACCTTTGAGCAGAATGGTGTATTTGCTCCCTTTAGAAAAATTGTGTTGCAGTCACAGTCAATTTATAGTTAAATCATTGGCGTCAGCCTTTAATATTAGCATGTACATACAAAGAACAGGTAGTTTTTCGTTAAGGAATGTTCTCTCAGTATTGTTTTTTTAATTGCTCTTTTTTTACAGAGACTTTGAATCTGTTTCGGATTTCAATACGAAATACTAACTCAAAAGAACACTGCTAAATGCCTACTGCATAATTGCCGTCAGTTGTATTGTATTAATTAGCCCAAAAAGCGTTTAGTGCACGAATGATATAAGAGAAACAAGATATATTCATAATCCCAATGTATTGCTCTGTCCGTGCCTTTTGTTACTTTGCAGCAGTTTCTGACTCCAAACCGGAGCTGCGGGTGTCTTCCTCTTCGTGCTCCCTGGGCTCCGATACCGCCCCGGTGTCCTCGTGCTCCCCCCCGGGGCCGGACGTCGATTCCTCCTTTTGATCTTTCTTCCACTTCATCCTGCGGTTCTGAAACCAGATTTTGATCTGCCTCTCCGTGAGGCAGAGGGCATGGGCTATCTCGATCCTCCTCCGTCGGGTCAGGTACCGGTTGAAGTGGAACTCCTTCTCCAGCTCCAGGGTCTGGTACCGGGAGTAGGTCTGCCGCCCCCGCTTTCGGTTTGGATCTGTGAAAGATAATATGAGCTGCTTTTTTCCCCCCAGCACTCATGGAAGGTGATACTGCATAAATAAGCTAATAATGTGGTGTTGAAATGTATTCTGACAATAAAAAGGATGAAATCGTTTTGACGGTGTTTGATCTATTTGTGATTGCGCAATTCATTCTGGCACATGTTTTTTGCATCACTCCTTTCAACACACATACCGCCTCACAGTGCAGGGGAAATAGTTCTTTTGTAAAGTTCTCTGCATCTATTTATAGCAGTCCTGCTGGGATGTTTGACCCATGCCTCCTTTGATACTGCATGCCTTTCCAATTAAATGTGTTACTCACCGCACCAAAGGAGCCATTACACCCCAAAACAACACCGTCTCCCTTCAAAATTACAACAAATGACAATGTTTCAAATTGCTTGCATTCTAAATCCACTTGACTTCTTAATGCAGCGCGCAATGCTGGTGAATATTGATCTAACATTGTATAAGAGCGAGTTTGAGAAAGTACCAGAGCCTCTGCAGTGCAGACCCAATTAGAAAGGAGCTCCAGAGTGCAAGAGAACTGATTTACGCAACAGACAGGTCTTTTTTACAACCACAAAGGAGAGAAGAGGCTGTAGGAGTAATATGAGTGCAGAGAAAACCCCCAGCGGCAAGGTCTCCACGTACTGAACACACAGAAGCGCTGGCCAAATGAATTTACGGCTGCAGAACTCATTAGTTGCGCAATAAAAGTTTTACGATTCTTTCCCTGCAACACCAATGGCTACTCGAAATTAATTGAACCACTAACGGCCAATGTAAGTATCCCAATAGTTTTTAAAAGCATTGACCTGTAAGCTTTAAAATAGAACGTACGAGACGGTATCGTACCTGATGCTCTCATCCAGGGGTACATCCGGTATTGTTTGTCCGGCGGCAAGGTGAGGGGTCCCGGCTCCGGATGGCAGCAGCTGTCGCTGAACAAGCGGCTCTGGTCAAACAGGGCGCAATGAAGTGGATGTGCGTCCTGCCCTTGGCCGTATCCCGTGAAGGCTGGGCGGTTCTGGTACACGGCATTATTGACGCTGTACACTCCGGACAGAGAGGGCGAGAGCGCAATGGCCGCAGCAGTCCGAGCCGAGGCATAGTCCTCTCCACCGGGTCCAATACTGCAAGACGCCCGCTGCGCGTTTGGGAAGAGGGAACTACCCGCCGTATATTTGCTAAGAAGACCATCCACATAATAAGAACTCATATTTTTTTTCTCTCTGATTTGTTGGCCCAGAATCCTCAGTGTCGTTTTTACGAGGCTGCGTGATATATGACAGCAATACACCCTAGATTTACACCAAACCCCATTTTCACTCCGGACCAAAGAACTCACACACGTGACTTGGGCCTGGCAGCTCTCAGCCAATCAGCAAGTAGACTTGGATGTCATTATGGTGCAGGACTGCAGAGCAGGATTAACGCTTCACACACAATTACATGCACACATGTAAACAAAATTCTGCAAATAGTGTTATAGGGAGAAATTAGGTTGTATCAGGGAATTTGTTTTATAATATATTTGCTAAGAGTATAACTAATCATCTAAATGAACCGTCTAGTTAAAGAAAAATCTTTATTTGTATTTTTTTTATTTCATACCTTCGTATACAAGGAACCTGCTTATTTGTAACAAAAATGGTCTACACACTCTCATAGGCTACACTAATATACAGTACAGCATTGGCTAAAATAGTATGACTGCAAAATAACTATTCCGACACGATGCAGATATTGTAACAATCGTTAGGCGTGTTATATCAAAAAATATACGGGTCAAATATAACATGTTGATTCAAATGTATATACCAATATCAAGTGCAAACAATCCACGATGTACACAAACTTTCCATTTTCTAGTAAGTTCGAACACGATAGCTTTAAATTTGGCCACTGACACTGGATGTTTGAGGTGCAAACATATCATAATAACTGTTATTTTAAGTATGACGTTATAATGCTCAATCCACCACGAAGAGGTTTTGCTGTTATTAGATTGTTACTTAAATAACGAGCTACTTAAAGCATGCCTACAATAAACACTCAAAGAATAACACGTAGTCAGAATAACACTGAAAAAAACAAGAAATAGTAACGCACCCTAAATTTGGTGCAATTTTTATGAACATTGAAAACTATTACTATTATAATTTGGCCTCCCATTATGTTTTGCGTAACCTAAAGCTATTCAGTGGAAATTTAATTTTTAGTTAGGAAATATAAAGTTCTGAATGCAATGACGAAACTGCTAGTATGCTAGTGTCAATAATTCTACCACCATGTATAACATATAATATAATATAATAACATATAATTATTAATGACATATGTCGATAAAGCTGTACCCAATAAAAAAAAGGAAAATGAAAAACGTTAAACGCGACTTTCTGAGGACTCAGTCGGCTAATCCAGCAGGCACAGTGTGCTAACTCCTCTCATTCATCCCGGCAGAGCCGCGGGCTGGAAAAGCGATGTCTGCACTGAGACTGTAAAAAGGTGTGAAATTATTTTTGCTAGACTATTAAAAGAAATGTTACGACAGCGTGTTCCCTTGTGCAGGTTCATTGAGGAGCGATAGAAATAGCAACGGCAACATTGTGGAACAGTGTCGCCATCCTCTGGTCACTAATGAGCACTGCAGGGTGGGAGGACGACAGTGCGCAGGCGTTCTCTCCTTCTGCAGCAATCTAGTATATAGTGCAAGACAAAACTAAAGGAAAACATGCTGAAAATGGATTCGTCGTCGTCTAGAACTTTAACAAATATTTCCCGATGCATTTATAAAAATAAAAAAAAGACCTCCTTTAGGCCAACCACTGCGTTTGAAGCTAGCTGCTGGCTTTATTGCTCCTTCTCATTTAGGACGGGCCCGGCAAAGGAGCAGAGGGCGGAAGGTTCCCAGGTAGAAACAAAGGATCGCTCCAAAATGACCGTGAGTCCTGCGCGTCCCCGTCGGGGAAAGTCCAATAAAGCTGATCATTTCCGCTCCGCCTTTTGTCCAGGGCGCAGTCCCACAGAAAGAGAAGAAAAAACAAATGGGTGCCATTCTGGAAACGGCCTAATTGTGTCTGGACGGCAATAAAGCCATTAAAACTGGAATGCCAGACAGTATAGCAGACCAGGCGTTTTATTGCACTGTCTCTGGCCGAGTCTTTGAAGTTTGGGTCCATCTGCGTCCTTTAACGCGTCACAACAGCACTCCACTGGACTAAAGTCCGACTTACTCTCTAACTACGGCAATCAGTTTACGTGAAGGTATTAATCAGATCTTAACCGGGTGTATCTGACAGAGGCGCGGTTTACCTTGAACGTATTCCTTTATTTTCTGGACCCTTGTGCCTAATACTTTCACCTACACATGCAGGCTTGGAGAGGCTTTACAAATGCAGACCTATTATTTAAAAATGACCTTCGTGGGAGAATAGCTCCGGTCATTTTGCACATTTTGCAAACACATATAAAATAAAAAATCTTCAAAATCCTCCATTCTTTGTGATTAACTTGGCGCTGATGGTGAAGCTTTCGGGTGAGCCTTCTCTGCATATCTGAGCTGAGCAGTCATACCTCGGCTGCATTATTTTGGGCTTCAGCTGTTGAAGCCCTCGATGTCTTTTTTTTTGTTGTTGTGTGTCCTCTCGCCTCGCAGCGCTTCGCACCCCATAAAAGGTTATAGCGGTAATTGTCTTTTATGGCTGCATGCTAACAACATCCTCTGCCAAGACATAGCTGTTCCCCCAAACCGAAACACACACACACACACACACACACACACACACACACACACACACACACCACACACACACACATATGCAGATATTCGGCTGTATGGGTGTGTATTTGGGTGTTTTCTTCCAGTTAAAATGCTTGATGTTATTTACAGAAACTTGCATAAATTTTGTCTTCGTAATAGTTTGACTGTCTGTTTTCTGAATGCGTTTCCGTGTGTGTGAGCGTGTGGGAAGAGGGGGTGGGCTATGTTGACATCTATTTGACAGCAGTTACCTTCATATGATTTTGCAGTGCACAAAGCAGCTTAAAATATATATTTTTTGTGGAGCGTAAATTTGCAAATTGAGATTATAGTATAGCATAAAAATATCATCTCGACGAGAAGCCAAAATGTAATAAGAATGTGCATGTATTCACAGACAGGCCTATAATTTGTTTTATTTAATAAATAAAGTACAAATTACATTTGTCAATCAAGAGTCAGGCGGCCAGCAGACCGTGAGGTATTTAATATGTAGCCTACAGTGTTTTATTTAATTCCCTCGCACCAACTAATATTACTTTGAAAATGTCACTCCCTGAAATTCATAGTTCAGCATCTATAATGCAAGCAATTCTACTAAAATCCGTAATCGAAAAAAAAACCCCGTTATTATTATTGTAGGTAGTTGAAAGACATAGGTAGTCAATCGTGTCGTGTTATATAGCTTCTATTACATATTTTAATTTAGTGTTGTAGCATTTCCAAGAGGTTTACGAGGTCTATGAACCTACTTCAACATGTCAGTCCAACGTTAGATTCAAACTCATGGTCATCAGTCATAGTTCTAAGCAGTAAGGGAGAAACAACAGCTAAATGAATACATTTTACAAACTATACGCTGAGGGGACTCGGAAATAGACAACAAGTATAACTACAAACAAGAGCACACACAGCTAGAAACATCCTTACACAAACAAGCACAGGGACCAGGCCAACTAATACATTTTAACGAGGTATTAATCAAATAGTTATGAGAAAATAACAAACACAAAATGAGTGTGCACCGTTAAAATTGTGCAAACTGAAGCCCATGCTTTTTTTTTTTTGAACAAGACAAACAAGCCTAACAGCTTCTGTTATACAGAACAATAAGACAATGAGTTTAAAAAACAAGGTCCAGCAGGGTTAAGAGCTTCCACACTCAAAGCTCGCTAAATACTGCAAATCTATACGGTTCAGTCACTCTCTTTCGGCGCGCCGTCTTTATTAAACTTCTTCATCTTCATCCTGCGGTTCTGGAACCAGATCTTAACCTGTCTCTCGGTGAGGTTTAACAGCCTCGCCACCTCGTACCTACGGTCCCTGGTCAGGTAGGTGTTAAAGAGGAACTCTTTCTCCAGCTCCAGGATCTGGTGCTTGGTGTACGGACAGCGCTTTTTTCTCGTGGCGCTCGCGTGGAGCCAGTTGGCCACCGGGTTATCTGGAAAGAGTGGGGTGCGACATCGGTGTGAGCGGCCTGTGCCGGGTGACCAAATGCAAAAAAAACAAACGGTACTCATAATACCCCCCCCCCCCCCCCCCCCCTTCCCCCTTCCCACCCTCCAACCCCCCCCCCCTTCAAAAAAATGTCCTTCTAATCAAAAGTCAATTGCTACATCCAAATAAAACCTACCACCACCTACCGCTATTTATCCTCCGCACCACGTTCACGTTAAAGAGCAAAGGGTTATATAATATAGCAATAGGAGCTGGGCCATTAACAGTCCCCATAAGGTAATGGCACGTTCAGAATGGCATCTGTTCATAAGCGCACCCCCATCGGCACCTCGGTCCTTTCTGCTTTATATGGTGTAAATGGACTATAAACATGGAGGGGTCCGCAGCGACTTACTTGGATCAAGCGCCGGCTTCTCTTCACTTTCTCCGCTCGTATCCCCTCCTTGACTGGACAGTGCGTCCCGTTCCACCGGGGATGCCGTCGCTGCCGTCCCGTTGGCGTAATCAGAAAGCAGCAGCGCCGTGTGGGAGCCGGGCAACGCGCCGTCAGCTCGCGTCCCCAGACCTTCCGGTTTGATTCCGTAGTGATGGGTCGTCGGTAAACCCGCCATGGCAGAGACCTGACATGGCTCCAGCAGCACGACTGATAGCGGCCATCTGTTTCTGCACCGACCGGACCTTGGGGATGCCCATAATGGTGATACACAGAAGAAACGCTGCCGGGGAACTGAGCAGGGACGTGACTCCACGACGGCCCGAAAACCGAAGGTTTGGACGGGAAGGTGCAGGTTCCGAGCTCGCCGTGGTCGCTAATGGAGGCGGGCTGCCTGGAGTGCTGCAGCCCGGGACCGGGGGTGTATCTCGGCACGGAGAGGTCCTCGCTCTCGGGCAAAATAAGCGAGTCGACGTAGTAACTAGTCAACGTTCCGGATGTCGACATGGCAGAAAAAAAAATTAGACGTTCACATGTACACAGTCATACAACAGATTCATGCAAAAGTAAAACGCGCACACACACACACCACACACACATACACACGCAGTAAACCCAGCCTCACAAAATAACAATGTGGAGAAATCAAGTAGCAACTTGGCCCCACAGAGAACTACAGTGGGCTAGTAATGGGGAGACAGGCTGCCGTACCATTGGATAGGAGACACACGTGATCATCAAGGCTGAACAATAAAGGATAAATCAATCCCTTTGGTCATTATACTCACCCGTTTTCTTGTAACAACCTTTAGTTTTAAAGCGAAGAATTTTAAGAGTATTACGTCGGAACGTTATCTGCGAGACTGGAAATGTAAATAACCGAATGAAAAATGTGTTTTTCAGTATAGGTAACTGCTGATGGTGGAGTTACCTTTGGATATCCCAAACGATGCAGTGGTCTTTTGGAGGCCCTCGATGTTACGAGATCCTTTATAGGACACGTAAGCGCCCATGCCATTGCTGAGCACCAAAACGCACTGTAACCACTACGTTACCTAAATGCATCAGCTCGGCTTTGAGAAAAAGGCCTAGATATCAAATGGCCACCAAACAAATAACATTTTTCTTCATGTGCTGTTTTTCTTTTTTTTTAGCTTCACACAATTCTGCTGACTAACACAGTGAAAAGCATCGGGCTGATATCTAACGTTAAAGGAGCCCAAAATGTTCTGTTTAATATATCTAGCAAAGTTAATATGTTTGCGAGGCTAATCTATTTAAAACATATAGGGAAATTGCACGTATGCACTTATGGTCTGATTTTTCAATAACGGTATTTCCGGATTTGGCTTTTAGGTGATTGCTTTGTTCGCGTATATGTTGAGATAACCGCTCTAACACGTAATAATACACATTATAGCATACTAGCATGCCGTTTTAACGAAGATAAAGCAGGGCTATGAGCATATTTCATAGTTGGGAGAAAAAATCAATGAGCATAATTCTTTTTTTTCTAATGTAGAATATTTTATTTTTAAAATCTCAATCAAATTGACGGAAAATCAAGCTATTCGTCTTGTGCGTTGAAGTTGTAAATCAGCACATTATTGCATTGGCTATAATTACGGTGCAAATACATTGTATGACGTAAGAAATAAAATAACATGTACTGATATAAGATATGACGGCATATTATTAAATCTGAAACAATGGTTGGTGGTCTAAATTGTCACACAATTGGAAAGAATAATACAAAATACTACGATACAAAATAACTAAATAAAACTGTGACACTGACCCATAAAATGAACTTGTGATATCCTATATTTAATGAATATTTTCCAAATACCGCTTCTTGTTTAAGCCACAGTTCAAAGCGTTTATTATTCACACAGCCGTTATCACTTGTGCAGGCCTATACTATGCCATCATCACCGCCCTCAACGAATTAACTGCAATGCCTGCTTGCAGCCGGTGCCTCGGTGTAACGTTACACTCAAATAGAGGTAAAAATCTGCACTTGTGGTTTACTCCTGTTAAACTGAAATGGCTCGAGCAGTGGCCAACCCCATGAAAGACAACAGCGCGTTTAAAAAGCAGTACAAATGGAGATGAAAAAATGTTGGCACGCATTTTAAGTGAAATTAATTATTAGAAAGACACTAAAATCGACATAATATAATTAAATACATGCATGGATATTAACTTTGCATTTGTTAAAAATCCATATATCAAACTGCACAGGCAGCTACCTGAAAATGGTGCGTCACGATCCACCAAACGCTGACAATGCGTGTATATTTCATGAATTAATTGATAATATCAATACAGATTGTTTTACTATGCGTATTAGTGTATAAACCAAGACCCTAAATCCTCATCGCGGATCATGTCTACCAAACAGAAACCTTGAGTTCTCACACATCACGCTGCGGCTTTTATTTATCACCAGCATATAAACGAAGGGCTTGGCCAACACCCCACAAGGCCACAGGCAATTCAATGCACAGGTCTCGGCACTCAGTTCTCTCCATCGAGTAGGGAAAGGAAATGGACGCAAGAGGTTCTTAATGCGCTTTCTAGTTGCAAGCTATCACCTCCATGGTAGTTGCACTGTATTTGGCCAGCAGAGATCAAACAAGCCGAGGGGGTAAAGGAGCGGCTGCCCGCCTATTTGTGCACTAAAAGTTAGAATAGACAAACACCTTCAGAGCAGGAAAAGACGGCACTTTGCCAATGGCTCTCAGGCTGTAAACCTAAATCAGGGTGTTTTTTTCACCCGGTTTACCGCAGGGGCTATTCACTTCTTTTGCCTCTGCAGATAACAGCCTGTCTGGCGGATCTAAATTTCGCCATAAAGCCCTTCCCCTCCTTTTGTCTGAGCCACTATTGCGCAGCGGAAGCATCCGGTCTCATTGCCCACGGAGGTCGCTGTTGCCCAATTCACCTTCCCCTTCCCCTCCACTGCAGTGGTCGTAACCGAGGCCTTGTCTGGCGTGTCTGCGTCACATGCTCACGGAAAACACGCACGGCTTAACCCTTAATCCCAAATCCACGACGCATACTGCAGCTCTGCTGTGATCACGTATAGATTCAGCGCATGTTCCCGCCTATAGGTTTATTTTAACGACAAAATACTAGCAGAGAAGACAAAGGAAAACATGTCAGGAGACCGTTCAACAATATAGCCTAAAACAATAGCCAGGAAAGCGTCCTGTATTTATAAATGATATGTTAGAACTTGCTTCCAAAACGCATATTCACAATTCTCATAAAATTCAATCATCTATATGTCACTGGTTTGCTTCCGTTTTGGTTTTGATGTGTGGAACTGGGGCAGTTAAGACAGTTTCGTGTTGCAGAGTTAGAAATGGACCCCAACAACATGAAACTACCTAAACCACCCGGCAGTCAATCCGGGCCTCAAGTGAAACACAATCAGCCAATTCGCAACGCACCGTGTTCACCGGTCCCGTCATCAAGTGTCCAATATCGTCTGTATTGAGAAAGTACAACTCTTTTGTACACGGAGCCAGTGCAACGAGGCGCAGCAACAAAAAAAAGGGGGACAAATTCCCAATGATGCATGGACTTACCCGATCCTCGAAATATAAGTCCAAGTATTGCGAAACTAAAGCACGAGTTAAGATTTTATATCCGCAGTATCTACACGGTTGGGATTTGTAGCAGAGAGCCAGGCCTCCTCTCCGTCTGGAAGGCTCTCTTACGACTGAAGCTGCTTTTAGAGGAGAGGGAGAAACATCATATAGCAGCCAGTCATAAAACTCTACAATAGCCGCCTTGGCATGCAGCTAGACGGCTTGGAGCTTAATATCTTAATAATTTCCGATTTCCATTACGTTAGGCTACAGGACATTTGTTAGCCAGTTTACCAAAAAAAAGGGTTGATTCTTCAGAGATGCACATATTTCTTTTGATTCTGTACACATTGACTTAATGAATATAAAACCCATAGTACGAATATACAAGCAGCTACTCCTCAATCTGAGCTGATAATTTATTAAGCACTACACCAAACACAATGTCATGTACACAGAAATATACAACAAAAACTTCCCCCTTGCGCAGCGTTTTCGTGTAAACGTCCCTCCACTTGAATACAGATTCAACTCATACATTTAGTTCATACATGGAAAAGGCCTATATTGTGGTAGAGTACATCTAATCAAAGGTGATTATTCCTCCCTTGGTGATTCATTATATCCCAGTGGTTGAAACGTATTTTCTTAATGAGAACTTTATATCATGCAGTTCCAATTCATAGAAAATAAATTCATATTTGTTCAAATTACAACATAATTTATTTTTCAGCATTTGGGAGGGAAGTGGTCATTTTAAGACACCTTCCAAAGTATTTTTTTTTATTTAATGGCGTTAATTTAACGCCATTGACGACACCATCCAACCATACGACGGAAGTGACTGAAACATTTCGACAAGATGAAAACAAACAAAATCAGAAAACCAACATATTGAACTCATAACATTAACTGTTTCCCTTTTCTTATTTTCAGCGGCTCACAGAGGACGATACATTTGTCAGTATCTGCGATCTTTAAGCGAGTCTGGAAATAAGTCCGCCAATGGCATGAATCAATGTGTGGACAGAGTGGTGAAGACGAGTAGGAGCATTGCTTTTACCAGTGATCTTCTCTCTCAATGTGATCACCTCATACATCATGAAAATCCGTAGTTGGAAGTGAGCTCCCGGATCCTGTTTTCCCGCGTCATTTTCTTCAGTTTCATCCTGCGGTTCTGGAACCAGATTTTCACTTGCCGGTCGGTCAGGTGGACGCTCTTACTGATCTCTAGGCGGCGCTCTCGGGTCAGGTACATGTTGAAGAGGAACTCCTTCTCCAACTCCAGTGTCTGATGCTTGCTGTATGGACAGCGTTTCTTCCGCCCGCTTTTTGCTGTCAGCCAGTTGGCCGTGTTTTCACCTTTTGCTTCTCCTGTAGAAAATGGAAGACACGTGGTTCATATACATATTTGAACATGGGAAGCGTGTCTGCGTGTATGTGCCGTGTAATAGGTTCGTGTTTACACGAATGTGCGTTGGTGTGTTGGGTCTGTGTGTGTTATGCGTAAACGGCTGCTTTGTTCTGCTCAGATTTGACTCTTTGAGTCAACATTTTAGTAATAGTTCGAAAATATTACATGGAAGTTTTAAACAAACCTCGTTTTTGTGTCATAAGCCGTGAAATAACACGGATGCATTATGGCACAGAAAAATATTAAAGGCCTATGCAGGTATAGGCCTATATTTGCATTTTACGCAGCGCTCTGAAAAACACTGCCTACGGGTACATGTAGCTATAATGTGTTATATTATAATAATTTAATAATGTGTTCATTCATTTTAACTCAAATTAAATCCCAAAGTTGATTAATTTATTCAAATTTAGCTATGCTAACGTTTTTCATTTTTACGCATAATCCCACGGGGCTTATTCATGCACATACACATTATAACTTACTAACCACCAATTTAGAAACAAACAAAGACTGGGAGACAACACTTTGCAACTGCAACGTTTCCATGCCCGCGTCTTGACTTGTCATTGTACGTCTAACCAAATAGAACTTCACAGGTGCCATTAAAAAAGTCTCACTCCACCTACATACAACCAATAGAAGAGCACGAGTCCACAACTGCGATTACCTTTAGCTGTCTTCGTCCGTCTCTCTTTGACACGCTCCTCCGTCTCGTCAGCTGAAGAGACTTCTGCGTCCGAGGACTCGCGTGCCTCCTCGGTCCCCGGCGCAGCGTGAGCCTGCGGGTCGGTGTTTCCCGAAGACAAGGGCTCCTCAGCGATCCTCCCGTCCAGCGTCGTGGCCGGGGTAGTCGGCGTCGCGTGGAAGCGAGCAGGAGCGGTGGGTTGTAGGCCAAATTGAGAATGGGAAGGGTTCGGCTGGGGGATGTTGGTGTTGTAAAGTTTATGAGAATGTGCGTGCGTCTGAGACAAGCGGAAGTAGCCCGGCACAGGCACTGAGCCCCTGCCGCCGCCATCGGTAACTGTACAAGAACTCGTGCCAAGTCCGGCTGCTGTTAACCTCGAATATGTAAGATCTTCGGCGTTTGAGGCTTTGGGGCACTTCGGCTGCTCATACAGGCAGTAGGTGCTCTCCTCCTTAATATTCTGCGGGAACGAGCAGGGTGCGACCTGAGGTCCCACCGGGTGCTCTTGGTCCATTCGACATGACCTCTGCGCGTCAATCCACATCTCCATGCTAGACATGTACGCACCAGAGGCGGATACCATGTTTTGGGAACCCACCTCGGCGCGCTTCCCCATACCTGGAAAGTATCCATAGTTGTGTAGTCCGTAAGGCACTTCTGTTGCGGCGCTATGAGGCAGGCACACCGCACTCCCAGCGTAGTGCCCTCCGCCGCTCTCGTTGCGCCCACTGATCAGAGAATCCACTAAAAACGCGTTTCCTGACGGACTGTCCGAACATGACATTATTGTGGTGTATTTTGGCGAAGGGAGAAGATAGCCCTTTCTGGCTGACATTTCTTGTGCAAAACATGCTGGATATGATCAGCGGCACCCCCTTCTCAGCCGCGCAGACTGTAAAACCAATGGAAATGCTTGAAGATGGGCAGTCCCTCCCATTCCGTGTCTACGCAGCATGCAGCCGGAGCCATATCCATCATGGAGCTGAGACGGAGAAAAAGGCAGCAGAGCACTCAGTGGGCTCCCTTACCTTGCCTTAATGCACCACTATTAGCCCCTTAGAAGGGGCGAGGTCCAGCACGATGCATTTGAAAAGCAACATTTCATTTGTTTAATCGTCGAACTAGCTTCGGAATACATTCTCAACACTCACGTCTGACCTCATTGTCTCTTTCCCCGAATCCCAAGCAAACGTTACCACGAATCTAAATAGGTGCAAATCAGATTAATCAGGTTGGTAAAAAAAAAAAACCTTAGACCTCAAATAAGAATGATGTATCCTACCAACAAAGACATACAATAACAAAACAGATGGACTATAATAACGTTTTCTTAATTATGAATCCGCCCGATAAATACATAATAATTTTGGGGCGTCCATTAGCTGAAAGAAATACTGAGCTGTGCTAAGATCAGTGTTTTCTGAAGATTGATATAGTTTTTTTTTAAACTTTGTTCTTTATTTATAATCTGCAGACATTGCATGGCCTGTACTGTCTGTATATGTGTTTGCACGTGAACCATCTAAAAAATAAAACCATTATTGTGTATGCACACATAAAACATTTCTGTGTTCATGTTCACTGTTGTTAAGCTTAGTTGTCACAGTATTTTTGCTGTATGTCTATTTCCTGAGCGAGTAAAATGAGACTAGAAAAATGTTTACGTGTAGCGACCTGAACTATGAAGTTGATTCTGTTGTATTGCTGCAGAATGAACGTCTCATTACACTATTACTTTAGTCCGTTCTAATTTAAGAAAAATATCGGATAACTTCAATCTTGATTAAGGCAAATTTAGTGTAACATCTATCCCCGTGCGTAAATAATGGCAAACTAAATCCTCGACACCGGTGACTAAAAACAATTGAAGATGAATTAACCAAAAACAGGCTGCATATAAATATTTGTTTTATATTGTTCAACTATTTATAACAACTTTTATACATTCAATTCCCCAAATACCATATATAACTGCATGTATTACTAATTCCTTGTAGCCTTTTGGTCTTGGTTTTCTTCTTTGTCATGAATGACCTGATAAAAATGTTATACATCGTGCACTACACATTACTATTTTTAAAGATGTAAAATTATGATTTATATTAACAATTGTCGTGTTCAGATATTTTTGATTAATTACGGATTTAGAAATGTTAACATGTACCCAACTTGTCTTTACGCATTTGAAAAAAAGGTAAACCTGCCTTTTCTTTTCTTTTTTACGTATGGACAAATGTGTTTTCATGAAAATGCTGATAAATGCTGCACTATACGAAGAAAACATATTTTAAAAAAAATCAAAACTACTCAGAATTAAAAGAAATTACGTTATCAGAGTATTGATCGTGGCGCCGCATGTGCAAAGAGCAGGCTCAATGTAGCAAAGCAAAGCAGACATAGAGGTTGTCATCCTGTTGGTCCAATTTTGGGCAATAAGGGCCACAATAAAACTCTCCTTCCAGTGTCCTTGGCCATGTGCACTCTAATGCTCTCTCCAGGTTGAAGCTAATCTCGGCCAGCTTTCCCATTACCAGGCCCAGGTGGCCGTTAGCCCCCCCCGGGTTTGTTTGCAGCCTGTTGTACGGAACTGAGGAAATTTGGTAGAAATTCATAAATTGAGCCCATTAACGATTTCAAACGCTCCGTCATTGACAGCTCGTGTATTTACAGCTTAGATTTTAGATCACTGCCGCTGAAAATGCAAATATTTCAAATGGCTTGAATGACTGAAAGTTTTTTGGATAACATTTAAGTATACACAATAACAATGCATCATGTATTTCAAATTCCAAATGACATTATGTTTAAATAAATAGCAGATACCTTTCTACGGCGCAAGAGGTTTAGAGACAAAGGCCTTGCACCAAACATTTGTAATACATATATACGCCATTCATTAAATAATTCACTACAGAGCTGACCGACTTAATACGGTTTGTGTACTTTTCCCCACAGCGGCCTGTTCCTTAAGGGACATATGAGCCAGTAAAGAAACCAAATACACGAATTAATTATCTGTGCGTCTTAAATTGTTTTGGCTTACACACAACCGGCATTGGGGCCTATCAATATCATTGTGTTACAGTTATTAATCGTTGCTATTAAATCTTCATTTTCACAGCTGCTCGGCGATTACATCCCCAAAACAGTTCCCCCTGACCACTGGCTTTGATCAGGCCCATATAATCGCAGCCGAAAGACGCCGTTCGAGTCGTATCATGTTCGTCTCGAGTGCAGTTATGAACAATAAGGCGGCGTTTTATTACATCCAGCGGAAGCATTTATTTTTCACGAGAGACAAAGGGAGAAAAAGGACTCGGTCCACACGCTCTGAGGTCCAGAATAGTAACTCCCCGCTCGCACTGACACCAAATATCCTCGGAGTGCAGCTCTGTGTCTGTGACAGGAAGGAAAAGGAGACGCGGTTGCTGCCCTATCACAATCAGATCAACTCTTCTAATAGCAGCTTGTGTCCACTTGACACGTACAGACAATAATGTGTTTTGGAAGGATGTCAAATGTTGTTCCTTTGAAGAGGAAGAGGGACGAGCATGTACGAGCCAGCTGCTGTGTTTTAAGTCGAGCATGTGTTTTAAAAAAAAAAATAAAACCATCATTTTGTATCCAGCGCCCGCTGCTAACTGTCTCGTTAACATGCTAACTATGCCCATTTTTTTTAATAATCAAGGGAGAATTTTCCCCCAAACCCCGAACATTAGTGGTTGAACTGGAAGGTTTGAGAGACGGGATCTCTCCAGGTACACGCCGGCCATGCTACACTTTAACCATTAAAAGGCTCAAGCTCAGCAAAATGAATAGCACATGCAGCATGAAGGCTTGGCACAGATGTGTTGCCTTATTAGGGCCCCCAGGAGTTCTCTGCATGAGAGATGCCGAGAACACAAAACGCACCCTGTCTCGAACTAACACGAGTTGCATGCAAGAGGAGTCTGATTTGGGAGTTTCCGAAGATTCTTCGCAACAGAGCAAACGATTCAGGCTTCGGCGAGTATCGACGCCTTTTACCTGCTCGCGTTGGAGGTGAGCTGGGAGACGAAAACATCCACGGCCGTGACATTGGTCCCAATAGCGCCGCCCGGTGGCGGAAGGGCAGACTAGTCCCCGTGGGCGGCCGCGTGCCACGCCGATGTGGACAAACCGAACGAGAAGCAAAAGCCTCTCAAATGAAGTCCATGCGACAAGCAAGCAAGCCCATCTCGTTCCTATCCGTCCCCTCTCCTCCGTTGCTCTGGCCTCCTTGGAAACAGTTAATAACCTTGGGTCTCAGACGGTTTATTGCACTGCACTCCAGTTGTACAAATGCCCCAGACTCAGACAGCTTTTATGGCACCGTTGCTGCGGCAACGGGGAGGATGTCCCGTAATTAGGGAAGGAATTCCAGCGCGCAGTAAAGGATGCGCACGGCAAGGCCGGACTATGGCAGCGAGAGGCAACCATAAACTTCAGCCTCTCTCGCCGCGTTTATGGCCCTTTTGACTGTCATATATGAACGCCAATGCGCTGCAGCTAGCCCCCATAAACACAGTGATAACAACAGCAAATATGGTGACCCCCGCCGAAGGAGACTGCCGTTGGAACAGTGTTTTTAGAGCCAATTGGCGCAAAGATAGCTCGCACGCACCCATTAAAAAGAGCAAGAAGGATAAATTAAACAAAATAATAGAAAATAAAGTGTACATGATGAAATACAGAGCGTATTGCAAGTGCAAATGCAGTTGGCACGAATAAAGGTGGATCTGCAGAGGTTCAATCACAGATATTTCCTTCAGATGGAATGCAAGAGCTGCCAAACGTATCGCCCAAAATATCAGACTAATCCAATTTCAAATAATTGCTTAGGGAAATATTTGACAGCAGAAGATATACTTTTCTTTAGTTTGCATAAATTATCTATCTATCGAACCCTTTTAACATTCAAGGATATTTGAAAGCAATTACGAATGAACGTCCAGTTTGTACTGTTCAGTTTGGAGAGTTCATAATTGGCATGTTTGTTTGCAACATATACTAGTACATGCATATACATATACTAGTACAAAAATCAAGACATTTATCATGGAATAGTTTTGTTTAATCCCAATTAAACAAAACTATTATAAGTTGAATGTGTTGATTTTTCATTGCGTTAAATGTTTCAAAATGTGTTTGTAGAAAATAAAACAATGACATCCCAGATTTATTTTTTTGTCAATGATCTTTCATTTGTTTTTTTATTGGGAAATATAGTATAATACATAATTTCGCGTATACCAAGCCATAGATTCAATGCGGTGCCCCTGACCAGCATTGCCTGGTTAGCACACTTGAAAACGTGAATTTGTATCTTCTTTAGACAGCAAATATCAAAGGATCACAAGTAATGAAAAAAATAATCTGTAATGCGTATCATTATAAGACCCAACAGGCCTGCTGCATGTGTGAATGTGTTGGGCGTGTACCTCAGTGCAACTCCACACGGATCCAGTGGACAAGCTTATCTCTCTGGTTTTGGCCTGCATTATCAATACTCAACTGATAGTCTCCAAAAATCCCAAAGGACAACGTGGATTCGGGTGTTGTGGATACGCGACGTACAAATACGTGTAGCCACAGGTTATTTAGGAAAGGCGACAAAGGGTCAGTTCAGACTCAACACGGAATCACAATAGTCTGCTCGTAGTAATGGACTTGGTTCATTATTAAAGGAGAGTAAACGAGTGCTACAACATAAATAAGCACACACAACATAAACACGTTACATTCTCATCCGAAGTCATTGTTTTGGTCACACCAATATCATTTCACTTATTTAATGACATACTAAATCCACCCCCCTTTTCTGATAGAAAAGAAAGTCAAACAAATCTTTTTGGTTACAAAATGCACCGGGTCAGTCAATTAGTGGCTTCGCCCGCGTGACAAATAAAATTAAAGAAGGCGTCGGTGGGCAACAATTAACATGAACAAGGGCGTCCTCGCGATCCGCATCCCCCCCCCCCCCCCAAAGAGAGTCTGAGAGGTAAAATCTCACTCCACAGCCTTTATTCGTGCGGACTCTGCGGGTGATTCCGATCGCAGGACGAGCTTGTCCTCGAACTTGAAATGAACTGAGCGGTGTGTCGCTTCCGTCGCGTGTACGCAATGTACAGTGGGAGAGTCCCAGCAGGAGGGCCAGTGTGCCTGTAGACGCAGTCGGTCCCACAGGGGGGGGGGGGGGGGGACTGTGGAAGCCGTGGCGGGGCGTCGTTGACCCCTAAAGCAGAGGATTGGACGTATAATAATGTAATCGATCTCTGTTCAGTTTCTTCTCCTTCATGCGACGGTTCTGAAACCAAATCTTCACCTGTCGGTCGGTGAGGTTGAGCATCCGGGACAGTTGCAGGCGTTTCTCCTTGTTAATGTACACGCTGAAAAAGAATTCTCTTTCAAGTTCTCTTATTTGATATTTGGAATAAGGGCATCTTTTCTTACGGGTTCTCTGTCCATCTGGAATGCAAAAAAAAAGAAAGTGTATTGGTCATAGGAAAATATTAACATTTCAAATTAGACTTTACTATGTCACATTACCAATATCAAGTTTGCTTTATTTTTTTATTTGAACATTTCAAGTGTCTAAGATATTTTAAATTGCACTGGAAATAATGCCAAAGCATTTGCGCTGGTTCGCTTTAGACAACACACCTTTACAATTAAAAGAAAACAATCGGCTCACTTTTAAACATTATGAGCTACAGTGAAGGAGACAGTTTTCATTTGAGTATCTGTCTCATAGTTTTATAGAACACAAAGGAGTACGTCTAACATTTGTGAATGCAAAATGGCTTTTAACACAAGAGCTACTGTCTAAACCCGTATTACACGCGTGTGCTTTGTTAATACTAAGAAACCGTGAAACAACAACGTTCATAATACCCGAAAATAACGCAGGGTTGTATTATAATTCATAATGATAACGTAAAAAAATGCCATGCAGTGTTACAAAAAAAACAACAACCCCGACCTCGTCTCTTTCACGGCCAATTTCAATTCCAAACACGTGATCCTGCAGTTTATAACAAAGTTTTGTCGGGGGGGTGTGGGGGGGCTACAGGCCCTCTATAAACCTTATACGCTTATAAAACAGCATATAAAAATGTTAACAGCAGCGTGCAAGATTGCAAACTTTCTCTCATAACCGAGGCGCTGACTTTAATACGTACTGCTGCTGCTGCTGCTGCTGGATTTCTCCTCATTGTTGCCGGAAGATAACTGCGGGCTGCTGGCCTCATCCCGCTGCTCCTTCGCCTCGGTGTCCCCGCACGACGCCTCGTCCTCCGGCGTGGAGCTGGCCTGCTTGGCCGTCGCCTTGTCCCCCGGGTAGCCGTTCCCGGAGGAGCCCTCCGAGGCGTTCCCGTACGCCGATTCGTAGAACTGGTCGAAGACTTGCGGCAGCACGCCGTTTCTGCCCACGTTACCGTAAAAATTGTTCGCAGAAGAGCCGGCGCTCGTGTGGTGGTGATGGTGGTGGTGGTGGTACGCGGCGGCGGCAGCCGTGGGGCTGTTTTTACCGAACACGTCCCCCACGACGGAAGTTTGAGCCGAAAGACAGTCCCGGTGCACCATGTCCTCCGCGGTGGGGTAGCCGTGGGGCAGGTTCCCCCGGTGCGGCCATTTACCGGACGCTTCGATAGCCGCATAGTCCCTGAACGTCACCTCCCGGACGGGTTGGACCTGCGGCAGGTTGGAGGAGTAAGAGTATGTCACGGGGCGGGTGGACGGGCTCTGGGACAAAAACGAGGGAAGACCGGAGAAATCTGCCCCCGCCGACACGTAATACGTGCAGCTGGGCAAATACATGTTCGATCCGACGGGGACCCTTTCGTCAAAATCCATCATGGTAGTTCACCCTCTTCTATGACTCTGTGTTGTGGTTGGATTCCTCTATAACCGCCCTGAACATGGCTCTGAAGCGCCGTGCCTCTCGCCTCTTTGAAGCAGGTTCGCTAAGCAGACATTTGGAGACGTAGGCTGACGTGGAGAGCCATCTCCATCCACTCTACGGAGGAGGAGGTCACGTGACCAGACGGCAGAAATTGACAGATTTTCAGGCTGTGTGTACGTGCGTGCGTGCGTGTGCGTGTGTGTGTGTGTGTGTGTGTGTGTGTGTGTGTGTGTGTGTGTGTGTGTGTGTGTGTGCGTGTGTGAAAGGAAAGTGTGTGCAATAGATTTGACCATGTGTCCTAATGCTTGGCATTTCTTTTAAATTAAAATGTTACACTGAAGATAAATTCCTTAACATGCAACAAAGAATACACAGCTTGAATGCGGATTTTAAAAGCTCCAAGTTATTAGCCGTAATTATTAATTTCCCAGATGTCCTTTGCTTTCCATACGTGCCTTTGAAAGAATGCTTTGGGTAATTACTTATTTTTCTTCTTTTCTGCCTTTCCTTGTTTTTTGAATTACACAATGCGGGAACAATGCAATTATTCTGACAACAAGTCATAACTCTACAATAACAGGACTAGACCAGCAATACTGTTCATTGAAAACATTGACCTGAATTGGAGGAAGGAGACAACCAGCTTATCTGTAAAATCTGCTTTTTGAAACGTCTTAGTCATCATCATTTGGTGGTTTTACAACGTAGCATTTGGCCCATTGGGCATTTGGTTATCAGGGTCATGTTCAAAGTAGCGGCTAATGTTTCAACAGGCTTCAGCCTTGCGTTAGTAACATTAGCCTATAAGACCAAAACTGGCTTGTTGAATAAATAAAGCAAATACGGGACAGAATCATAATATTTGGAGGGATAAAGAGAACCTGAGAATACAAACTGACAATTAATTGGTTCTGAAAAACAACCTACCAATAATGCATTTGTTCATTTAAACATTTAGTAATACATAAATTGTATTGTTAGTAATTTTACGCGTGGAAATCAACAGTGAAGTATACACCTCTCAGTGAAGACACGGTTCACCGAGGAAGATGTTCCTGATTTAACAATAAAACAGTCTGCTTTAACCGTTAAATGTAGGATATTCTGTTTCTTAATTGTTCTCTGTTTTGTCTCATATTTAACGGATCCGAAAGCCGCAACACACGAGCCCCCTCGACTTTTACGCACAAGTATTTATTTACGTTTTTGTGCTAATATTTTCATCAAACGTGTGTTGTACAGCGGGATTCAGACAGATTTAACAAAACATCACATATGATCAATATTAATTTAGACCAGATCCCTATTTTTTGTATTTTTTTCCATGACGAACCCATTAGCGCAAATACCAAAACACGCACAAAATAGAATGACTACACGTTTCTTAGTGGATCATGTTACAGTTCATGTTACACTTTATAAATACCTGCAGCGGTAATTCACAGTTGTAGCTCAAAATGTATTTAATTAAAATCCTGAATCCTGAAGAAATAGTGAATAAAGTTTGTTATTGTCAAGGTTAACGGTTCAAGGTTTTTTATTTACCATTTGCGCATATAGACAACAGTCCAGATACATTCTTGTCATTGAATTCTTGTCATAACGCAGCTAGAAATCATTCTATGTTAAAGGTCGTCTTTCCCCTGAAGCTAAAGCAAATTAAGATAACAATTTCCCATGATCTTTGTTTAATAAATATAGCTCTATTCTATTTGATTTGGTTAAAGAGTTTTTGGTCACAGTGCACATTCCCCGTGTGTGTGTGTGTGCTCCGAGGGCCACCCTGCAGCTTTTCTTGGGGAGGCTGCAACTTGACTCTAATGTGCTGTGAATGAGAGACGTGAGCTCGGATTAAGGCCGCCACGGCTGGCCTGGCCCCACAGCCCGACGTGCACATGCGGATCCAAGGGGTTCCATGTTGGCATGTGAAACACAACCTTAAAATATCACCAACTAAGACGGTGTGAGCACAAACTAGCTCAACGTTGGCCTATTCTAAGAGGCCGAAACCAGCATGCAGGCACCGTCGTATTTACAAGCAATGCTATTTGATAAATTGCTGGGGCACAAACAACTCGGGTGTCTTTGCGACCACACGCTCCGCCTCCCCGTCCACCCAGACAAATTCTATGACTTGTGCTGAAGCTTTTAAGCTGTAATTGAGCACAGGATGCCTCGAAAAACCAAAGGCAGCTCTGGACAGACCTGGATTTTTATAGCTGCTATAGTATTCTACCGCTCCCCCCCTCCTCCCTGGCCAGACAGACACCACAAAACAGTCCAAGTGTGATAGGAAGTTGCCACCAACGCGCGCTCAAAGTCAGCAGCTGAAGATTTTCAACGACAAAGCATGTCTGTGAACGTGTAAGGTAAGAACTGCACTGACAATAAATACTCTTATTTCACAACATTTTAATATTTTTTTTTGAAAATAATTAGTTCAAGAATAATGACAAGCATTAAAATAAAGCTAATTGGATGTCAAATGTATTTTGTATTTGCGTGGACCCTCTGGCTATCTCCCGTGACGTTTTCTTTGGTCATCAAAACAGCACTGCGGCGCTGCGTAAAAGCTCTCAAAGCCAAAGCTTTGTCTGCACGGTCGACTTCAAGTTCGGGGGAGGGAGCGGGTCAAAGGGCCCACTGTGCCCTGGACGGAGTTCCTTTAATTGCTTCTGTTTACGCAAGGTTTAAGTGCAGAGTACTCGATAATGTGAACTTAATTCTGCACCGAGGAAACATCTAACAAACTTCACCCTCACCAGAGAGGTGAATCCTGCGCGTTTTCGTATCTGTTTGAATTCCTCTGCAAATAGTAAACCACTCATTCTAACTTTTACTATTTGGGAGACTTGCCTTCACCAAAACTCCTCATGTTTGTAGCAAGTTGATCTTTCAATATTATATATGTTTAATATAAAACGAAACACCACCTATAGAATAAACGTGAATGCAGTGCCTTTGGAAATGAATGAATATGAAAACACTGATTGGACATGGAGATAAAGATAATCAGTATTTACTCGCGGACACGGTTTTTATGGCATTTAATTCAAGAGAAGAGCGTCACGCCTTCTCCGTTCCCTGCTGTTTTCGTACCGTAGCCCTTCTAAATAGACTTAAATCAAACACTAGCATCGAACCATTTTTGTTGTATAATTTCACCGATTGTAACACAACACATTCAACTTTAAATGAGGTGCAACTTCTATCCTGAAGAAATAGAAGGACATTTATTGGGTTAGGCAGAGAATGAAACATGCAGAGCAAGCCGTGTGCCATAAAAGCTGGTTAGACAACAAGTAAACAATCAAGTGTGGGGAGGATGTTAAAGTACAGTTTAGGGTCAGGTAGGCCCGCAGGCTGTAAAGCAGGCTAAGTAGGCGCGCATTGAGTGCCCTGCACAGAAACCGCCTGCCTCGAAGTGAAGTTAAAAGACCAGACCTTTACTATAGGCTCCGTTTTTGTTTTCATTGTATGTTGGGAACAATGGGCCACTACACCTGCGCATCAAAGCATCTTTTGACTGTACTATTTATCCTAAATGTGGACACTGCCCGTGGCGGGCCGAACAGGAGTCCGACAGGACGCACCAGCAGTTGGATAATACAAACTAAAGCTTTGATGAGCAGACTAAAACATTCAAAAATCGCGATTAGACTATTTAAACACACCGTTTGTAATATGTACTCTGAGCAATGGTGGTACTGGAAAAAGACTAGTATTAAATGTTGATACAAGCTACGTCGATGCGCTTATATTTGACTTTTTCCACAACATGAGATTGTTCGCGACCTTGAATGTTATACGGTCTTGGTTCAGCTGTTATGTTACGTGCTACATTGATATGACTCAGGAGTAGAGGGGGGGATTATAAAACAATCAAACTGAAACATGAAACAATCACAGAACTTGGTTGCGTACAAATAAACGAGGAGGAAACATATTTGTAAATTTGAACCTGATTCGGCGAACAACTGTTGATGTATCCACAGGTGACAAAAATATGGGGCCCGACAGCGACGGCGGCGGCACGGGGACCAGGCGGACCACACAGGCACGCGGGGGAAACTGACCAACTCCACGGTCAACGGGAGCGCCTCTGACTGCGCGCCGGAGACGCTGCTGGATTCGCCTGCAGAGGGTCTCCCGGGAAACCAGGCTCCAGCAGGAGTAGAGGCCTGCGCGGACAAAAGGACAAAACTGCACTTCAGTGGGGGGATAAACGTAATTTACACAGGGGTGAGGGGAAAGAGAGGGGGGGCAGAATAAAATGTCAGTGTATTGATTGGGCTTTGTCTTATTTTGAAAATAGGAAGTCGCAAGAAAGTAGGTTAATTCCTCGTTATGGTTGCACAATAATGGATTGCTGAACAAACCAAATATTCAGAGCACAATTTATAAAGTGAAGGTCCAGTTCAACTTTTTGGATGTCGTGCACACGTTCTAAAAGTACATTTTAATGATTTGAATAAGAATAAGAGCATTGAATAATGCTAATAAAACAAGATTCTGAAGCTGAACGACATTATTTGAACGGTCTTGGTCTCCCTCACTATTTGATATAGATATAATACAACGTGTATTCTCACAATTTTTTTTGTTTTTCAGCATATTTTGAAAATAATAAAAATGCAATTTCATATTTAATAGCTGCAGTGGCTGGAGTAGCATCATTTTAGGTGAAACCATTCATTGTGTAAAAAACGGATACGTGCGGTTTTTACTGTCCATCACCGAAAGCCTTTATTAAATCAAATGTGCAGCTGGACCTCGAACTTTAACGAAAACGTTGATACTAAAGCACATACAACACACACAACAGCCGAAGGTCTTTTTTCTTCACTTCTATCTCAGATCTTTTTGCAACGGAGCTCAAATAACTATCATGAAGACTGTTGCAATTTCAAGCCCATATCTGAACGGATTCGGAATCCGATTCTCATAAAGGGGAAATCTTTTTTGATTCTCCCTTTTACAAAAGATAATTGATTCCAGCTGAACTAATTACCTATTTTGCTCGTGAAAAGCCCCAAACAGCCCTGAAACCATTAACTTCAGAATAAAAGAGTAACGTTTTTTTGTAAACATGTATCGATATGGAATCAAACATCCAATGAAAACATGCCCTCTACTGCAAAAACTGGACTCATGCACTTTTATAATCGTTCAGTGTTATTAATTGGAAATATGTTTTCTTTCATCTTGGGGGATTTGCCAGGGAACATGCACAACACAAACAGGCCTTCTTCCTGTCCACGTACACAATATGGGACTTTCCTTTCAAAGACATACATCCTTCATAAATTAACAAAGGGAATTATTTGGCCTTCATATTTCAAACCACACGAGGCAAACCCCGTCTGAGGTAGAAAAAGGTGTCGATTTCGGCTTTCACATTATCTCGGTCAAGTGCTGCCACGACCGAATGCACCTCTGATATATTACGAGATTATCTTCCAAACACCTTCTTTCAAGCTTGACCAGCCAACATTACGCACAGAGACTGCAAAGGTCAAAAATAAAGAGCACGGAGTAGTGATGGACCTTTCCGTGCTCCATTTGACCATTTCACTGATCGGAGCACCTCAAAGCGGATCACTTTATACGACAAATGTGTATTTCTGCCTGCTTTTTTTAAAGGTAGGGCTAGGTTACTTTTTGAAAACTGGAAGGAACTGTAATTCACTATGTTTGCCTTAGTGTGGCGGCAGAACTCAATTTTTGCTCGCTCCGGATCTGTTGTCCCATCAAAGATGCGGGAAGGTGGAGCGCGAGGCGCAGCGCCGTGCGCTGAGCTTTGGACTGTCACGCTGCGTTTGGGTGGAGGCGGGACCTGCAGCGTTGTTTTGGTCCACCCAAACCAATAAGATGCTGCTGTGATAACTTGCAGCCAATGAGCCGCCGAGCTTATCAGGTGACTGCAACAAACTTCCGCTCTAAATACTCGGCTCTTCCGCTCGTTGGTGTTTTTGGACCACAGGACACGCCGCGCAGTCAGACATCACACATTTGTCCCATCTCTGAGTTTATTGGGTAACATGTGCGCACCACGCCGTGCTTACGTCACGGGACGTGGGACCTGGCCGACGCTGCACTCCGTGCTCGCGAGCTTCCGTCTCATATTTCTGTGGCGTGTCTCTCAGTCTGCCAGCTGGCCATGTACATCTCATGGACTCCAGATATTAGACTGCTAACTATTTTACATGACAATCCAGTCCAGTAGAAGATTTTGCCTAAGTCATGTTTAAAAAAAAAAATATATATATATATATATATATATATATATATATGTATATTATTAAATTCAAATATATTCAAATTTTTTACAAAACTGAACAAGGAGGCTGAAACAATGGAATGAAACTCTGATAATGATAATGTTCTCACTGTTAATGTTAAAAACACCCACCAATATGAGATATCCGTTAAAAAGTAAAGGTAAATAAAAACAATAATATGTAGACTACAACAGCAACCTATAATAGTGACATATTAGGCTTAATCATATTACTAGAAGCCAAATGATTTAGCATCCACAAGTCTTCTCGTTAGTCCAACCACTAAAAATGAAACTAACTTGACGTTAGAACCTTCGTAGGGTGTATGACGCCCAGGCCTATGTGCTATCGACTATTGTGAAATTAAAACAAAAATAAAAAGTATAACAGCCGTAGTATACTAGGTGCTTGAATTTGTTTAACAAAATTGGTGGGCGGCCAAACAGGTGACAGAGCTCTGACTAAAGGGATTTGGTTTGATTATTGAGTGCCAGTAAGACTGAATCACATTCATTAAAAAAGCCAAATAAAGCTTTGTGGTTTTTGGTAGCGGGGAGAGCCGCGTCATTCCAAAGGAATTATGTCTTAAACGCACACAAATATCCACATACGTAATGTTGGTGAACGATTAACAACGCGCGTGACTGGGATGCAATGTGTCCAAATCACACAACTGCGAAACGTTCAAATTGATCCATATTACATTTTATGAAATTAAAACAACTGTTCAACTCATGCATACAGGAGGGATATTTTCCTACAGTGCGTATTCTTTCAAAAGATTAAGAGGCGAATCATTCAGTTATCGTTGTCAGAATTATGCACTATATGAACATTACATCCCTACATTTTAAAACCTAAAAAAACTTTTTAAAAACTTTTTAGCACCGTAACCGATAATGTCTGATTACATGTGATTTCTTGTTCGGAATTAATTCAATAACTACGTAAAGTTTTCAATTAAATTATTTAAATGGGATTCTGATGTTTAATAGGGCTTTAGATATTTACACAGTCATATTGCATATACGCTTATGAGAATAACTAAACAACGCGGGTGAATGCACATAACGTAGGCAAGTCGAACAAATTGAAAAGCCGTGGCTCGCGCCGAATCAACACTAGTTTCATAAATATCGTTAAATTGTCAAAATGAAGGGTTTTAATCCAACATTTCAACAAGTATTTTTCGTTGATCAAGAATAAAGTTACAAATGTAGCAACGGACATTAATGCAAAATCGCCGAATCTCGGTAAAACCCCCAAAATAAAGAAAAGTACACCTTAACATCAAAGGAATTTATTTAAAGGGTGACTAGCATTCAAAAAGAACCTTCAAACTCTATCGATGTTTATCTAAACTTGTAACAAAAACACATAAAGACATTTGGAGAAAGAAAATAAACAAGTCCCCCTCATTACCCTTCAATATGATATGTCCGTGCAAACATTTGAATTTTTTAATTATTATTTGTAATTTTACCGTCACTGCAAATGAGTGAATTATGTTTTATGTTTAATAGAACGATATGTTTATTATTTAAATAATAAACATATATCACATCTGCGTTGGTTTATTTACTTTTCAGTATCAAGCAAAGACAAAATATTTAGCTAATTGTCATGTATTTAAATGAAATATTTATTGTCAATACAATAATCATCGTTAAGATTATTGTCATTATTCTGTAAAGTCTATATAGCACTATTTAACTACTCATAATCCCTTTGGGTATGAACAGAAAAGTCGCCACTAGATGGCAATGTCAGCCTATGTTTCAGTACAAACTAGCCTCAACTGACCAATTTCCTCTTTTCCCAGAGACAGACCCAGACATTGCAAATGTTGCACTGTCAAAATCAGATATTTCCCTTATGTAGCCTTCTCCTGTACAAAGACAGCTGCTACAACCCCTGAAAAGAAGCCACGAGATACTATTCATACCATAGTTGTCAGAAGCAGCAGAAGTGTGGGCCTTAAAACTTTATTTAAAAGTGCGGCGATAATGGAGGAGTAAATTTGCCAAAAAGATTAAATATAACTATAATATGATCCATCATCGTGACATACCATGAAAGGGACCCAAGTTCAACATAACTGGATACAGTTTAACAAAGTCCATATTTTATTGGGACGGACTTTAACACCAACATACTGGACTCACACTCAAATAACCTGCATAACAAGCCGGAATTTACTTTATGTACAACCACATGAACACGCACACGTTATATAAAGCTATGATTGACATTATCACATAACCCGAACGATTATCTAAGCGAACTGCAGATGGATGAAAGCACGGGTTCACATGATAAGACTAAACTTCATACAAGCTACGCATGTGAGTTAGGTTTTAAAAATGAAGCCAGGGGAGATTAATATTTAACATTTTCAAGGTCCAAATGCCTAGCACCATTACTTCCTGTGAATCTTCTTTTTTTTTTTTGTTGGATTTTTTTATCACCGTCGATAAAGATACTGATGAAGGCGTAGCTCGGTGGCGCGCACCTCTGAACTGGGGTTAGTTTTCCTGCGTTGAGTGAGGATGCGGGAAAAAAGAAGAAGAAATATGAATTAAAAAAAAAAACTGCGGTTATATTTTTTCTCTTTTTCTCTCCACTTCACTTCTTAAAGGAAATGTAATTTAAACAACAAGTGTCCGGAGGGTCCACTGGATTCACAGGCCTCCGACGGTGCGTTCCAGAAGAATCATCATGCACAGTACAAATAAAACACGTTCAGTCACAAAGACGTTTTGCCGTTTTCCAATCCATGAGTTCAAACGCGGGCACAGAAACATGTGTGCGCGCGTGTTGGGTGTGCGTGCGTGCGCGCGTGTGTGTGGGTGGAGTGCGTCTCCCATTATGCAGCCTATAGTCCGAAACAAAAATGAAAATAACTAGCTGATGGGTTTCAATTTGTGGACAACTTTCTTCTCCTTTACTCGTCTGTTCTGAAACCATATCGTGACCTGTCGCTCGGACAGGTTGGTCTGGGCAGAAATCCGCCTCCGCTTGTCCTTGGTGATAAATTTATTGGCGTTGTACTCGCGCTCGAGTTCCTTCAGTTGCACCTTGGTGTATGGCACGCGCTTCTTTCGTCCGCGTCGATAAGATCCAGATTCTCCACCGCTTTGCGACACCGCGTCTAAACACACAAAGAAGAGAGAGACACAATAAGCCGCCGTGAGCTACTTCTCAGTGTTTCACATTTAACTCAAAATTGAATTTTCATGTCGTTAAATGTAAATGTGTACATTTCTGAGCCACACATCCCCGGCAGCCATGAAATCAAATGAAATATTTCAGTGTTTATGGTTTAAAATGCCATAACACTAATAAACAAGATCGAATATTCTGTGATATTGACGATTGCTTAATTAAAATAAATAAAAATAAATGTTCATGGTGGGGACATATAATACAAATCTCTATGATTATTTCTTCACTTTTAAGATGTATTTCTCCCATTCCATTATTTCAGTAATTTTGGGTAACACGCTATTGGTCGTGCTGTTCGTTCTGCAGGTTGACGCAGAAACTGAAATTCCAAACACTCCCGTCCTACACAATGTGCATCCTGTCTACTGTTGGGTAACAAACTAACGTGTCAAGCTGCTCTGTGCTGAAACCGCTGGACCTTGGGGGGGTGGGGGGGGGGGGACATAGCCTACCTTGTATGGAGGACTTCCACATGTGGCCGGGCTGTGGCTGCTCCTTGGCGCAGTAAACCTGGCCGTTCCAGCCATTGGGGGTGAGCGTCCACGGTTGGTAGGTCTCCATAGGTAGCAGGGACTCGTGTCTGGCCTCTGACTGACCGAGAGTCGGCACGACGGGAACGTCTAGATAGCTGGGGACAGGTTGGTAGGGACCGGCAGAGTATGTCGGGTAAAAAGCAAATTCCTTCGCCCGGGAAGTGAAGTCGTCGCTCGAGGCGGACGTGTCCATGTATTTCTCTCCGTACGCGGAGGGGGGCTGCGCCCCGCACGACTTAATGCTGCTGTGATGCGACATTCTGCACGGATAATAGCCGCTGCCGAAGTACCCGTACGGCAGGGACGCGCTGGAGGAATTCTGAGCTGCAGAGCACGGACTGCACTGTTTCACCGGATCGCCTATGCCGGAGGTGGGAACGTCACTTGCCGAATAAGCCGTGCTGGGTGCCAGGGACGCGGGGTGCGCCATCAGATTCCTGCACTGGTTCGCAGCGAAGTTGCCCCCAGCAAAACCCTCCATGTTCTTGACTTCATCGGAACCTCCGCCGTTGTCGTAGAGGAACATCACCGACGGGTCGACCCAGCGAGGACGGAGGAGCAGTGACGTTGTCATAGCACGGCATCCAACATTGAAGCTTCTGGCTCTTTTTTAAAAAGCACAGACTGAGAAAAGGAGATACTGGTTCCCAGAGAGTAATGCCGCTCTGACGCGCACAAGAGCGCCGAGGTCGCGCCGCCATTGGCTCAGATGTTATCACGTGACAGGCTTATGCAAAGAGGACGGTAAACATCACCCCGTACAGATAATTAAATGGAGAAAAATGCGGCGAAGTAGAGTGACCGTACCTTTAAAGCGATTTTGCCTTCGCTTTGTTTGATTCTGTGGAGTTGGACGTGTCTCTTATTCTTAGAAAGTAAGAAGAGAGCCTAGTAGTTTATTCATATTGTTTTATATTTCCGAATTGCAAATGCTTTTTTTTGTGCAGGGATAATAAATGACTTACAATGCTTGTTTTTATGCCTGAAGCTCAAGTAAGATATTATATATGTATATTGAGAAGTGATTAACACAAAAAACACAGTTTACGGCACATTTGACTGATGTAACCGTGGCCTTCTGCACGCACAGTGGCCAGCCTTTGTCTGCCACGCTGAAGGAATAAGATACCACCCCACAGACATTTACTGAGGAAGAAACGCAGTTTACAAATAATACTCCATTATATTGTGCTCCAATGCTGCAAGCGATCTACAGAGAATTAAACATATTGTGCCGCTCGCTGATGCATCAACACACTACGTGGTATTATACGTGTCCGCCTACAATGCCTACGAAAGAATGCTTTCGGGATCGGATGAAGAAATGCGGAACCCAAGTCGCCGTATTTTAGGGAATTTAACTCAACCACTAAAGTGTTTCTATGCAGCATCAGGGAGCTCCCCTTGGAGAAACTCCATACAAATCTGAGATCTGAAAAACAAAAAAACAAAGAAAAACGGTTGGATCATGATGTTTTGGGATAAATATTCAAGCCACTGCACGTCTGACATGTTGACAGCATGCAAAGAGAGACAACAGCACTCGGGTTGGCCGTGGCTGCCGGTTTTGACACAAGAGGTAGACGCGGCTGGAGGCCAAGGTCAAGTTGAAAGTTGCTGTCTAGCCATGCAGCCCGTCGGGCTATTCAGCCTTTAAAGGACCCGTCTGAGGGCTTGAAAAGAGCGGAAGAGGGGTGAGAATTCCTGTCTCAATGAAAGCTATTGGAGGACATTAACTTTTACTATCATTTGGTTTTCTCCACTGCTTTATTCTCATGAACGAGTCCCGACCCGCTCCACTTGGGCTCGTCTACTCTTCGTATTACGCCATTGGAAATATAAAATAATGGTGCCGGTTTTTTTTTTATTAAGGCCTTTTGGAGGTTTTTTTTTTGACAGATACGTGTGAAAATGATCTTGATCTCTGAAACGAGGGGACGGAATACGGTTGGTGTGTGTTTGCGTGTGCGAGTGGGCGCGTGCATGTTGGTTGTTTATGACCAGTCGCTCTCTGTCCATTCTGTGCTGGAGGAAATGGACATGGTGGAGCCTTCATTGGATTTGTCACCAGAATTTCCGTATTCCTCATTGATTTTGGCCCTTTTGAGTTTAATTATTGGTATTTTTCTGCTATTCAAGGATAAACAACAACTAAACAGAAGTGTTCCCTTCTGTCGGTAAAACGTGGATTCAGATGTTTAGTTTCCAGCCTATAGATATAGTGTAATATAGATTAAAAAGCTTTTTGTATCATTGGCTTCCTTTCCATTGTTCCACGTTAAACGTTGACCCAGTAAACCTAAACAGAAAACTTAAACAACATCAAGTAATTTTTTAGTGAGACCGATATTGAAGAAGTATAAATGTACAATAAATCATAAACTACATAATTCCATGGGCGAAATGATCCACTGCTTACAATTATCGATGCATTTTGTTCACAGTTGTACAGGAATGTTCTCACCCATTTGGGGTTCTGTGATCTAGGCCCATACCGGCACTTTGCAAATGTAAACAAAAGTTCCGAACAGAGGAAACAATGATGGACTCATTTTTATTTTACTCAGCAAGAACCAAGGATAGAAGTGTTGTAACCGAAATAATGTGTAATAATAACATTATTGAAAATATTATACACAGTGTAGGTCAGCATTGTGTTTTTTTGTTAATAACAGAAAATTGATAAAGATAATCTGTCAACATAAATCAAATAACAAAACTATTAGTTTGTATTTTTCTCGTTCTCTGTGTTTGATTAAACACATGTGAAAACTAATAGTCTGTATGAGGAATAGGCATTAAATACAGGGTTATGTCACACATTTAAATAAATGATTTATTGTAACATTAGTCTTAATCGCACAAAACAGCAATTTTACAAAACACAACAAGCTATTGTTTGAGCTCAAAATGCAAAAATACGTTCATTTTACATTTGCATTGCAAAGACTACTCGTTCAATATGTTCTCTCTATGTTAGTTAACAGACATTTTGCAATGTAGCTTACAATTAAGCAAATCAAGTTTAGTTAAAATTATTTTGTATGCAATTGTTTTAAATCAATTTAGTGTGGTTTTGCGAGGTCGTTAATTTCCCGTATAAAAATAACAGCAGGTAAAATAAAACCTGATCCAAACTATGGTCGAGGCAGCAAATGACTGGACGTCATCATATAAGGAAGGCTAATTAAATCATTCAGCAGCAACGACAATGAGTCAACAACGTTGCAAGGCCGGGCCTGTCGCGCGCTCCGTGAAGCGCATGGAGCTTCAAAATAAACCAAGTGGCGTTAATCATTCATCTTTCCTTCATTTGTCATATTATATGTCAAGTGAGACGTGAAGCCGTTCATTTATCCGCGTGATTGCGATCACGCCATTTTGTTTTTATATTGCAAACAACGTATGCCGTGGTGAGACCTTAACAGGCCCACTGTCACAACAACCCCGGTCCGTCGCCCAGGTAACGTGCACATGTGGTCAGTCCAAACATGCGACATCCCAAAGCATAATGGACGATGGCACTTTACTGAAGCGCTGCACACATTGTCCCAGATGCCCGTTTCTTATACAAACTTGAGAAGGCTTGTTGAAATAGCATTGGAGTATTGTTCCTTTGTCAGAAATAGGTGGAATATAGCAACGATCCGACTGGATGCTTATTTAAAATCACATATCCAATTCCAAGTGAGATAAATAAATTACAATCTCGTCATGGAACCTTCTCAAGCTGAATAACCCTTAGAGGTTACCAGAACTTGGCAAAAGCCTCGTGTCGTTTTTGTTTGAGATCATTATTAATGAGTCCCCCCCCCCACCCCCCCTCCCCCGGTTGAACTGGCGTCCAAATTACGCAGCGCAAAGAGAGAGCGCATTTATGCCATCGGCTAACGCGCCTGAAGCGTGTGCAAAGTAGGGAAACGGTCCATTCAAAGTAATGTTCGGCCATAAATTTCCATCGTTAATGATATAAAAAGGGGGCTGCTAAAACGAACTACAAGCAGTCAAATGTCAGCCTTGCTGAGGACACGTGTTTAAAGTATAAGGCTGTCAAAAAGTTGTCAGAACATAACAACCAATGTGTTTTTGTGGTCAACGCAGTGAACCGCAGGGCGTCCCACACTTGACTTTTCCATATTTTCTGGACACGTCGTGGGATTATGAATGATTCCATTAAAAAAAAAAGAGAAACGGTCCCAGTCCATTCTCGAACACGCAGATACGAAACCCACCTAATGGTTTACTATTAACTGTCAGGTTTCGCTCTCAAAGTGCCCTCGATGTGCATTTGATGGACAAGTTCGTTGTACGTTTCAATTTCCCCAGGAGAAGTCTTAAATGCTGTGTTAACTGCCTACTGCACCAAGAGCTGCGTGTCAGATCGTTTAATGGCATTCAGGAATAACGTCCGATACAAAAGGTCTGCACGTCTGTTTCATTTCTCACTGTGGTGGAGGTGATGGCAGTGAGGAAATGCAAGATTCCTTTGGTTTTCATCTCTCTGCCATGTGCCCTTCTGATTCTACCTACAAGAATCATATGAACTCTAACTATTTATTCCATCGCCTACATGCATTTTATTATTACCTATTTTTTGGATTATTTTATTACTTCATCTCATCATTTGTGATGCCTTTGTAGCCTGCGGTGGCTTTTGTTATTGGTAATTACACCTTCATCGTCGTCGTCATCATCATTGGAGTATATGTGATAGACATAGTCAAGTTACGCTTTGTTTCGCCGTTTCGAAGGCCAAAACCAAACATGCATTTCTAGGTCTAAAGCTTTAGCAGCATGTACACCAAATAAACTACAAACAGGGAACATCCAATGGAAACCTATAACTTTAAAATAACATAATGCATTAAACGCGTACTCCTATTTTATTCCAGAATCTTACTTTCTTTATTGAAAGAAAATACGATTTGAGACACTTTATGAACCAGTTCAAAGAAACGATGAGTACCATGCGTTTAAACCAAATCAACCAATTATTATATATAAATATGTAAAAGACAGATCTAAACGATCTCAGCGGAGACCATCAAATTCGCTGTGAATCTTTTTTAGGAACAATAAAATACATACATTTGATAAAGCGTGGATGCACGCTGATTTATTCGTTAGTCATTTAAATTATTATCACAATATTTAACATCTAAAACATATTATAAATAAAACGTATTTATTCACGTAAAACCCTATTTACATGAGTGGCTGAAATAGCGTCAAGGTCAATATATAAATCGACATGATACTATCCAGAACCAGTGAGTCTTTAGGGGCTAAGTGTAACACACTTTCAGGTATGCACATCAACACAACATAACAACCAACAACTGAACTGCACACATCACATGACTTTAAATCAGAGAACAATGCACATGTGGGACTAAAAACCGAGGACACCTCAAGAAATAGAGGGACATGCGTACAAATGACAGCAAACCTCTCTAAAAAATAAGAGCCCCTTTGCAACAGACTTGTAAATATCCCCTTTCTTAGAAGATGCCAGGCAGTCTTACGTGCAGTCTCGTGAAACGCCGGGGCTTTGCACCCGGTGTGTTGCCCCGCTACTGCTGAATTGATAGTAAGCCATGCCCCATGATTTTTTCTCCTTTTAATGGGGTAATACGGGCCTGATCTCACTGGCTTGCTAAGCCCTGCGTGTGCGTGTGTTTTGCAGGATGGGGTGGAGCGGACGAAAGCGAGTCTCGGAGTCTTAGAGATTTCCAGCTGCATAGTCACCAGGATGTGTTCGCTCCAAGGTCAACTAGTTAACTCTGCTATGATGCGTCATCCGGTTTCAAGGCCATGTTGAAGCAACGCATGGAGGGAGTGGCCACGATGATGAAGGTACGGGTTGGATGTTATATTCTTTAAGGTTATTCCACTCGGAGTGACTCAACCGATTAGACGTCCACCAAACCCGTTCGCTCGCTGAAACATTTCTGGAGTTTAAAGCAAAACGCGTGCTGCTCTGCACTGCCAGGGCCATGGGTCGGATTGCATACTGCGGGCTGCATGGTCAAGTTCAAGTTGGGCTGGCTAGTAAAACGGAGGGGGCGCATTCTGCAGTGTCTGCCGCGTGGGGCGCCCCCCCCCCCCCCCCCCCGTCTTTGATCTCCCCGTGCAAAACTCTCCCTGTGCAGGATCTGGGGTGTGTTTGAAAGACAACCGATGCTTTGCATGTGGACTTCTGCATGCACATGAGGGGAAAAGGTTCCACATTATAATCAACCCCCCCCCCGCCGCTGTCCTTCACTATATCTAAAACACACACAATATAAGTGGCACTACTGTAAAGCAAGGTCTGTCATCTGTTGCGCAAATCCCCTATCTGCAGATGATCACAAGATCGCGTCTGCCCGGACACCAGCCATTGCATAACGCCCGGGTAGCAGAACACTGGGACCTTTGCAATCCCCGTATTATTCTCTTAAAGACGTGGTGACCTATCTTTAGTATTTTGAAAGCAGAAGGAAGCAGTGTTTAAAAAGGGGGGATTTTCGAGTCCAGCAGAAAATGTAGCTTCTGATGGTATCTGCCTCAATCAAATCGCCCCAGGCACATATTTCAACATACAACAAGCCCTAAATATGGCCACACAAAACATCTTGACATGAATAAAAGACCACCAGATGAATTATTCTTTTCATTTTTACTAGGCAATACAAATCAGCAGGTCAACATGACAACATATGTTGTGTAAATACCAAAGGGAAAAAAGATTCAAGAAATTACGTTTGCTTCCATTGAGAAAGTTAAGCGGATTCGCAGTAGTTGGTGTTTTTTCCTTAACGATGTGCCGAGGGATCATTAACGATGCACTTCCAGTCTCCCAAACTAAAATAAAACCAAAAGAATGATCATGCAATAACAGGGGAGTTTACGCGAAACGAAAAACACAGTTCATTACAATTAAATGAATAGTGGATTACAGAGAGAGACCAACATACATAACTCTTATCCTGTATTATTAGTAGTAGTTATTGTTATTTTCAAACTAACAAAAGCAGCTGAATCACATCGCCGGGGAGTGAGAGCCATACCTCTCTTTACCCCCGGGGGGGGGGGGGGGGGTACTTTTTTCCTTTGCTGGCCAGATGAAAGCGTCGCGGAGCCAAAGGAATTTCCCTCAGCGTCTCAGCTGGCGGGCTGGGGGGAGGGGGCGGCCGCCGCTGGGGCCTCTTCCCTCGTTCGGACAGGCGAGGGCGCACAAGGACAGCGAAGGCTGCCTGGTCTCCCTCTCTCCCCTCTTTGGCACCATATGACCACCCATGATAACTGGCGTCCCAATCTCCTACCATGCCCGATATTTAAAAGAGGGGGGGGGGGGGGGGCTGTTTTTAGAGGCATCAAGCACAGATAGGTTTAAATGTAAAGTCCTTTTCCATCACATATTCGAGGCCATTTAGGTCTTCAGGAGCATATTTGCTAAGATACGTTACAGGTGCAGGACTTACATTACAGTCCAATAGGCGTGTTTTAAACATGTGTCATAGTGGTGGACCGATTTTAGGTTGAGGTTGCAAGTTGGAGCAAAGGAAGACTTGATCACAGCCAAATGAGGCATAAGCCTCAAAATAACAGTGGACATCCTGCGTGCTGCGTCATTTAGTATTTTGCATAATTTAGATGTTGTACAACTTTAGTTTTTTAGGGAGTAAATACGTTACAGACGGGTTCGTCACCTCTGCCGTTAAGTCACTTTCTTACTGAAATGCTAATATCTCAAGACCCTGAAATAATTCAGAGCATAATCGTGTTATGGTTTAAATGTATGAGGGTTGGTGATCATTTTGGATTTCGTTCAAGTTCAATATAAATTCAAAATGTACATGGCAAGTATTACAACTTCTTCAAGACGGGCACATTTAATTGAGTTTTCGGCCTGTGTGGTGTTACTGTTCGTGACTTTTAGGACTTGAAGTTAAATAGTATTTTATCTAAACTCTGACCGTGAGACTTGACCTTTGAGTACTTTACTTGACTCCACTTTCGTTGTAGTAAAGACGGACTAAGAATCATATAATTTGCGGGGGCGCAGTAAAATGCAACTTATTTTAATTGATGTTTAATAAAAAGGGTTTTATTATTATACAACTCTGCACTCGTCAAATCCAGTGGTGAATATGTCTAGAGTTAATATAAAATGTGTATTTTTATTTGGTTGGATGGATGGATGCGTGTACGGATGCCCTCGAAATCTTTTCCACCTCAGTCTCGACGCTCCCATTGCTTCGTCTGTTTATATCCAATCAACGCGTGTCGTCATCTGAAGGAAAGGGAGTTGGGGGGGGGAGGGGGGTGTGGGGGGGCGTCATGACGACGGGCCTATTAAGAATGACAGCTCTGGAGAAAGAGAGAGAGGGTAAATGGTGATCCCTCCCAGAGCTCCTTCTGCGCACTCTGGAGTGCTCTTCTGTCAGGGTCAGACCGGATTGCATCCCCTCTTTTCCAGAAGCCTCTCCTTTTCCTTGGGACTCAGCCCCCTCCTCCCCCCACCGCCCCCTCACCCTTGTAGCCACCACACACACACGCACGCACACACACACCCACACAGACACACACACCCCTCCAATCTGAAAATAATCGCCTTGGTTTTGACGGCTTGCACTCCACCGCGGAGTCGAGGTTTTTGCACGTCGTGGTTGCGATGGAACGCAGAGAGGAGATGGGAACGCTGGCAGAGGGAGGTCAGCTTGGCAAGAGCAACTCCGATTTGTCAGGAGCCATCGGCAGCTCCGCGCAGGGTAAGCCCGGGCAGAGGCGCTGTCTGAGCCCCGGCGCTGCGCCCTACTCCCGCAGAGTGGAGGTGGTGATGGAGGAGAACGCACCGAGGAATATATGCGCAGACATGAGGCCAGTTGACAGGTCTTCCTCCGGAGAAAGACACAGGGGGGATCATCCCCACAAAGACGGCAGCAGCTCGGACACCGAGTCGGACTTCTACGAGGAAATTGATGTCAGCTGCACGCCTGAAAGCATGGACTACCCGATAGCTAAAGGTAGGCTGGGAGCTGCATGCCACTGCGGGTTTTTCTGTGACGTGACTGCATGTTTGTGCGAATTAAGTTTATTGAAACGCAAACGTAGATCATGTCAATCAAACATTTCAAAATGCACCCGAACAATCTGGAACTGTAAAATGTATATTATCCCTGAGGGAAATTCGCTGCAGCCATAATAACAACAACAGATAGAACTGCAGTCGCTGCTGTAGAGCAGTTCTGTCAAGTGACCAGTGTGGCTGCAAACACGCTGAGGTGAAATCCACAATCCAACCAGGGATTTACCTTTCTCAATTTGACAATGAGTCACGGAAAGAAAATCGGTTATATGAGTCTGCAGGAGGAGGAACAATGCCAGATTTTTAATGTGAACCACAAGCAACAAACGTGAAGGGAAAGCCACCAACGCCTGTCTGGGTTGTATCTGGCACCATTATGGTGCAAAGACCTCACACTGTTTTTTGAAAATGGGTCATAGAAATTGTGCTAGCAGATACTAAAAATGAGCATATTTGATGCGTTTCTCATTGTGCCTCAAACCGAAAGGGATGAATAACTGACCAATTGTAACTTGATCAATTTTAGATTTTTAAATTTAGTAAAATCATGGCTATATTGTGGAAAATACTGAACTACATAAATACTAGTAAGTTTTTAAGACTTCACTAAATGAAGACCGGCACTATGAAAGGAAGGCCCTCGATAATACAAGTGACACAGTTAAAACAATGGAATTAGGAAAATAAATTGATGCATTTGACACGAAATGAATAAAACGTTTCAATGCGGTGCATATCAATTTAATGGATTCTACTGTGTTTTATCCCGTATGCTAATGACATCTTATTAACCATTCTGCATACTAATTCAGGTCGAAATGGGGATTCTCCGGGTCACCCGAGTGACAATGGTGCCGACCCGGGTAACATCGCCCAGGGTCCGGGCTCTCTGTCCTACGCGGCTGATCAGATTCGCCGGTACCGGACAGCGTTCACCCGAGAGCAGATCGCACGGCTGGAGAAGGAGTTTTACCGGGAGAACTATGTGTCCAGGCCGCGGAGATGCGAACTGGCGGCCGCCTTGAATCTGCCTGAAACCACCATCAAGGTAGCACTACTTCGTCTCCAAATATACGAATAATACGAATAATAATTGTTATTATTGTATAATAATAAGTAATATATTATATTATATTATATTATTAACTGACACCATCGAAATAATAATTGGCTTGTTAAAGATGAAATTGCATCCAATCCGAAATACCAAAACAAAACAACAACACCCTGATTTTTCTTGGAGCGCAAAAGCGGAACTGAGTCCGTTACTGTCGTTTGTCTTTTGATCAATGGGGGTTGTGGTTAATATTTTACCCGCCGTGTCTCTGTCTCAGGTGTGGTTTCAGAACCGCAGGATGAAAGACAAGCGTCAGCGTCTGGCCATGACTTGGCCTCACCCCGCTGACCCGGCCTTTTACACCTACATGATGAGCCACGCGGCGGCCACGGGGAACCTGCCCTACCCCTTCCCATCGCACCTGCCGCTGCCTTACTACTCCCACCTGGGGGTCGGAGCCGGCTCGTCTCCGGCGGGCACCCCTTTCTCCAACCCCCTGCGCTCCCTCGACAGTTTCCGGATGCTGTCTCACCCTTACCAGAGGCCGGAGCTCCTGTGCGCCTTCAGACACCCCTCCCTGTACCCGGGCCCGACCCACGGCCTCGGCCCCGGGGGAAGCCCCTGTACCTGCTTGGCCTGTCACTCAAGTCCACCCAACGGCATCTCAACCAGGCCCCCCGCCTCGGACTTCGCTTGCTCCCCAACGAGCAGGACTGAAGCTTTTGTCACTTTCACGCCTTCAGTGCTCAGCAAATCCTCACCTGTGACTTTAGACCAGAGGGAAGAAGTGCCTCTGACCAGATAAAAACAAAAAAAACAACAGTTATTGTTCCCTATAAGTCATTAGCATAAACCTTTTTAACTTAACATAGTGTAATGAGCAGGTCTGACACAGCATGAAGAGCTAGCCTGTAAGCAGCGAAAGACATCCTGAACTTGGGGCGAGAAAAATCAGCCAAGCAGAATTTCATCCGACTCAACGGCCACGTGAAAAACCACGAACCCCACTGCAGAGCCAGGACCGTCACTGACAAACGCGGAGATGGACAGAAAACCTGACATCATTTTTTTTAGATGATTCATTTGATGTGTGTGAGAGGTGCATCCGGAGACGTTTTAAACATGCGTGATGGATCGAGTTAAGCTTTTTTATTTTTTTTTATTTTTTATTATTACGCGTCGTCTCTTTCCGCGTCCACGCCGACCTACACACGTACCGCTAGTTACGCGAGAATGATGCTTTCCGTCTCTCTTTTTAACAAGGAGATTTGTTAACAGACTGCGGCCGTCTCATTACGAAGCGGCGCTCGTGCAGCAGGCCCCTCCGCGGCTGCCTGGGTGGAAATGTGCAGATGCTGGTGAAATTAGTAAGTGATGTATATGTACGAAGCCGGTGAATTTCTGAGTGTTGAATTAATGGTAATACCAGGAAGGGATCGTTACTGCTAAAAAGTAACAAGGCGCCGGGGGAACGGATTACTACGGCCCGCGCGGTTCGACGTGTTGGGGAGGAGGAGGAGGAGGAGGAGGAGGGTGGGAAGAAGGAGGCAGCGGAAGATGGAAGGAGGCAGAGATCGGACAATCAGAAAGAAGAAAAAAATAATAATATGTCAACATTGTTAAGCCGATCAACCCCTGTCAGTTCTTCCCCTTAACGACTTAAGAGACCCGTCTTACACACGGATGGAAATATGATTAATATATGCTTATCTGCCTCTTTTAAAAAATACGTTTCTTGCTCTGCACTGCTGAAGTGACACCAGTTTGGACTTCATGTTTTCGTTTTATTTTTCTTCTTTATTTAGATTGTTTCGTTTTTTTTTTACTTGGTTGTCCTAACGTTTCATTTGTAATAAACACTGTCAAGGAATCAATTGAGCAAATGAATGTTTCTAAACGTTTTTTTAACGATTTATTTAAATAGAAAATAGCCTTAATAGAGAGTTAAGAAATTGAGAATAAAAAAGTATTCCTAAATGTTACTTCCACCCGAGACTAAAGAATAAAATCGAATTCCAAAAAGTCTCTCTATCTATCGGCTCCTTTTTATTTTTGTTTGGTGGCCGTTAAGGATTTTCTATACTCACAATAGTTCTACCAACCCCCACAATTCAACTCCAATGATAACACTAATTTTCTTCTCAAGTGGCCGGTGTCAAAACACCAGTTTGCCCCCATATCTCCTGATGGGACCGCTAGATTGAACGTGACAGTTAAGTGGTCCCCGGGCTCCGTTAAAGCCACTCATATTTTCTCTCCCAGCACCTAATAGACGCGACAGAATTAGTTGTCGGAAGATATTGGAAATGCAAAGAGATCGATGATTCGGAGCAATCAACGGGATCTTAATTGGCCACGTTTGACCGGGGCTGAGCAAATTAAAAGACTAACAGGACTGGCAAAATGACAATTTAAAAAAAAAAGGGAGGGGGTTCGCAAAAGGGACACATCACGAGTCAGTGCAGAGAAAAGAACATTTGCAATGTGGCGTTGTTGTGTTTAATAAAATAAGAACACGAGCCTTCAAATGCACGGCGGCCTTAAGGAAAACGTGTTCATCTTCCTGCATCTTGTCCAAGGAAAATGTGTCTGCGCACAAAATGGAAAACCAGACACAAAAAGCCCCCCCCCCCCCCTCCCCCTCCCCTCGTCCCACCCGTACTCCCTCCAGAACACACGTCTGATTGATGGCCTTATTAACTGGAGTTCTTGTAAGTGTGACCAAGCTGATTAAAATGCATATGTTTGGAATAATACACCGTTTAAGGCGCTCGGGTTGGGGCGAAAGCACAAGGCAGATTTATGTAAACTATCAGCCGTTGTCTTTAAGCCTGATAGGGACACGGGTCATGCAGGAAAACAGCTTTGGTTTGTGCATAATAAAATCCTTCCATTAAAATAAAGATGAACGGATCCGAGTGGCTGAGCATTCAAAGTCGCTCCGAAGTTCCGGTTTCGGAAGGTTATTTGGAAAAAGCTTGGAACAGAATTTGCATTTGGTTACAAATTGAGCCGCGGAACTATAATATAATCTTCTAAACCCGCGCTGCACTGTGCTAGAATGACACATTAAAGCGAGCCGCATACAACCACGTTTACCCGGCCGCGCGTTCCCATCTCTCCTCGCTGCATAAACCACACGGCTGAATCCTCGGCGGCCTCGTCCGCCATCAACACGCCATTTAATCGCCGAAAGATTGCGTATGACTGAGCTTCGATATATGATGGGTTCCTGTATTGTGCACATAACACCAATTACAGCAGCCGTATAAGATCCTATTAGTGAGAATTGGCTCAGGGCTCCCTGGCTCCTGCAACCCGCACAAAGCACTTTGATAAGGGGCGTTGCGGTGCAGCTGTCCGCCGACAGCAGATTCAAAAACAGAAGAAACCCCCCCTAAACAAAACAAATGGATCCGTGGCTGCTGCTACCGCTGTTTAAATTGGATTACATCCTAATTTACAGGCCCTTGTCGTAACGGAAAGGGGCTGGCGGAGGCGTGGACGGACCAATCACACAGTAATGATGATGAATGGGAGATTAACGCGCATACTAGCGAGACAATTTAAGCCTTCATCTGTTTAAATAGGCTTCCAATATCATTTGGAAACGGGGGTCACGGTAAATCAATCGGGGGACGCGCGAAAGTCGTTTTCGGCAGCGTCTTTATCAACCTTATTTACGGTGCACCGGAGACAGCGATGCAGCTGGAAAACGGGCCGGCTGTTACGTGCTCATGTGATGTACCAGAGCAACGCAATAGTAGGGTGGATTCAGCATGCAAAACATGCTCTTTCGATCAAAGTGGAGCCGATGAGGTTTCTCGCTGGTCCTGCGTGCGTTCACGATCAAATGGACTGAAAACACATTTTATCCAAACAAATTCAAAATGCTGGGTTATAATGCGGTGCTTAATCAGTTGTATTAGAAAGTCCCAGGGGACAGCAGGATTAAATAATTATGACAAGGATCCCCATTGATATTTTATCATGCAATGTATTATAGGGACGAATGTAGTTTTGCTTAACAATCATCTTTGTTATCATCCATCCATCCATCCATCCATCCACTCATCCATCCATCCATCCGTCATTGATTACCAAAAACACAGGACGTTATTTGTTAGGCCTAAACTAAAACCTCATATAGGCGGATGAGACATAATTCTTCCACAACTACTATTTGTGCACATTGGGAAAGGAAAGAGAACATAAGTAATCTATGTTTGCACTCACAGATGCGGTGGGATTGACCAGTTGCTGACGCTGCTTCACATCTGAAATATTCCTGTGCCGGTCTTTGTGTTGTGTTGTAAATGTGACGGAATCAGCTTTTTTTGCATCCCCTTACCATCACTTGAGAAATTAATATTTAGAGAAAAATATCATGAAAGATAGGCATTCTAATATTATAGATATTAAATGGCATAAAGAGTTTCGAATCCGATCGTATATCACAAAATGATGCTGTCTCTGCACAATAAGCCAGTTAATGTGGTCCGGGGCTTTTAAACAGTGGACAAGCCAAACAGCATTTTCCCTAAAGCTGAAGGAAGCACTGGAGAGGAGAATGTTCCATTTTTCTTCACAATGTGTTATTCAGATACTAAAGACAATTCATGTTTAGTTTTCAAATAAATACCAGCCAGACGTGTAAAATGGTCAGCTTTAAAAAAAAAACACTTTTAATGAAGATCAAGTCCAATTCAGTCCAATCTCCCTTTATTCTCCCTCAGCTCTTGAGTAGAAATGGAGCAGTGAGCGGCATGTCACAATTGTTGACCTGTGGTAACAACTATGGCGCTGAATGATTGCAGCAAAATGTCCATTTCTTAATGCCGAGACGTATCAAGAAGATGCAGTGAAAAAGCTTTCCACAGAAAACTCACTCGCCAGTTTGGAATATGGAGGAACCAGTTGGATCCTTCATTGATTACATTGAAATCAAAGGCACTGGGTTTGTTAGAGGGTCACCTCTTGTAAAACAGCTGTTGGGATGATGGGTGGTGAACCAAAACAATCTCCTGGGGGAACCTTATTTGGATCGCCGTGCTGATCCCTCCTCAATTTTATCCTCTTTGCCATCATTAGTTCTTGGACTTAGAGCCATGGGAGACTCATGGGACAGGGGATACAGGACTCCGATTATTGTTTTTTAAGAAAACATAGAAGGATTGGACTTCTTCTGTTGCAGCGGAGAGCATGACCTTTCCCTTGGTTTCTCGGCTCATGGTCGGTTTTTAGAAATCTATATCAGAGCATCCTCTGATATAGATTTCTAAAATCCGACCATGAGCAAATGACCAACACAACAATGGCAAATGTGATTTCTGCATGTGTCTTACTTTTTACTTTTTTTTAAAGGAAATTATTATCATTATTATAAATGTATAAAATGATAATTTCCAAAATACTGGGAAGCTGAAGTTCAGCTGGTTATGTAGTGTGGACTCTGATGTAGTATACCATTTAAAAAACAACAACCCTGAAGTAAAGTACCAAATACCATGCAGGTGTTTAGCGTCTTGCTTCATGGATTAGCACCCTTAAGAAAAGACGGTCATGTAGCATTTTAACGCTTTTCACAAATTGTTCATCTTCATATTTCAGTTTTTTCTTGGACTGTCAAGTGGCCCCAATCTCAGTCAGTTATAAAAATGAATTTTGCTTTCACCAAGCGGAAGCATTTCCTCAACCTTGATTGATGGAGCAGGGAAAGGCGTGGACATTTGGCACTGATGTTGTCTCTTACCCCGATGACACGATGACATGACAATGACATCTAGAGGTGAGGAAACCTCACCCATTGCAGTTGTTGGGGATGAAACCTAGTTCGGTCGTGGAGTTGAGAACAGGATGCTGAAGACAGGCAGTAACAGCAAATTAAAAGAGATTATGAGTAAGAGTAATGACAACAGCTTCTTCACCTCAACCTAACAACCCAATGCAATGTCACTTTGCCTTTGTTTGCCCTTTATTTTGTGTAGTTGTGATCCCTTCTATGATGGCCACCCCCAGGGGAAGAGAGTTGAAGCAATCTAAGGATCGGCAGCTCTTATTCCTTTGTTGGCAGTAATTTTAACGGCTTGTATAAATTTCTTCAATATTCGGTTTACAGCGTTACAAAGTCATAAACACAGCTTGGCATTCAGGTTACTTTTATATGAGTGGACTTTGTCAAAACCCTTTGAAATGTAATGGTTGGATAGGTGTAAGGAAATCGTTGTGTAATGGCCAGAGTTAGGAGGAAATGCAGTTTTCCTTGACGTCCTGACATGAGGAAGGTGTACACTGTAAGTCATTCATAAACTGTAGCTATATTACATTAATTTAGTGGATACTTCTGTGTAAAGTGGTTTAATCTGTTACATTTCTGAGCCACCAAGGCCTCCCAAAACTATTAGCGTATGAGGATCAGCTTAATAAATTGCATTTGATTGTTAATCTGTTTTCCCCACGAGGTTTTATCATTTCTTTTTTTTTTGGAATTGCTCTCACCACATCGTGG